AAACTGCGTTACTTCACTGCACATTTTTGTTATGAAACGTTCATGAATTTAAATGGTAGCCAAGTATTGACATCCGCAGTATCACAAATGTTGGCGTGGAGGAATGTCACGCCCCAGGGCGCGGGGGTGGCACAGTCGGCTAAGGGCGCTGCTCATTTCCTGATCTCATAGGCTGTGAGCCTGAGCTCTGCGCTGTGGGTCGGCTTGGACCTTCTCTCCCTCTCCAATACATAAAACCTTCAAAAAATGTTGGACCTTTATTTGAATAGTACTGGAAGAAATCTAAGGAGTTTGATACTCATCAACATCTATTTAAAAATATAATTAAAAGACGGAAATTCTTTTGCTTTTTCTCCTTAAATTCATAATTGTATTCTTATTCTACTTCCTACACAGAACTTCATTCTAACATATCTGTGGTCGAAGACTTATTGAGTAGCCTTGTCACTATGATGTGCAACAACAAAAAATTGAAAGCGAAACTTAAAAACTATAAGGCTAAAACAATCCAGTGTTTCCAGATTGAGAATTGTCTTTATTCAATCAATACTCAGTTGACAAACATCAGGAATGTATTACATGTGTTAATACTAGACAATGTTACTGGAAGCGTATCAATGAAATGGGTGACGCTGTTTCTCCCCTTCCTGATTCTTGTATCTGTGGATAAATATCAGTCAGAATAAGACAGATTCAGACCCCATTTTATTCATTTTCTAAATATATATAATCTGAAATACCTTGTCATACGAAGATGCATATGAAAGAGTTTTGGGGTTTTTTTTAAAGATTTTATTCATATTTAATCATGAGAGACACAGAGACTCAGAGACATAGAAGGAGAAGCAGGCTCCCTGGAGGAGCCAGGTGTGGGGACTCAATCCCAGACCCGGGATCACGCCCTGAGTCAAAGGCTCAGGCTCAACCGCTGAGCCACCCAGGCGCCCTGAAAGAGGTTTTGTTATAGCAGTCTCTCGACTTTTTAAAAATTCCTTTCCAAACAGAAATCACAGTTAAAAAAAAATAATGATAATAGTTGGGTTAGGTCCTCCACTTATTTTGAAAACAGAAAATTTGAAATCACCTAACAGAAGGCTTTGTTACCTAGTCATGAAGGCTACTTTGTTTCTAGGAAGTATACCAAAAAACTTAAGAATTTTACTAAATGACTTTTTTTTTTAAAGATTTTATTTATTTAGTCATAGACACACACAAAGAGAGAGGCAGAGACACAGGCAGAGGGAGAAACCGGCTCCACACAGGGAGCCTGATGTGGGACTCGATCCGGGGTCTCCCAGATCACACCCCAGGCTGCAGGCTGCGCCACTGGGGCTGCCTCCTTACTAAATGACTCTTAATTAAGCTTGACTGTAAGCACATTCTCATTAAGTACATGTGGAAGTCGGAAGATGGTTAACTGATTTCCTTCACAAGAACTGTGCCGGCACACCTTGCTTTTAAATGGGCTCTTTGTTGTAGTTTAGCAGGTAAAAACCTGATAGCATGACCAAGTAGAAACATTAAGGGTCAACTGTTTAGTCATGTTTACAAAAAGCCAATATAGGCTGAATCAGGATATCAGGAGTTCTAGTAGAGTAAGATCCTAGTTAGCCAAGGAATGTTTCAAAAACAGAAAAATAGAGGCAGGAGATATATGAAAACTATATTTTCTATTTAATTTTGTTGTGAATCTAAATCTGGTCTACAAAGAATACTGATGGGGGTAGGTGGTGATTTGTAAAGCCATTTTGCACGGAATAAAGAATTTAATCTCCTTGTAAAGTGTAGGCCCTCTCTGAGGAAGGCATATGTGTGTTTGGGTCTGAATGTTAAGCAGTAATAAGGACAGTTACAATTAGCATAATTCTTTAAAAGATTTTAGAGAGAGCATAGAAGCAAGAGGAGCGGCAGAGATGAAAGGGAGAGAATCTCAAGCAGACTCCCTGCTGAGGTCAGAGCCAATGCAGGCTGACCTCAGGTTCTTGAGATCCTGACCCCAGCCAAAACCGAGAATCACTCAGTGAACTGAGCCATCCCCTGGAGAGGCGCCCATAGTAGTTTTTCTTAAAACTTAAGGCTGTCAGCATCCTTAAACTCGGGGAAGTGATAAAATTTTTAAGATCATCAAAAAAATTTAATACCTTTAGAGTAACCTTTTCCATTTCTTGAGTTTAAATTATCAGCAAGCATTATTTTAAACCTTTATGAAACTGCTCTATTAAAACCAAAGCCATTCAAAAGGAATACGAGGTCAGAGAAATTAAATTCTCTGTTGATTTACCTTTTGGAGGGCCACTGAATGCCTGATATTTTTGGCAGCATTATAATAGAAATGAGGGTTGAAATGGTTCTGTATTCTAAATAGCAAAAGAACACGTTGCCATACTGTTTGGCTCTGAAAAAGTTCAGAGGGAGTCTAACAGTGCAAGTGTGTCTTTGAGAAAGGATGGGAGAATAAAAAACTGTCCATCTCTTAGATTATAATCACTGATGAACTTTCATTCTAGAATTGCCATTTTTGCTTGCTTCCCCTCTTAAGAACCTTCATCCACCCTCCCTACCAACCCTATTCCAATTTAAGTATTTTTGTAGTAACATTAGCTAAGGAATTAGAGAATGCACCAGGAAATGTGAAAATCCTAACCATGGCTGCCCAGCTTTAAGTGTCTTATCCTCCCTGCTACCTTTCTTTTCTGTGAAATGGTAGTATTTATGGATCTGTCCTACCTAGCTCTGGATATTGCTTATTTTAAGAATATTTTATTTTGGGATCCCTGGGTGGCGCAGTGGTTTGGCGCCTGCCTTTGGCCCAGGGCGCGAACCTGGAGACCCGGGATCGAATCCCACGTTGGGCTCCCAGTGCATGGAGCCTGCTTCTCCCTCTGTCTATGTCTCTGCCTCTCTCTCTCTCTCTCTCTCTGTGACTATCATAAATAAATAAAAATTAAAAACACACACACACACACACACACACACAAAAAAAAGGATATTTTATTTTTTGGGCAGCCCCAGTGGCGCAGCGGTTTAGCGCCACCTGCAGCCCAGGGCGTGATCCTGGAGACCCGGGATTGAGTCCCACATCAGGCTCCCTGCATGGTGCCTGCTTCTCTGCCTGTGTCTCTATGAATAAATAAATAAAATCTTTAAAAAAAAATTTAAAAAAAGATTTTATTTTTTGAGAGACAGCACAAGCGTGGGGAGTGGCAGCAGGGAGAAGCAGGCTCCCTGCTGAGCAGGGAGCCCAATGCAGGGCTTGATCCCAGGGTCCTGGGATCATGACCTGAGCCAAAGTCAGACACTTAACCAATTGAGCAACTAAGGTGCCCCTGGATATTGCTTTGATCATCATGAAGTAATGTATGAGAATACTTCAAAAGAGTAAACCTATGTAATTGTTACTCATTCTTTTCTATTTCCAAAGGAGAGTCAAATTAATTTTTAATAATTAAAAATTGACTAATAATTAAACAAGGAGATAGTTACCGAAAATATTTTGGACACTTTGATAAGGTTGCAAAAATACAGCTAAGCAGTGACATGGCCATTAAAGGATGGTTTGTTTCTGCTGAGCAGAAAGATTTGCTATTTACTTACATATTTCCTCTAGGTTTTCACATTTGCAGTTTATTCACCATCAGAAGGTGGTGGTATTTGAATATATCCCTTTTCTGGCACTAACTGGGAAAAATGATAGAGGTATGTCTGCTCTTGCTATGTGTACGTATTTATATATATTTATAGTTGTGTGTGAGTATATCATCATATCCCCATCAAAATATAAGCTTATTACACTTGGCTTAGAGAATATGGTATCTAGATACTTAAAAATACCACTGGGCACTGTAAATTTGCTTAAGCAGATATTTACTAAGTCAGTGTGTGAGCTCTTAATAAGTTTCACTATGCCCATTTCTGTTCCCATTACTTAAACATGAATGTGGTTTACTTTCTTAAGGATGCCATGTTATGCTTATCAAACTTTTACTTTTTCTTGTTTTCCTCTTATGTCTTTTAACTTGGCAGCATTAAAAACAAAACAAAACAAAACAAACAAACAAAAAAACACAAAACAAAACCCACCAAAGTCAGTGCTTTCTTTTTGATTAAAGATGACCAAAAATGGTACTTGATGCTATCAGGCAATTAGGTCTTTAAGAAAAACCAGATTTGGATTAAAAGGAAACATTTTTTTGAAACCTTTCATTGTTATGGCTTAAATTTCCTTTTAAAAAATAACTTTCCATAAGTTAAAATTAGCATTTTCACAAATACTAGCAGTCACTCAATGAAATATTAACAGCAAAACAAAACAAAAAAACCATGATTAACAAAGTTGAAGATTTTATTATTAAACTATTTCTCTTCCTGCAAGGCTGTTGCTTCATTGTATAAAAATAGCACCAGCAAGTGCAGTATGCTGCAAAATTAAGGTAGTATTGTTCCTTACCTGACACTATAAGACTAACAAAACTTTCTCTACTGCCAGTTATTTCCAATGGAAAGATTATTTATTTTGACTCCAAATCCTTGAATTACATAATTTTTTAAAACTAGTTTTTTTTTTTTAATTTTTTTTTTTTAATTTATTTATGATAGTCACAGAGAGAGAGAGAGAGAGAGAGAGAGAGAGAGAGAGAGAGAGAGGCAGAGAGAGAAGCAGGCTCCATGCATCGGGAGCCCGACGTGGGATTCGATCCCGGGTCGCCAGGATCGCGCCCTGGGCCAAAGGCAGGCGCCAAACCGCTGCGCCACCCAGGGATCCCCTAAAACTAGTTTTTAACCACAGATAATTTCAGGATTCTGAGTATCGTAACTGGAGCCTAGCATAATCCAAAGGTGTTGCAAAAAAGATGCATATTGTGCTTATCTGCAATCATTGTAAAATTAAGGGTGTTTTCTTCCATTAGCATTATTGCAAGTAGTTTCTTTTTCCATGGATACTGCTAATAGTTGCTCTTTAAATCCTGTACGCACCACTAATTTAAGACAACTATGTTAGATTAAGTTGTTTCATACTAGTTTATTTAGGGTTTCATTTTCACTCCTCAATAGATTTTATGTATTTCTCATATGCTTCTTCACTCATTAATTCATCCAGTTCTGAAGGATTACTCAGTGCTATCTTGATCAGCCAACCTGCAACCAAAAAAAAGTATCATATTCCAAATTACCTTTTTAAAGAGTAAAAGTCAGATTCATTCAAAATGTAAAATTTTTGAGTGCCTCAAAACTGATCTAGTATTCTTTATATAAATCACTCATTATTTATTCAATGAGCTTTATATTTTAGCCTTAAGAATTCAGTTAAATATTGTTGCATATCACAATTGAAAAGAAAACCAGAATAGATTCTACTATAATGGATTAAGAATGCTTAACCTCATGCCTATGAGAATGACTAAAATAAAAACAGAAAACAAGTGTTGATGAGAATGTGCAGAAAAAGGAACCCTTGTGCACTACTGTTGAGAATGTAAACTGGTGCAGCCATTGGCAGACAGTGTGGAGGTTCCTCAAAGTTAAAGATAGAACTAACCTATGATACATTAATTGCACTACTGAGTAGTTTATCCAAAGAATACAAAAACAAATTTGAAAGGATATATGCACCCCTAGGTTTACTGCAGCATTATTTACAATAGCCAAACTATGGAAGCAGCCCAAGTGTCCATCAGTAGATGAAGATGTAGTGTGTGTGTAAAACAGATTACTCAGCCATAAAGAAAAATATGAAGTCTTGCCATTTGCAACAACATGGATGGAGTTAGAGTATAATGTCAAGCAAAATAAGTCAGTCTGAAATACCACACTGAAATACCATATGATTTCAGTCATATGTGGAATTTTTTAAAGTAGGCTCCACACCCAGCATGGACCCAACATGGGGCTTGAACTCATGGCTCCAATCAGCACCTGAGCTGAGGTCAAGAGTCGGATGCTTACCCGACTGAGCTACCCAGGCACCCCTCATATGTGGAATTTACAAAACAAAATGAACAAAGAAAAAAAAAGAGAGAAACTAAGAATCAAAATTTTTAAGTACAGAGAACTGATGGTTATTAGGGGAAGGTGGGTGGAGGGATGGGTTAAATATGGCATGGGGATTAAAGAGTATACATTTATTATGATAAGCTGCGAGTAATGTACAGAATTGCTGAATCACTATATTATACACAGAAACTAATATAAACACTATATATTAACTATACTGGAATTAAATCTTTAAAAAAATTTTTTAAAAAAGCCTTGAGTTGTCATAACCATCAACTACATTGAGAGATCCAAATATATAAGACCAGGGATAGCTAGCTTTAACAAAAGGAACACTGATACTGTAACTGCTGAGGTGAAGGGGAACAGGGAGCAGAAAGCACTACTAGTGTTAGAAGGGTTAGGTGAGGCAACAGAGAACTACAAGCTAATCCTAATTTTGCAATTCCTGGACAAAATGGAGAAAACTGCTGCTACTGCATTTCACCGAGTTATTAAGATGAAAATGTGACAAAACTGATTGAATAGGTATTATTCTGTTACCACCTACACCACACAATATGATTGGACACTTTAGGTCTGAAGAGGTGAATACTTTGCAAGTGTTCATGAAGAGTCTACTACAGCTTAGTACTAAGAACTCTGAAGAATAAGGCAATGTTTTTATTGAGATCTTAAACCTAACCTTATATATTCAGTTAATCTGTGTTTCCCTTTTTTAAAGCAAAACATGACTACTTAGTATCAAAAGTGCAAAAAGATGAAGTTATAATCTGCTGAAGCTTGCTTTAAATTCTAAATGTTAACTGCAGCAATAATCCTTTGAAAAAAATTCTAGCAACTTACCATCTTCATAACAAGATTTATTGACAAGTCCTGGATTTTCTGCAAGAGCTTCATTAATTTCAGTTACTTCTCCTGATAGAGGAGAGTAGAGTTCACTAGCAGCTTTCACACTTTCCAAAGCACCAAACTCATCTAAATTGAGAAAATTTAAACATTAAATATCAAAAGTCAATGACCTGAAAATATAAAATACAGAAGTAGTCACCTTTGATTCAGGATGATACCACATTCTAAATATCTTTAATTTAAAAATAAAACCACTGCTTACATCACCTATGAGAAGGGTATAAATATCTCAATAAAGTGGACCTGTTTTAGGAATGAACAACAAATGGTGATATATCTGAATACCAAATATGCTTTCATTCAGTATAAAACTCAATTTTCTTTTAATTTACTGTGGCTCCTAAAAAGCAATATCAGGAGATTCCAGTAATGGTGAAGTACCTCATGAGACCAGCCTTCTTGCAGATAGCAATTATAAACTCTAAACAAAATGAAAAACAACCATATGAAGGCTGTGAAGAGTGACCAAAGGTGGATTTAATCCTTAAAAGGGGGCCCAGGGCTGCTGGCGGGCTCAGGAGTTTAGCGCTGCCTTCAGCCCGGGGCGTAATCCTTGAGACCTGGGATCAAGTCCCACATCGGGCTCCCTGCATGGCGCCTACTTCTCCCTCTGCCTGTGTCTCTGCCTCTGTGTGTGTGTGTGTTGTGTGTCTCTCGTGAATAAATAAATAAATAATCTTTAAAAAGGTGGGGGGGGGCAAACTGGGTGAGATCTTCCTTCATATAAGTTGTACTAACAACCCCATTTAAAATGCACAGTGTTAACTAGAACACAGAGTAAAACCAGTCTTATTTGAGGGGTCAGAGGACGGAATGTAGGCCTGCCAAGGTGGCTAGAACCAAGGGCTGAAATCCTAGAAAAAAGGGGGCTATGGTTAGGAGAAAAAGTAGTCAACAGATCCCAAAATGACCCATAGACCTACATTTTGGGATAAGCAGAGAACCTATTATCTTCAGATTTTTTAAAAGCACATCATGTATAAACACATGGGGGAATACCTGCAAAGAAAAGAAAAATTGGGGGGAGGGGCAACTGGGTGGTTCAGTAGTTGAGCATCTGCCTTTTTGCTCGGGTTGTGATCCTGGGGTCTTGGGGATCAAGTCCAGCATCAGGCTCCCCACAAAGAGCCTGCTTTTCCCTTTATGTATGTCTCTGCCTCTCTGTGTCTCTCGTGAATAAATAAAATCTTGAAAAAAATGGAAATTTAAAAAGTGGACATTCTAGAACTGGAAAGTATAACATCTAAAATAAAATTCACTGGATAGCAATAACAGCAAAAGGGTCAGTTAATGTGAACAAAGAGCACCTTTTTTAAAAAAGACTGAAAAATTAACAGAGCCTTAGTCACCTGTGGGACAACATCGAGTGATCTGAACTGAATGATACTGAGAATACAATATACCCAAATTTGTGGGATATAGCTAAAATAGTGCTTTGAAGGAAATCATTATCTTTAGGTCTCATTTACAAAGAACATGTTAAAAAAAAAATCAATGACCTCTGAGTTCTAAAGACACTAGAAAATGAACAAAAGCAGTCAATTCATGGAAAGGAGATAACACTTGAAAGAAGGGACAATAGTGGTGATTTTTTTTTTTAAATGGCATTTAGCCTGAAGACAACACAACAATCTATGTCATTTGGGGCAGCCAAAGTTCTAAGAGGAAATCTCAGTCTTAATTGGTGTAAGGGACCAGAAGACGAATTGAGGCCACCATAACTAATAGAAAGTGAGGTGGGAAATCCTAAGGAGAGAGACTAAAAGGGAGAGCCCCAAATCCTATATATAAACTCTGTCTAGGCCCCTGAATGATGCCTGAACCATGCACGCACGGCTGGCATCCCAGTGAAGCCTAAAAGAATTAAACTTAGATTTTAGCTGCTACTCACTACAAGGGAGATGCAATTTACAGTTTGGGTAAAGAACGTACTTACTAAAAAGCCCCAATTTGCTACCTAAAGAAGTCAGAAAAATTAGAGCAAATTAAGTCTAACTTGAAGGAAGAAAAAAGATATGAACATGAAATAAAGGGACTGCTAAGAATCAATGAATAAGAGATTTCTTAGAAAATATACAATGTTCTATACATAAATAAAAACATTAGTAACTTAGACATGTTAAAAATTAAAAGTTTATCCAAAAAACACTTAAGAAAATGAAAAGGCAAAATCATAAACTATGACAAAACTTCACAAAATATAGATCTGAAAAAAAAATATATAGATCTGAAAAGATTTGTATCTAGAATATACAGAATGCCTAAAAATCAATGGTAAAAAGACAACTCAAATAAATTTGGTAAAGGTTTGACTAGAGACTAAACACAAAAAAAGATGTGAGTGGCAAAAAGCACATGGAAGGCTGCTCAACAACAATTTGTTATCTCACCGTGGGATCTGCAGTGCCTAGAACTCTCTCATACTGCTGGTGAGAATGTAAAATGGTATAACCACTTTGGGAAGCTGTTTGGCAGTTTCTTATAAAGTTAAACATACAACTACTATACTACATGCCAGAAATTCCACTCCTATATGTATGTACCCAAGAGAAATGAAGACATCTACAGAAAGATTTCTACTAAAAAAAGTTTATAGATTTCTAACAGCTAAAAACTAGAAATAACACAAATCCATCAACAAAAGATTAAAAGGTTATATAATAGTACACTCTTCGGCAATAATGAACTACTGATCACTCAACATAAATCTCAAAATCATGATATTGGACAAAAGAAGCCAGATATAATATAAAAACTGTGTGGTTCCTTTTAAATGAAGTTAAATAATAGGCAAATTAATCTATGGTGACATCAGAAATCAGAACAGGTTGTCTTGAGAAGGGGTTTTCAATCGGCAAGGTTTACAAAGTGTTTATGTTTGTCAAAACTCATTGGATTGTACACTTCAGGCATTTTCATTGTATGTAAATTTTACATCAATTTTCTAAAAGCCTTAGCAGAAAGTTTAAAGAGCATTCATTAGTTTAGATATATTTATGTTAATATAAGTTTTTTAAACACAGCAGGTTTATGCTGCTCACTTGCTAATAAGAGATATTCAGAAAATGTTCAGTGAAGAGATCTCCTGCTTGAGAGCAGCAGAATGGATACAAAACATCACGAGAAAAGAAAATAAGAACTGTTCTCTAACAGAAGAAAAATGGATAAAGATTATCAATCACAACAAGGGTCTTATAGTGACATTGGAAAAGGTTCCTGTGAAGACCTTCAAAATGGATATGACCTAATATATAATATATCCAGCTAGGATACTGAGAACCAGGAAGAAGAAAAAGTTCAAAGCAAGATAAATGATGGGGAAAGTTTAAGCAGAAAAAAATATGACCAATGTTGTCAAAGATACTTAGAAAAACAGATTGTTTACTGCCTCCAAGGAAAAACAGATTTTACCTTCTCATCCTACTGTTGGATACGGCCATTTGAGAAAGTGATGCTTGAAGATTTTGCTGTCATTTTGTAACCTCTGGCACACTGAGGCAGAAAAAGTATGAAAAGAATTCATGTCCTTGATGACTCTTCACTATACCACTAAGACAATCCTGTTTCCATCTATCTCTAGACTTCTTGAAGGAGATAAAATAAACTCCAACTGTTCAATCTTTTAGATGAGTTTTCTATTACTTGAGTAAAAAGCACTCTAATTGATCCTAAGTGTAAACAGGTTGTTATGCAAAGTAAAGATACTTAAGGCATGAATAATATGCCAAGATGAGAAAAATACTCACCTTGTTTGTTCAATTTTGTCCCAACTTCAGGCAGACTACAGTAAACAACATCTCCCAAAGCTTCCTAAAACAAACAAAACACAGACCTCTAAGAAATCAAATTAAACCTCCTAGTAAATAGGAACAAGCCAAATACTAACCTTCTATAATTCAGATAGTTCCTATTTTACACTCGAGGGACCACCTTCTTTTGTTTTTCTTACAACTCTTCAAAAATGCAAAACTATTCTTAAGTCAGGACCTGCAGGAAAACAGGCTGCCAGCTAGCCTGGCCCACAAGCAGCAGTCATTCCTGTCACAAGCCATCCCATCAATATTCTAGCTCCTCTGAGAATAAACACACCTTGTGCTCTTCCACCTTTGCAGTTGTGCTTAGGCCATTTCCCCTGCTGTATTTGCTGAAATCCTACCCACTGATCTGTAAATCATTGTCCTCAGGCCTGGTACTCCCTGAAGACCTTGACTCCAAGTTAAGAAGTCAGCTCTCCATCAGGGGAGTTACAACCCTTGTACTACTCAGATCACCATCCATCATGTACTGTTTTGTGTATAATTTCCCATGTAGGTGATTCTCCTATAAATAAACCGAGGAGGTGAAGACAGCACCTGTACAGTATTGTACACAGTACCGTGTACTGGGCCACACATAGGCCAGTGAAGATACAATATGGGATCACTGGGAATAGCGAAATTAAGAGAAAAAGACTGGCTAAATAAAAGGTTTGCCTTTGTCTAGTCTGTGCCAATCTGGGTTTTCCTTCTTCATGCCCCCTGGTTGTGCATATGTTCTGTTATCCACAAAACACTGTCAACATCCCAGGCCTTCTGTTTCTCTTATTTTTCCCTTAACTGCCCCAACACCATTAAACATATTTCTTTCTTGAATAAGGTATGCTTACTTATAATTGTTAACCTTTTAATAATCTCTTAAAACACTATATACTGCCCTAAATTATATTTTGCTTGTTTACTTGATTGATGTTCTTTAAACATCAAAACAAAGAATAAGGGGCAGAATAATAGTTTTTAAAAGGCAGACAATCCAATTTAGGCAAGAGCAGACTGTTAAGTATTTCAAAACAACCCAATACCTGTGCAAAATTGCTGATTCCTACTGTTCCAATACCATTTTCTGTTGTTATCCATTCATGTTTGTCTGTGAATTTACGCACTAAAATAGAAGACCAATATTTCAGAAAAGCAGAGGTATCACTTCTTAAAAAGCACTTTTCATATCAATACTGTCAAAAGGCAAGACTTCTCTAGTATTTGTGTTTGACTCACTGACACCGACTTTTAGTAACATACTGCTGAGGAAAAACCAGATCACATGAAAAGACAAAGTATCTTCTCAACAGTATCATTTAGGCAAAGATGGCCTGATGTGAATGGATACCTTGTGTATCTTTTGGAGATATGGTTATTCCAACATTAGTGTAAATTACACATATAAACTATGTATACTTATTCATTTCTGGTCTGTCTTACAGAAGGTAGTCTGTCCCTCTGTAGACAGACTTGGGTTGAGGAAGCACAAATGCTCATAATGTTCATAAATGATTTAACATGAAAAAAAATGTGCCTGTTTAGGTGAAATTGACAGAAGAGGGCTTCACTGCAACTCGGTTATAAAGTGGAATCTTACATAACTGAAACTGACCTGCAACAATTATAATTTGACTAAGGTCTTAAAATTCCATTTTTTTTTAAAGATTTTATTTTATCTATTCATGAGAGGCACACAGAGAGAGAGGGAGAGAGAGACGCAGAGACACAGGCAGAGGGAGAAGCAGGCTCCATGCAGGGAGCTTGATGTGGGACTCGATCCCAGGTCTCCAGGATCAGGCCCAGGCCGAAGGCAGCGCTAAACCACTGGGCCACCGGGGCTGCCCTTAAAATTCCATTTTAATTGAATTCAAACCTGCCATTGAAGAAAGTGGTCACTATCATTTAAAGAGACTTTAAGATCAGAACTCAACAGTCACCTCAGAGCTAAGGCATTAACTGGTGGAAAGTCTAGCTCTGCTCCACATTTAATGGCCAGGAAAAAAGACTGACCAAAGTTCGAGAAATGTGAAAAAAGCTATTTAGAATTTAATGTCAGAGTACATGCTTTAAAGAATAAATTTTGGGGGCAGCCCCAGTGGCTCAGCAGTTTAACGCTGCCTTCAGCCCAGGGTGTGATCCTGGAGACCGGGGATCGAGTCCCAGGAGTCCCATGTCAGGCTCCCTGGATGGAGCCTGCTTCTCCCTCTGCCTGTGTCTCCCTCTGCCTCTCTGCCCCCCTCTCTCTCTCCCCCCATGTTTCTCACAAATAAATTTAAAAAAATATTTTTAAAAATTAAAAATAATAATAAGGAATATTTTTTAAAAGCATATGCTATTTTCTTAAATATACGTATCACAGTATGAGGCCAAGTATTTTTCCAAAACCAATGCATCAGAAATTAATAGGACAATGGTTCATCAATTCAAATGCTGTTTTAGAGTAAGTCTTTCTGGTTCACTCTTATCCTTTATCCAAAAGATAGTTATACTTAAAACAGCATTAAATTGCTTTGATCACATAGCTATGATTAGAAGCAGAATATAACTTACTGCTTTCTTTTCCCCCTAATCATTAAAAAAACTTTTAATTTCATAGTCTTCATTGGAAGAATTTCTAAAATGTCACAAAGGAACTTGCTTTGCTTCGTTCCACTTCAAATACTAAATACTTAAGGTCAATCTGATCTTTCTGCAAAGTTTCTACTTGGTGTTCTGACTGGAATTCTCACCACCCCCCACCCCCCTGCCTTTTGACTACTTCAAGTTGAGAAGCTCTTTTCTGCCAAAAAGCCTTCTGTAGCCCTCCAGCTGGCTCCCACGGCATTCTGCACCACTCTCCCTGGACCGCGGCCCTACAACACACAGCACTTAAGGAGCTACACATATAGTCCTTTTGTCCATTCTCCCCAGGAAGGAGATGAAGCACAAAGCAAGCAAGAACATTGCTTATTTCATTTTTATTTGTATTCTCAGTTCTAACACAGAGCTTACCACTCAGAAGTTTGTGAGTGAAGTAATTCTTTGTTTTAATTAAGTCAAGGAGATTCTGACCAAATTATCTATATAGGTATGTGGCTACACACACTTAATTCTCCCTATCATGGTTACAACTCCAGAATTGGCTGATTACAATACCAATTATGAAAAGTTTAAATCTATACCTTTTGAAAATTTTTTTTAAAAGATTTTATTTATTCACAAGAGACAGAGAGAGAGAGGCAGAGAGACACAGGTAGAGGGAGAAGCAGGCTCCATGCAGGGAGCCCGATGTGGGACTTGATCCCAGGTCTCGAGGATCACGCCCTGGGCTGAAGGTGGTTGAGCCACCCAGGGATCCCCTAAATCTATACCTTTTAAAAGTAACAACTAGAGCAGCCCGGGTGGCTCAGCAGTTTAGCGCCGCCTTCAGCCCCAGGTGTGATCCTGGAGACCTGGGATTGAGTCCCACATTGGGCTCCCTGCATGGAGCCTGCTTCTCCCTCTGCCTGTGTCTCTGCCTCTCTCTCTCTCTCTCTCTGTGGTCTCTCATGAGTAAATAAATAAAATCTTAAAAAAAAAAAATAAAACAAAAGAAATTTAAAAAAATAAAGTAACAACTGGACAACTATAAATATGACTTCTCTGAGACTGCTGTATTAATTTGAGCCTTACCATCTTGCCTAATTGTAAAGATAATCTTAGGAATAAGGTTGCTCACACTCAGTTTAGCAACTGAGCAACCACAAGTTTAGATGAAAGACAGCAAGATTAGTAAGGTAAATGCCCGCAAGTCCACTTAATTTAAAGTCTGCAAGACTCTTTACAAGGCCAAGCTATTTAGGCTAAAGACAATGATTAGTTTAATTCTCCTTTTTTTTTTAAATTTTTATTTATTTATGATAGTCACAGAGAGAGAGAGAGAGGCAGAGACACAGGCAGAGGGAGAAGCAGGCTCCATGCACCGGGAGCCCGATGTGGGATTCGATCCCGGGTCTCCAGGATCGCGCCCTGGGCCAAAGGCAGGCGCCAAACCGCTGCGCCACCGAGGGATCCCCTAGTTTAATTCTCCTTTAACCCTCAGCCCAATAGGATAAAAGTGGACAGGTCAGGTAAATAATTACTTTCTTACTGAGCCTTTAAAAACATCATCTTTGGGGATCCCTGGGTGGCGCAGCGGTTTGGCGCCTGCCTTTGGCCACGGGCGCGATCCTGGAGACCCGGGATCGAATCCCACGTCGGGCTCCCGGTGCATGGAGCCGGTTTCTCCCTCTGCCTGTCTCTGCCTCTCTCTCTCTCTCTCTCTCTCTCTCTGCGACTATCATAAATAAATAAATAAATAAATAAATAAATAAATAAATAAATAAATACATACATACATACATACATACATACATCATCTTTGGCTTCAAAATGAGGTGTTTTCAGTAATTCATGAAAAGTCTGCATTTTCCTCCTTTCAGAGTCACTAATCAGGGGGCACCTGGCTGGCTCAGTGCTTGAGCATCTGCCTCCGGCTCAGGGTGTGATCCCTGCTCTCTGCCTTTATCTCTGCCTCTCTGTTCTCTCATCAATAAATAGACCTTAAAAAAAAAAGTCAGTAGTCGGATAACAAATATTGGCCAATTTTTACCTACTTGATTCTATAATATTTAATAGCATTTACCAAATTCGTTTCATCCACCCAGCAACTCTGTATGGTAGAGGTATTATCATTTCCATTTTTCTGATGAGAGAAAACAGACTAAGAAGTTAAGTGACTCTGCCCAAGATCACATAATTAGTAAGAGGTAGGGCTGAAATTGGAACTTGGGCCTCTGTTCTTAAAAACCGTGATTGAACACCAGATCATAGGTATTGATATTTTGGACAATATTTAACTAGGTAACTGGAAAGTGCAAAAACCCAGCAACACTGAATAACCAAAAAAAAAAAAAAAAAGGTGCCTTGAAATTCACTTCTTCTCTGCGATTTGCTTTCCCTTTGTATTCAAATTGGTGATTATTGATATGTGTCACCAACAGAACTAAAGGAATGTGTTAGCAACGACAGAGAAGCATCTTTATGTTTCGGACTGGAGTAAATGTCATCAAGCCTTCCATTTCCAAACAGGTTCCTAAAACAGTGAAATTAATGAGACAACAGCCATCACAGACCTATATGCACCCCTAAGAAGCCTCAATTCCCGGAGGAGGCGCAGTCGGCGTCTCATGCACTTGGGCCCGCAGTAAGAAAACTTTTTCTGCTGCAGTAATCGCGCTAAAGCGTGAAGCGGCAGAGATGGCCAAGGCGGTTGTGGGCAGGGCCCCGGTTATTTCAACCCCAAGTCCCTGTGAGCCCTCGTTTCTGTCCCAACACATTCGGGACTCAATACAGACTTTCGCAGAATGTCTGAGAGTCCAAAAGACTTCATATGTCACTGTTTCTAGCAAATAGCTGAGCCTTCGAAGTCATGCCCACTTTTTCGCTAGTAAAAATCTAGCTCCGGTGCTTTAACTCCATTAAGTGCCCTTGCTTTAATTTCACCTCGGAGTTCTCGGTGACGTCCACGTCGCGAACCAAAGCCTACCATGCCCCCCCTTTCAGGGCCTAACGATGCACACCCGCGAGATCACCAGCTGAGGTCGCGGCGGCTTAGCACGCTGCCCGGTCCTCCAGCGGCGAGCGAAGGAGCCCGCCCCGGGCGGCCGCGCGTGTGCCCCGGGCTCCCCGGCCCGCAGGACCAGGGCTGCGGCGTGGGCCACGCCACCCGGAGGCGGCAGGGGCAGGGGCAGCGGCAGGGGCAGCGGCCGCGCAGCCCGCGACCCCGGCGGGAGGACGCGGCGTGAGCCCGGCGGTCGGCCCGTCGCCCTCCGCAGCCCCGCTCGCCCCCACGTGCCCGCCCGCGCTTACCGGAGAGCAGAGCGGGGCCCGTGCGCAGCGTCCGGACGGCGCCCGCCCTCGGCCCCCAGGGCCGCGGCAGGCCGGGCGCGGCGGACACGGAGGCGACCCGCAGGCTGCACGCCGCAGCCCGCACGCCCCGCACCGCCAGGAGCGCCATGTTCGCGGAGATGCGGAGGGCGCAGTGCGAGCGGCTCCGGCGCCCCGGCCGGCGGGGGCGGGGGCGGGGGCGGGGGCGGGGCCGGGGCGGCCGCGGACCGGAGAAAGCCGGAGCCAGCCGGCTGGGCCGGGGCGGGGGGCGGGGCCCGGGCGGAGGGGGCGGGAACTCCGGGCCGGGCGCGGCCTCGGATAGGGCGGCGCGCGCGCGAGGGGCGGGGACATGCAGAAGAGCAGGAGCCGCGGCCGGAAGGGGCTGAGGGCGAGGGGCGGGGCCTGGGCCGTGGTGCGGGGCGGGGCGGGGCGGGGCCTCGTAGCCGGGAGCCGGTGGCCCGGGAGTGAACGTGCGAAGTCGGCCTCCCGCTCCGGTAGCGCGGGTGGGGTTCCCGGCGGCGATGGCTTCGCGGGATGCGCGTTCCTGTAGCAGCGGGGCCCTGAGGTCTCCAGGAAGGTATAGGGTGTCCCCAGGCCTGTCAGAGGATCAAGGTCACCCAGAGCACGGCTCAGAGCCGGGTCTACGCGGAGTCATTCCAAAGAAGACAGTTGGGCATTGGCCAAAGGAGTTCAGACACGTGGTGTCTCATTGACATTTCAAAATGCTGGAAACAGCCCGGGAACCCACGTTATTACTTTACAGATGCCAAGAGGCCTGGGTCCCCCAAACGGACAGACCGAATCTTGAAGCTCATAATGGTGCAAGGACTTGCCTGATTGGGTGGAGCCAGTCCGCCAAGCAGGAGCAATCCCAGCGTGGTCAGTTCCCGGCTTACCTAGCCAGCCCTGTGACCAGGGCCTCTCCAGAAAGGCAGAAGGCATGTCCCCATCCAAGGAGACAGAAAATAAGTTCTGGGAAAGGCCTCAACATCAACACAAATTAACTGGAGTGGGCGGGAATCCGCAAAGAAACCCCAGAGTGAAAAACATCTTAAGCTCCAGATCTTCATTATTCGGGGGTGGCCACCTAAAAGTGTGTGTGTGTGTGTGTGTGTGTGTGTGTGTGTGTACGCGGGGCTGTTTGGGAGACTCGTGGTGTTGCACCGAGCTTCCGCGTCCCTCACAAGACGGGCATTGTCGTCAGCACGTCTGTGCAGTGGCTTGCAAGGGCTGTCGTGCTGCATTTTCCGTTCCCCTGCTATGTGCCTAGGACAGTGCAAACATTACCTTTTTAGTCCTCTCCAAGCCCCCTTCTGATACCTATTACTTTCATTTCATTGGTGAGGAGCTGGAGGCTTAGAAAGGTTAAAAGACTTGCCCAGAAAGGAGTGGGGAAAGCATTCATTGCTTAGTCAAGCAGCTACTAGGTGACAGTAGCAGGACTTGACCTCTAGTCGGATTCATGGTGCACTGCTCTTAAGCTCTGCTGTACTTGCCTCCTTTGGGAGGCCGCCTGGCTCACAGTGGTCTTCTCCAAACTCCAGATCCTGGCTAGCTTCTATAATGTCAACATTCTGTTTTTATTGTTTTGTTATAAACCAACATAGTATACTACATGCCCTAAAATATTTATTCCCAGCTCGACTAAAGCATTTGGTGGGAAAAACAAGGTCACATATCAGTCTGTGGACCATATCGCATGATCTTCACTAAAACAATAGGAAATGTGTCATTTTTAAAAATTAATAAGCATTAGAATAATCAAAAATTCTCTTTTTTCGTAACTGATAATCTTTGTAACATCCATGGCTTGAGACTTGAAAAGTCATCTCAGCATGTTTGGTACATACAGACGCCTGAAACTTGCACATGGTTTTCTCTTTCAAGTGTCTTAAGAGGGACCCACTCATCTCTTTTTTTTTTTCCTCTCATAACGATACAATTGGATGAGCTGCCAGTTTGATATTTACAGTCAGTAAAAGAGGGAAGAGTAGATGGGAAAGATGAGAGAGATGAAGAACTTACAACTTCTCCAGAACCTTTTGTTCTAAGATTTTCAGAATCTTAGAACTTTTCCTATTTAAAACAGACTGTAGGGACCCGTGGGTGGCTCAGCGGTTGAGCAGATGCCTTTGGCTCAGAGTGTGATCCCGGCGTCCTGGGATCGAGTTCCACCTTGGGCTCCCTGCATGGAGCCTGCTTCTCCCTCTGCCTGTGTCTCTGCTTCTGTGTGTGTGTGTGTGTGTGTCTCATGAATAAATAAATAAAATCTTTAAAAAAAAAAAAAAAGTAAAACAGACTATATGAGGGTGCCTGAGTGGCTCAGTCAGTTAAGCATTTGCCTTCAGCTCAGGTCATGATCTCAGGGTCCTGGGGTAGAGGCCTGCATTGGGCTCCCTACTCAGCGGGGAGTCTGCTTCTCCCCCTCCCACCCACCCCCACCTGTGTGCACACACATGTTTTCTCTCTCTCTCATAAATAAAATCTTAAAAAAATAAAACAAACTATACATGTCTGGTATCTGTACCAGTCTATCAGGACATGTGCATACACCTTGCTATGGGGTATTTGATGAATATCTCTGCCCATACAGCTCATGTTCATATCTGACACAATAAAGAATGGATGATGGACTTTTCCTTGAATAGAAGACAATGAAATCCCCAAGGTTTTGCATATGTTCTATGTTGTATGGCTCTTTATAATAAAGGATCCTTTTTATAATAAAGGATCCATTTTTTGTTGTTGTTGTTGTTGTTGTTGTTTTAATTATCAGGGTAGGATCCTGATTTAACTGTCACAAAAACATTTAAGCTCTCATCCAGATAGAAGGCAATAGTTCAGTTCCACGGTTGATTAAGTCAGTCATCAAACATCCATGTTCCTCTCACCTTTCTATTCTGCTATGTTCAGATTATTTCCTATGGTCTCAAAATAGCTGCCAAAGTTCCAGGAGTCTTGCTTAAACCAGAAAATGTCTAGCAGCATAAGGCCCCATGTCTGTGGTGTCTCTTTATTACCAAGTAGACCTTTCCAGAAAATATCCTGGAGACTTTATTTTTCATTTGCTGGAACTGGGTCCTGTGGCTACCCTAAATCCCTCACTGTCAAGGGAAATGGATCACTATTACTAAGACAAATCAGGATTTGTCTTAGGTAGCAACAGGGTCACCTTCCCATGAGTCATGTGGGAAAGGAATAGATGTCTCCCTGAACAAAGTTGGGTTCTGATAACAATGAGGAAAGCATGGGATGAATTTGGGGCAGGCAAACTGGAGAATCTGTTACCACAGGTGAGTGAGGAAGAGGTACCAGATGGGTGAACTGAAGAGGCTATGTGCTGTGTGTCCCCTGCATGGGGGAGGAGAAATGTGCCCTTATCCACACAGACACCTTATTTCTTATTTAGGTCTGTGGTTCTCAGAATTTAGAGCATGGTTATTGAGTCTGATTATCAAGTCTGACTGCCCATTGGAATCACCTGGGGAGACTTTAAAACTATTATTGCCTGGGTCCTAGCCCAAAGGTTCTGATGCATTGGAATGAAGTCCGGGGAGTCTAGCATGCAGCCAAGGTTGAGAACCATTGATGTAGATCAACAATTCCCAAAGTACTGTCTAAAGAACACTAACTCTGACTAAGGTTGCTGCAGTACTGGATGCCTCAGAAGGGTTCAGGAGTCATTATACTCTTTATCTCTGTGCTCATCTCATTCCAGGAGACTCACAGTGCCCATTTAGCATATTAAAAACTCTGACAATTCCCATGCTAAAGAACTTGTGTGACCTTTTATAATCTAGCATTTCTCACATTTATTTGATTCAGAAACATTTCTGGGGGAATGATGCCTGTTATGATGAATTTTGTTCCCTAAAGAGATATGTTGAAGTCCTAACCCCCAGTACTCAAAATGTGATCTAATTTGGGAATAGGGTTGTTGCAGATGTAATTTGTTAAGATGAGGTCATAATAGAGTAGGATGGGCCCTCAATCCAGTATGACGAGAAAACTTATAAGACGAGGAAAAGAGGGGCACCTGGGTGGCTCAGTTGATTAAGTGCCTTCAGCTTGGGAGCCTTGGGACCAAACTCTGCATCAGGCTCCCTGTCCAGTGAGGTGTCTACTTCTCTCTCTACCCTTCACCCCCCTCATGCCCTCTCTCAAATAAATAAAATATTTTAAAAAAAGAAGAAAACCAGGACAGATACAAAGGAGAAGGCCATGTGATGACACAGAGATTAGCATGATGCGTCTATAAGCCAAGGAACACCAAAGGACACTAGAAGCTGGAAGAGAAGACTGTTCTATAAAGTCTTCAGAGAGAGGATGTCCCCCCTTGACACCTTGATTTGGGGCTCTATCTTCCAAAACAGAGAATGTAAATTTCTGTTGTTTTAAGCCAACTAGTTTTGTGGTACTTTGTTCTGGCAACTGTAGCCAACTTCTATAACAGCCATCAACATCTCTTGGATAGATTTTGAGAAACCCTGTACTGGAATCATTCAGAAGCAACCCCTGACCAACCAAGAAGATTAAATAGTCTATAGAGATGATTTTTACCCAAACTCCAGACAATATTTGTTTTATTTCTAGAAGGAAATACATTTGAACAAACAGTCTATCACAGTAGTGGTAATTGCATGTATCTGTATATATATTTATTTTTTTCACTTGTCAGACTTGGTGACTTTTCTATGCACACGGGAGAACATAGAGAGAGACTATAGAATCACCAGTAAGCATAGGTCCAAGGCTCTGGCCATCTTCTTTCTAAAGATGCTCATGTGTGCATGAAGAGTTTGAACTTTGAGCGCAGCTGATGCAGGTGGAGGGGGCCCCCCCCGCCTCTGATGGCTACTTGGGCTGCTCACTGCTGCTTCCAGGCTCCTCTCTTTTACGTTTAATAGCCAAGAAACTGAGTATTTTCATCAGTAACAAATCGACAATCTCTCCTTCTTCCGACAGCTGAAGAGGGGGAAAAAAAGCCCATGTGACATACCTAGAACCATTCTCTTTGGGGGCTTTTCTTTCTAAGGTGAAACCATGGTTTTATTGTCCAATTAGGTCTCTGCCAAAGTCACTTCACTCTTTAGAGTCTTTTTTTTCTTCTTCTTCTTTTTTTCTTTCTTTCTTTCTTTCTTTCTTTTTTTTTTTTTTTTTTTTTTTTTTTTTTTTTTTGTAGAGATTCTCCCTTTTCTGGGAATTCCAAGACTGTGTGCTCCCACTTATTCCCCAGGAAGTTCCTTTTTTCCCTCTGATGAGAATAATAAAATTCCTTCTACCACCCCCAGCAGAGGCTCTTATGAATTTATGTACAAAGAACCTTGTGCATTGCTGCTGGAAATGTGAAACAGTGCAGCTGCTTTGCAAAGTAGTTTGCCACAGCTTCTCAAAATTTAAACTAGTTACCATATGACTTGTTGCAATAAATCTCTAATCCCGAGAAACACCTGGGTGGGTCAGTGGTTGAGTGTTTGCCTTCGGCTCAGGTCATGATCCCAGGGTCCTGGGATTGAGTCCTGCATCAGGCTCCCTGCAGGGAGCCTGCTTCTCCCTCTGCTTATATCTCTGCCTCTCTCTTTGTGTCTCTCATGAATAAATAAAATCTTTAAAGGAAAAATTTCTAAGCCCAAGATGGAGCTGGTCCTGCCTGGCGTGCCATGTCAGCAAACTGAAGTTTACAGAACTTTTGTGTCCCTATAAATGCTCCCCTGCCCAAAATGCAGTATACCAGGCTAGCCAGGCCCTAAACACCAAGCCACTTCTGGGGTCTATACTTCTTTTCTATCTTACTCCAAACAAGGTTGACTCTGTGGCTCCAGCCAATCAGATCTTTTAAAAATTTTTTCTCTTCCTTGTTCTTTATTCTTTATCCTATAAAAGCTTTTTGCCTTCCACCCTGTTTGTACTTCTCTAAATGGAGACTGTCTACTTCATGAAGTGTTAAAGTTTGTATCACTTATCTGCTTTAATAATTTTTAACAGGTTCTCTGCTTCAGCTTCATATTGCAATCACATGGGAAGATATCAAAAATACCAGTGCTTGACTCATTCACCCAGAGATTCTAATGTACACGCAGGGCTGAGAATCACTGGACTGCCACCTTGGAAATCAGGAGACCCAATTCTGGTCTGTACTTCATTTGCTTGTAGTCTCAAGAAGTAATTCCCTCCTTCTGGACCTGTTTCCCCTCCTATGAAATGAGGGCTTTGGGCTACAGTGTCTCTCAAATCCCCTTTATGTCTAATGCTACTCAGTCTCTTCCTAGTTCAAGGTCAGGGACTGTTGAAAAATAGGCCAAAGGGACTCACCTGATCATTTTTTTGCTCCTCATTGAAGGCCACCAGAATGACAGAGATAAATAGATTCAGCACCACAAATGTCATGAAAATGATGCAGGACCCAATCAGGAAGGAGCCAAGCACTGGGCTGTAGTCCAAGACCTGTCAGGAAGAAAGCCAGAGTCATCCCCAGGAGTCCTGGGTCTTAGCAGTCACTTCCCCATAGGCACTCTCAGAGGAGAAACTGGTTCCCAGACTAGGCAGAGACTGGAACCAGGAAGGTCCCCTGCCGGATGGCAGCTGAAAATATGGGCAGTCCATCTGGAGCTACCAGGAGAGGGAAAAGCCAACACCCCCTACTCCCTACTGCTACCATTTTCAAATATGGCTACCATTTCTGGCTAGGGCCGGGAACATTCCCTTCTAGATACCTCCCAGCACAGCCCTCTCCTGAGTAGCCAGTACCTGATGTTCTCTAGTAAGCAGGGTCCCCAGGGCAAGCTATAGCCCTAGTATGGATGTGTCTGCCTAGAGGAAGGGGAACTTTCCTTTGTTCCCTGTTCATTGTTCAAAGCTGCCCTGTGCTTGCCAGGCCATAGACCCAAGGGGCAACATCTACCCAGGGGGAGGCACTTGAGGAGGGTGCTTTTTCTAACTTTCACAAAGGCTTGGTATACATGGTAGTGTCCAAGTCCCTCACCCCACCATACCCCATTACCTCCTCGTAGTTAAAGATTCCGAGCTGAAGGCTGATCATTGTTTCTGCTGCATCAAAGAGGGTTTTGTAGGAACGGAGTTTCCAACCAAATATTAAGTTTGACTGTTATGGAAAGAGTCCTCATGAACACAGAAGGAAACCAAGTGACCTCCCCACCCAGCCCTGATGCCTGTTTGACAGTAGAATCAGTGTCCTGGGTCAGCCATATCCTTGGCCTGGCAAAGCCGTCTGTCCTTAGAGGGGCTTGCAAGTGGGTGTGTGTACATACCCAGCTTGTAAGGGGTGTGTATGCACTTCTGGGGCTCAGGCATCACGCACTAGGCCATTGTTGTGTTCACTCAGATGGTTGCTCTAAGCCTCAAGGATGAAACTGGGCTCTTTGAGGCCCTAACCTCTTTGCTCTGGGGCCGTTGGGTTGGATGACAAGAGGCTTCTGTCTGGGCAGGGCTTTCCCCACCGCCACTGTATTTCCTCCTTAGCACAGCATCCTTCCCCTCAAAGATTTCTGCTATTGTGTCAGGGAGGCCCAGCACTCCCTTGGCTCTGAGTTAGTGACTTCTGGTCCCAGGGGACACGGCAGTGTCCCTGCAGCTCCTGCACTGCAGATCAAGGACTGATTAAATCCACATGAATTAAGGGGTCAGGTGGAGTTCTTTTGATAAAACCAGACTCCAGCTTTTTAGTATATACCCTCCACCACTGCATCAATGCACCTCACCCCATTTCTAAGGGTGAGAGAGGAAGATGGAGTAGGGTCAGAGATTAGGGAGTCAGGGTTGAGATGATAGGGACAGGAAAAGGATGAGGAATGGAAGGAGAGGCTTAGACAGGGAGTGGGGACCAGAATAAGAGGGATCATCAGGTTGTGTGGAGGTCAGGGATGGTGGAAAGTGAGATTGGAGGGGTTGGGGTAGAGAGTGGGTCAGGATTGAGGGGAGGGTCACAGAGGAGTGGGAGCCATGTATTACGGGGAATGTGGACTTGGAGAGGATGGAGGGTATAATTAGATAGAGATCAAGATGTAGTAGAAGGCGTTTGTTCCCATATTAATTGATAATAAAAGAGTTGACAGTGCAATGTTTTTTTCATTCACAAAGGAGTTGTGATTGCCAAAATGCTTTCAGTGTCCAGGGACTGAATGGAATGATTTTTGGCCCTACTAAGTTCATGCCTCAAGTGTAAGGCATCAGGCAGTGACATGGCCTGTGGATGTATCTGTCCTCACAATTCATCTCCACATTCCCCCACAAAGGGAATATTCTGTGCATGTCTGAACAGTTGGGATGTCAGGAGAACTGGCATATCCAGGTAGGATCTAGATACAGAAAAGAATCCTTTATTGGAGGTAGTTGGCCCTTTTAGTCTTAGAGATTATTCCTCCTCACTCTTACCTGAGGTCTCCAGCCTTTGCCATGTGGGGTGGCCCGTTTATGAGCTCCAGCTAAAAAGCCTTGGACTCAGAAGATCCATCATCTCCCTCAGGTACCAAAATCTTCTTAACCCTAACCTTCAACTCCCCACCACTGAAAAGCCTTTGCTTCCAAGGAGACCAGCCCTGACGGTTTTACCAAAGGGACGACTCACCGCAATGGAGTAAGCCAGAAGCATGATGAGGATGACGATGATAAACCCCGAAATGTCCCCCCAAGCACGGCGCAGGGCTGATGTGATCATGTTCATTTTGGGGTTCAACCTGAGCAGATGCCAAAGCTTCACTGTGGACAGCAGTACCAGGAAGGCAATGATATACCCAAGGGCAGCATCAGCCGCTGCTGTCTCACTGAAACTGATCCCCCTGTGGGACCAAAAGGGGAGACTGGATCTCAGAGACTATGAGTAGCTCACCCAGAGCTCATTTGGGCTCAATTGAGCCCAGGATGCAGGATTGGATTTATGATGATCTCAGAGGCCCATCATGTCCCACAGTAGGTCTAGGAGGTAGAACTGGTCCAATTCCCCCAGCTAGGTGATGATGAACTGGTGATGATGGTGATGGTGGGGATGATGGTTATGATATGAATGATGATGATAATGAGGGAGGTGATAGTGGTGATAATGATAGGGGTGATGCTGGTGGTGAGGATGATGGTGAAGGTAATAAGGAAGATGGTGGGATGATGCCTCTGACAGATATGATGATGTTGATGGTAGTCATGGGACCATTACCTAGCATTTTTGGTTTATGGCTGAAGAGCTTTGGAAGAATGGGAAAGGAGGAATCCTTCCAGCATCAAGAGGATAGAAGTGAGGGCATTGTGTGAGCCTCTCTTCCTGGTTTGGGGTCCCTAGACGCCACGTCCTCCCTCACACTTGTCTGAGTGTATGTGTTCACTTGTCTGAGTGTATATCTTCCTTTGGAAGAACGATGGAAGTACCATTTAATTTCTGTGCCAAGTAAGGGCCTAATGAACCTCAACTGCCCTGTCTCATTTGACCTCCAAGACCACTGGATAAGGTTAAGTACTGCTGTCTCTACAGATATGGACTAAGATTGGCACAAGGTCACAGAGCTAGTGACATAACTAGTGATAGAAGAATGAGAGTTGGAATCCAGGCATGTCTGATCCCAAAGTCTGGGTCCTTCCTGCCCTTCCATTCTACCCTTCATTCCCTTTGTACCTTTGTACTTTTAATTCAGTCTTAATATTGGTGTGTTGTTAAAATGTCATAGAATCAAGGATGCCTGAGAGGCTCAGTCGGTTAAGCGTCTCACTCTTGTTCTCAGCTCAGGTCTTGATCTCAGGGTTGTGAGGTTAAGCCCTGTGTTGGGCTCCACACTGACCATGGAGCCTACTTAAAAATAAATAAATAAAATGGAATAGACCTATATATACCTAGTGACATGGATAGAGAACAGGCTATTGTTACAGGATTTCCTTTTCTTTGGTGCCCATGGTTCTTGGTCATGCTGGTTCCAAGAGTGAAGAGGTAGACCAGATAAAAAGTGGTGGGCAGCAAATCAAAGTTTATTGAGCAATAGTAATGTGATAGTACAAAGTTCCTGAAGAGGGAGGGAACCTGAGAGGCTTGACACCAGAATTTCTAAGCCTCCGGGTTTTTATGGGCTTGTTGGCTGGGTTCTTATAATCTGATTAACCCTCCCTGAGCCTGTCATCCAATCAGGCTTTTGTTATCCATCATTGTGAAAGGGTGGAGGGCTCCTTCCAGGGTGGTGTAAAAAATCCTTTTAAGGGTGGTTTTCTCTTAGGGCAGGGCCCCTTGTCTCTGCCTGCCTTTCTTCCAACTATCCATCATTACGTAACAGAATTATATGATCTCTAGTTTTTATGTGTGTGTTTTTAAAGATTTTATTTATTTATTGGAGAGAGAGTGAGTGAGACAGAGCACAAGCCAGGGGAGGGGCAGATGCAGAGGGAGGAGCAGACTCCTCACTGTGCAGGGAGCCCAATGCAGGAGTCTATCCCAGAACCCTGTGATCCTGACCTGAGCCGAAGGCAGATGCTTAACCGACTGAGCCACCCAGGTGCCCTGATCTTAAGTTTGTAAAAGCATTAAGTGCCTGAATGAAAGTTATCCTTCTACCTAATCTCCTGCCTTCCAGCATCATCCTTCCCTTTGAGCAGACTGGGGCTGCTGGTATGGATTGCTGCTTCCTCCTTTGGCTCCTGTGGCACCTTTCTCCTGCCTCATTTAAAACATCTAACGCTCTTATACCATTTAGAGCTTAGGGTTTGTGAGCTAAATGAGCCAGGAATAGGGTGGGAGGTTAGGAATGCAGAGTTCAAATTAAAGGCCTTGTATTTCCATTTCCAAATTGTGTGACCTCGGACAGACATCTTTTCTGAGCCTCAATTTCCTTCTCTGTAAGAAATGGATGTTGATCTTTTAAAAGTTTTGGGAAGATTAAAGCAGATGAGATAATACTGTTAAAGTGGTGTTTTTATAACTGTAGAGCATCCAACAATAAATAAATGTTATCCGTATCAATAAAGTCAGTGACTGAGTCAAGAAACACAATGGTTTAATGGAAGGGTTGGGATCCTAGAGACACACAAGCTAGGTATTTGGGGTTTAAAAAAAATTTTTTTTAAGATTTTATTTTTAAGTAATCTCTGCAGCCAACATGGGGCTCAAACTCATGATCTTAGGAGTCATATGTTCTACTGACTGAGCCAGCCAGCTACCCCTTAAAGATTTAATTTTTAAGTAATCTCGAGCCAAGAGGCTCGAACTTACAACCCCAGAGTCAAAAGTTGCACATTCTGCTGACTGAGTCCCTCACGTAAACTAGGTTTAAATTACTTCTCTGCCACCTTTTAGCTGTGTGACCCTGGGGACGTTACCTCTGTGAGCTTCAAAATATTTATTTGTAAAATGGAGTAGTGATAATGTAAGCAGAAAGAGTTTAGGGAACCCCAGAAACAGAAAGACAGACCTAGCTTTCCTGACAAAGGAAGTCATCTTAAGCCCCCACCCACCTTGAGAATGAATGTAAGAATAAAACAGCCATTATCAGGCTGGGAGATAGTCTGATCCTATCAGGGGCGGTCAGTAATAAACCAAAGCCAAGATAGACCTGAGGTGCATTCTTGAGTTCTCCGCAGGATCTAAACCCCCTTGAGTACTCAGATACCAAACCAACTAAAGCCAGAGAATTGATAATGATGACCTTTGCCTTCCTAGTGACTTTGACCAGGACTCAGTTACCCCAAGGTGACTTCTGCCTCAATTCCATGCCGTATTTCCCATTTTGTGCACAAGGCCTCGATGAATATGTATTGATCCTTACCTTAAAACTTCTCTAATTTTGTTGTTTGGGGAGACAATGCTTTGGGAAAGATCTTCAGTGTTCTCCTTTACTTGTTGCAAGTAAAATCCTTCCTTTTCCTGCTCTTTTTGCTTGGTCATATCTTTTGGCTCAACACCCACCAAGAGGCAAACCCACATTTGGATAGCAACAGTGTCTACCACGATGTTGAGTTCTTGCAAGCATCTGAGAAGCTAGTGCATCATGACCAGCAGAGTAGACACTTTGTAAATGGTAGCAGATGTGTCCACACTGGTGGGCTACATCTTTTGGGAGGGAACCTTAACAGCATGTCACATGGTTTTATGTTTGGGTCAGATTTGCAAAAGTAAGAAATTGTTCTATTTTGTCTTCAAAAAGCCCTTTCCAACTGTGTATGTGTCAGGCCCCAAACCTGAATCTAAGTGGTAGTTATAGTTCCTTTTTTAAAGAGTGACCCTGATCCTCTAAGGATCAGTAAGATTTCAAAAGCTGCCCTCCTTCCCCCACCCCCCCAGACCCTGGGGCCATGGAACTGGAGGAAGCAGGTCTAGTGTGGGAGTTGAGGGCTGAGGCAGAGCCACTTACTCCTCCCCGTGGCTCCTGTAGTGCTGGATGTCCCGTTCTGCCAGGATGGCCCTCTTCGCAAACATTGCCAGGGCACTCCAACTGGCTAGGATGATGGTCAGCTCCAGAAGATTCCACTTGCTATGGAAATAGCTCCACTTCTGTTTTCTCATGAGCTTGCCCTGGGAAAGGAGCTGGAGGTTCTGCCAAATGCTGTACCCAGAACTGTGCCTCCCCATCCCTTCCACCATTACTCTCCGAACCACCCCAGATGACCCTGCAGCAGGGGCCTACTGTCTCCTGGAGAGGCTTCTCAAAGCCCTAGCCCCACGTGCATGGAGTGCCGGGAGCCTCTCCCCAGCCTTGTGCACTGGGTGTGGTTATGAAAGCAGATGGCTGCTTTCATAACCAACTTGGGCTGCAGAATTTTGGAGGTACATAAGAGTAAATACAGAATCTGATAAGAAAAACATTTAATTATTTCTGATGCAAAAAATTGGGGAATGGGAAAGACCCTCCCACCCTTTCTTTCATAGAGCAATCACTTTAGAAAACTTGTAATTGTATATTCTTTCTCTGCCCTTTTGAGATGTATGTAAATCCTTTTTGAAAGTTAAACTAGCCTCAGGTATGTTTTTCTAAAGAACCTGGAAGCTTTCTCTTTGAAGTGCTATCATGAAGAGAGATAGTTGGTTGCCGGGCACTGAGGGGGGCACTTGACAGGATGAGCACTGGGTGTTATACTATGTTGGCAAATTGAACTCCAATAAAAAAAATATATATAAAAAAAAAATGAAGGGAGAGTTCTGTTCACTCTCAGTTTCCCAGGGAGGGTAGGAGCCAAATGGTAGGCACCTACCTCCAGGTTGCAAAAGTACCTCCTATTGTGAACATGTACATTTATTTTTCCTTTTAATAAAGGCAGTTGGCAAACACAAGTGGCAGCCCCAATTACCAGGTGAATTTAGGGTAGACTAGTGGGACAGATGCTGCCGTAAATCCTCTTGAGGATTAATTAGTGTTTATCTTAAGAATGAATATGTAATGAGTCCTATTTGCCTGGCAATATGCAAGGGTGAGATTCCTTTCTGTCTTTGGAATCTGCTAGCAGATTTCCTGGGATGTGCATCACATTGTAGTGAGGCTGATTCAATAAGAAACATTGTCTTCTTCGGAGGCAGTGGGGTTGTTTTTGGGGGGAGGGAGTTATTGTTTAATGGGTCCAGTTTCAGTTTTGTAAGAGGAAAAAAATTCTGAAGATGGCTGGTGATGATGGCTGCATGACAATGTGAATGTACATAACGCCACTGAGCTGTACATTTTAAAATGTTTAAAGTGGTGAATTTTATGTTACGTATATTTAGCTACCGCTATTAAAAAGAAATAATTTTGTTAAAGTCATTTTTTTTTCTTTGTGGATAGATAGGTTTTCTAGATTGGCAGATTTTATATTTAACCTTGTTTCCACATCAGGTGTCACAAGTCAAAGGAATTATGCTTATGCAAGTTCTAGGCTTCCCTCCATTTTTCCCTCCCACTAAAGAGAAGCTTCTGCGGTCATTTCCTTCCACCTCCCTACTCTTGGCTGCTTAGAGACTAAGTTTGCCTCCATTATAAAGGGATGGAGAAAGGGGGGATGATTTTAAGAAGTGGCATTTTTAGAAAGATTTATGGGCTTTGGAAAGAAGTGTTGTGGGGGCATGTACAATCCAGAGGGTAGGATGGCATTGGGTGGTGGATGGTCCTCCTTTGATGTTCGTAGGTGGTTATTTGATGACTGTTCCCTGTTGGGTTTGCATTGGTGACACTCAGAGACCCCATGGGATCCAGATTTTATGAGTCTGATGGTGCCACAGAGGGGTTGAGTGTCAAGTTCAGGAGTCAGACTCTCTGGGTTCAGTTTTGGCCTTGAATAAATTCTTCATGTCTCTGGACTTCAGCTTCCTACTCTGTGAAATGAAGCCAATAGCACCTTTCTCCTGGTATTAAAAGAGAAAAGCCATGCAAGATTTTTGCGTAATGTCTATCATGTGGTGAAAACACTCAAGATATCATCCTCACTTTCGAGTGGCTGTGGCTGTTAAGCAGGGGTTGGGATGCCCTCTTAAGATGTCTGATTTGCATTTTTGTTGTGGGGAGGGGTGAGAGCATATACCAAGCTTTATTTTTTTTTTCCCCTTGTACTTTTAGCTCTTTTTTTTTCTTTTATTTTTTCTTTTATTTTTTTTATAAATTAATTTTTATTGGTGTTCAATTTACCAACATACAGAATAACACCCAGTGCTCATCCCGTCAAGTGTCCCCCTCCGTGCCCGTCACCCATTCACCCCCACCCCCCGCCCTCCTCCCCTTCCACCACCCCTAGTTTGTTTCCCAGAGTTAGGAGTCTTTATGTTCTGTCTCCCTTTCTGATATTTCCCACACATTTCTTCTCCCTTCCCTTATATTCCCCTTCACTATTATTCATATTCCCCAAATGAATGAGAACATACACTGTTTGTCCTTCTCCGATTGACTTACTTCACTCAGCATAATACCCTCCAGTTCCATCCACGTTGAAGCAAATGGTGGGTATTTGTCGTTTCTAATGGCTGAGTAATATTCCATTGTATACATAAACCACATCTTCTTTATCCATTCATCTTTCGATGGGCACTGTTAGGGATTTACCCCAAAGATTCAGATGCAATGAAACGCCGGGACACCTGCACCCCGATGTTTCTAGCAGCCATGTCCACAATAGGCAAACTGTGGAAGGAGCCTCGGTGCCCATCGAAAGATGAATGGATATACCAAGCTTTAGATGAGTTCCCAGCTTCCTCAAACCACCAACATTGTCAACATCTGCACCTTCATTTTGCAACATGGTGTCATTTAAAGGTGGCAAAGGGGATTTTTTCCTAATTCCCAGGGACCACAGGTGAACCACCGGCTGTGGGCACAGCCACCTCTCTCCTTCCTCACCTTTGACATTTTTTGGAATGTCTCATTTCCTCTCCCTTCCTCACCCAGGGAAGACTACCCTCTGAGTCTCAGTTCCTGAGAAATACTAAAAGCTGGTCCCTGAGCTGGTCCCTCAGGACTACAGATGGACCAAAAGGGTGCCATGGCAAGAGGGTAGCAGAATGTTTCCCTCTCCCTTCTTTAGGCCTCACTTTGGGGAAGCTGTGTGAGAGGGGACAGGCACACATTGCCGCCTCCATCCCCATGGAGTCATAGTCCACCCCTCACCTGCACAATCATGTAGTAGAGAAGGAACAGGAGGTAGATGGCCTCTGCTGCTACCACGAAGGGGTGCCAGCCGTCAGTGAAGGGGTACAGGCGCAGGCTCTGCAGGTTCGCATGTGGGAAGAAGGTTCCTGGGAAGAAAACATGTTCTACTCACTCCTGGTTACCTGCCCACTCAGAGCCACCACTTCTGACTGGAAGTCATCAGTGGCATGATGTAAGCTCAGATCCTTCTGAGGGCTGGCCAGAGCAGAAGAGCAGATAAAGACCCTTCTGACCCACAGACTCAAGGTACTGGACACATAGTGGATGCCAAAGACCATGGACATATGAGAGGAGATGCAGGGAGCTGCACTGGAAGAGCCACTCCCTATACTCTGCATCTGGTGTCAGTCATTTGTGCACTTGGTTACCTCCAGCCAAAGCACACTCACCCACTTAACATTAATTTACTCAAGGCTGGTTCAGCTAAAGAGGGTTCACTGAAGATCAATTCATCTAATGATCAATATGCCTAAAATTCAGCCTTTTTTGGATCATCTTTCATCCATTTCTGTGTGCTTTCTTTTGGGGGGTGGTATTGCAAAGATGTTTTTAGTGATTATTTAAAAAAAAAACAGTTTGATAAGGCTACTGCCTCTGAAGACAAAGTCAACCCAAGAGTGGCAGAATGTAGAGACAGAAACAACCTGGGTCCTTGCTGACATCAATGGACTGCTTGAACCAACCAGACCTGAAACCCACTCTCACTTCTCATTTGTAGAAACACAGAATTTAATCAGAGGCGTTTGGGGACAGGCTGTTTAATTGGTCCTTAAGAGCCACAAAGGTGGCAAAAAGCAGTAGAGGAACACAGGGATACAAAATAACTGCCCCCCACCCAAAAGGATTTGAAAGAAGCTCTTGACAGTGGCCAGTAATCATGGAATTTGATGGCCTTTTACTTTTCACTTTACAGTGTTCTGAAATTTAAAGAACTATATGCATGTATTAGTTTTATTAAAAATGTAATTTGATACTAAAAGTTGCTTAATATTTAAAGGAGAGGTGGTTGAATTTTGGGAAAATTAATTATTAGCTGAGGAAGCTTTAGGTAGTATTTTCCATAGATTTTGATAGGGATAAAAGAGGCCAGAGGCAGGAAGTGGGAAGAAAAGTGGAACAGAACACAAAATACTGGAGTACATTACATGTAGTGAAGGGAAATATTTTTGAAGCTTTTGTCTCAGTTTTATATATTTGTGTGTTAGAATATGATGTGAAATGTACTTTGTACTGTAGGTTTGAGGTACAAGTTGTAAAATGCTGTTTTAAGTGAAATTCTCTATTACCAGTTTGCCCCCTCCCCAGCCTTTCTCTGCCAGCCTCCCAACCCACATTCCCCAGAGTGGGTAGCTCAAGATGATAAGCTGCCTTCAGACTGCAACTGGGTTCTCTCTGGGTATCTTGAGAGACAGTCTAGAGAGAAGTGGAGGCAACTAGGAATAAGAGTGGAACAGCCCTGGAGCCTGGCCTTTAGGTGCCTACGGAGAACCAAGATCCACCCCCCAAACAACCATTGGCCCCAGAACTCTGGCCTGGGGCAGCAAGGCCCAGCCTGGTCAGGAGCTCTGGCCCAGAGGGAGGGGTGTCTGTCTTCCAGAACACTGTAGATGAGGTCACAGGCAAGGCTGCCCACCCAGGGCGCTAGTCTCCAGGGTCAGAGTGATGATGCAGAACAGGTTCACATTGGCATTGTAGACAGTAAACTCCACAAAAACAGCTCTGGTCAGGCTGTCCAGCCAGGTGTTGTCAAAGAGGTACTGGAGAATTCTGTAGGAAGAGGGATATTTAGCGACATCTCCATCTATAGCGGCTCCCTCCCCCCTCTGCCCAGGAGGAGGCCAGGGTTTCCTATAGAAATGTATCCCTCTGGCTCTGCTTCATGCCCTGGACCATAAGGCCTTGGGGCTTCCCTTGCAAGTGATCATAGTTTCCCACCAATGGTGCACTGTCATGGCACCCATGGTCTCCTGGACGTTAGAGCAGAGGTCCTCAAAGTGTGTCCCCATACTGCCAGCATCCACATCTGGAAACTTTGTAGAAATGCAGATTCTCAGTCCCCACCCCAAGTCTCCCGAAACAAACTCCTCTGAGGATGGGGCCTGGGGATTTGTGTTTTGATGAGCCTTCCCAGGGATTGTGATGCCTTTTAAAGTTTGAGGATCACCATGTGAGAGGAACCACATAGAAAATCAGGGGCTTAGGCAGACAGCAGTACCAGCAGTTGAGACCCCTCTTGGGTTGGCAGTTCACATGAGACCAGTTTCTGGAGGTTTGCCCACTGGTGTGGAAAGAGTGTATGCTGGAAGAACTGGGGTTCAAATCCTGACTGCCTCATGGGGAAGCTAATAGCCTCTCTAGGACTCAGTTTCCTCAACTGCAATGGTGTTAACTCCAGTGCCTCGGGAACGTGTGAAGAGAAAATGCAATAGAGTGTGTGTGTGTGTGTGTGTGTGTGTGTGTGTGTGTGTGTGTAAAAGTGACAGCTGTTATTACTGGCAGCAATAGTGATGGGCCTGTTTTAAAATATGCCCCTTCCCATTGGGTCTATGTTCCTGCTTGGAGTAGAGAAGAGATAATACCCGTTGTTGCAAGGGGCAGGAAAACACCTCTTATGCTGAAATTGACTATTCCTGTCCTGTCCTTAATCCCAGGGGACCCCTGCCAGTTGTTCTCCCTAGGAGTTTGTTACCTGTGTTCCTTGGTGGTATGATAATAGAGTGGAGAAGACTGAGGTGCATATGGGCTCACTAACTTGCCTGGGGCCACACAGCTAACTAACAGGAGCAATGTCAGGGTTTCACGCCTAGGGCTCTCTAACCCTAGAGTGTGCTGGGAGAGGCAGTCTGCATGGGCTCTGGATATCCATGCACAATCATGTTGGGTATTCCAGGAATGCAAGGTCCTGGTTGGGCTTTACCCGAGGCATTTGCTGAAGCTGTGTTTGTAGTGAGCAATCTCGGGGGATAAGGTGACATCCTTCAGACAAAGAGCAGGCTTGCTTCTGCCACTATAGAAACAGTGAATACTCCAAACTCTTCTTCCTTGGTACTGTAAGTCACTACAAATAAAAGCATGATTCTTGGCTAAGGTTAAGAGCCTTAACTACTTCCCACTTCCTGATGGTGGATGGCTTTGTGTGGTGGACTTCCCCATCCCTACACTGGCTCTAGCAGAAGCCACCAGACTCAGCCCACCAGGCTGAGAGTGCTGGAGAGAGACCCTGAGACCACAGTTTCCAGGGCCTGGAAATACAATCTGAACACTTCCAAATCCCCTGGTCACTCCCTACAATGACATAAATGAGCTTGGCTGCATCCGCAAATCTGACCTGGACTCTAACAAATGGCTTTCCTTGGCCACACATGAGTCAAGTGAGTCTTACCTTGATGTGCTTTTGCGATCAGTCCCTAAGGGGACCACGTAACCTCCTCCCCGGTACACAGTGAGTTTGCCCCAGATGGGATACCCTCGGCGTTGTCTCTGGCTCTGGTATTGCCACGCCTGGGAAAAGCCCCTGCTGTTATTGAGGATAGAGGCATTCCAGCCTTCCCCATAGTCTGATAGGTCTTCAATATCCAGGGAATATGGTGCATGACATCTGTCAAGAGAAGCCTGCAGGTGTGGGACAAGAGGGCAAGAGTTTTCCCGGACTCTCACTTGACGAATCTGGGCACTGCCAACCAGCTTAGAGTTCCCATCAGTGATAAAGCCTGGAGATGGAAAACAAGTGGGTCAGTTTAGACATCAAAGTCATGTTAGAGCATCCTGGCCTGGATGCTAATGTGAACTGCAGTAGAAGTTCTACTTCATTGTAGAAACAGTTAAGAGTAGTTCATGGCCAACCGCAGGCTGCATTCCTCACCACCTTCCCACCCTAGGTGTGGTGTGGTCTACTTCCTACATAATCTTGAGGAATGGTACCCCCACCACCTAGTCATCAACTTGGAGACTCTTTGTGTCCTTTCCCTCAATGCCTACATCCTAATGGTCAACAAGGCTCATCAACTCTCTTCAGTGTTGTCTGCACCCATACCATCTCTCTATCACCTCTGCCCCTCATCCCTGCATCAGCCCCATCATTTCTCCCCAGCATCCTAACAACTCTGTGTTCCAACTTCCCCATAATTCCAGAATGATCCTTCTTAAATGCAAATTTGATTATGTTACTCCCTCATGGAGAAACTGTTCAATACCTTCTCATTTCCTTAAGCATAAAATATGAACTTCTGAGACCCTTCATGATTGGCCCCTATTTCTCTCTCCTGCTTTGCTTCTCACTGGTTCTCAACTCATACCTTATACTGCAGCCACACTCAATGCTTTATAATTCCAGGAACGTGCTGTGATGTTTCAGACTTGCCTTTTCTCACATTGTCTTTCTGTCCGGTATACTATTTCTGCCTAGCCGATTCATGCTTGGTTATCTCTGATTTAGGAAGCCCTCCACTCTGCATCAGGGAAGAGTTAGGACCCGTCTCTCATGCACACACACACACCCTTTTGAGGGTTTCTCCTTCAAAGCATATGGCCTTGTGGTTATCAGTTCTCTGTAAGGCTGATGGTGACAGTGGCTCACTCCTGTTCCTAGAAAGGAGTCTACACAAGGGGGCTGACACACGTCCTGGGGTGAGGGGAGAGGACCTGGGTAATGACTGTACAGGTTGCTCACGAGGGTGGTGTTGGCCCACATGAAGAACTCCTTGAAGCTTAACACAGCTGAAAAGCCTTGAGTGAAGCTGTGCTCCAGGTGTCTGTTGAAGTGGTAGGTGCTGGGGTCCCTCTGCCCATAGGCAACCAGCAGCAGCATCCACAGGAAGCCCAGGTATGCTGAGAAGGGAGGCATAGCCCCTGGTCAGGTAGGGTTCCCAACTTCCACCAAGCCAAAGGCAAGAAATGAAGTGGTACGTGGCTCAGAATAGTCGAGGTCTTGCAGACCAGCTACTCAACCCCCTAGTGACAATGGAACCAATCCTTAGTGGGAATGAGTGAAGTCCACAGATCATGAGCTTCCTGCCTGGGTTCAAATCCTCGCTCTGCCACTTCCAAGCCATGTGCCTTTCACAAGTGACTTAACCCCTCTGATTTAGTCTCCTCCTCTGTGAAATGGCGGTAATAATTCTATTTCACAAAGTTGTGATGGTGAGTCAACAAATTAATATTTATAAAGCACTTAAGAATAGTGCCTGCCCAGAATGCATGCTACATAAATGCTTCTGGAAAAGAATCTTTTAAAAATGAGGCTCCATCATGGTGCAATGCTGAGGATGGAGCAATGAAAATGACAGTTGTGTTCTCTGCCCTCAGGGAGCTCACCTATGAACAGGTGAGTGTGATGTAAGGGCCCTTCACATACAAAGATTTAGTTTAGGATGCAGCCATCAGGATGTGGGGGATGCAGAGCCTTACCCAGAATCTCTGGATCCAGGGCCTGGGAATATGCATCCCAAAAACCCCCTCCCTGGGATGAATTGGGGCTCTGCCCACACCCCTGGGCTCTCTTCATTCTGTAATATGCTGCTACTCCTATGCAGGCTCCCCTGCTCTCTGCATTTGTCTGGCCCTATGTGCTCAGCCATTGGGAAGGCAAGGTGGGAGTGCTGCAAGGTCAATGTCCTCCCCGGGAGCAGCCCTCACCAGTGACCTGTGAGTGACAACCTGGGGGTGTGTACTACATGCCCCCACAGAGGTCCCCACAGGACTGAGCTCCAGTTCCCACATGGAACCCACTCATCAGCTCAGTTTCTATTGCTTCCCTTTTTTCTCCTGTACTTTCCTCTACTCTACTGTGTTTCCCAGGATCACCTCCCAAACCAACTACTTATATCCCAATCTGCTTATGGGAGAACCCAGACTAAGATACACAGTGATGTTTGGAAGCCCCTGGTCAGTAGCCTTGGAGAGCCTTTCTGAAGCCTTCAGGCTGAGAATTAAAAAACAAGGAATTAGCCAGAAGACAAGACAGGGAGGAGAGAAGGTACTTTCCAGGCAGATTAGATTAGCCTGGGGAAGGGCCTGGGGTCCAGAGAGTGCAAGGAGTCCTAGGAGCTGCAGAACATGGTGTGACCACAGCTCAGGGCACAGAGGGCTGGGAGAGGTGACCCAGGGTGGGCAGAGCCACGGTAGGGAGTTCAGATTTTATCCTAAGGGCCACGTGGGGCCACCAAGGGATTTTAAGTGTAGGGGAGAAGCTGGGGCTTCTTCAGTTCTGTGCTGACAACCAGCAAGTGGGGAGACTGCTTGTGGGTGACGTTGGTTGCCTACCCAAGATTTCTCTGATGAAGGCAAATGCCTTCTGTTCCTTGAGATGGGTGGTTTTCATCTTCTCGATGTCAGTGGTCAAAGGTGGCTGGTAAATGTCCTTTCTGCTGCATCTTCGTGCTCGGAACAAGGCAGTAGGGTCTGTGAAAGCAATGGCACGAGGACAGTAGAACCAGCCTCTACTTTTGCATCCAGAAGTGTCCTCTCACACAAGGAACACCAGGATCTATCATCCCTCCTTCTCAGGAGCCATTTTCCAGGGCTGCCCTCCATGCCTCTGCCCCACCATCCCAGTGCTCAGAATGCTCTTCCTCCTCCAGCTGGAGGATTCTCCTAGTACTGAAAGCACAAGGCTCTCCCCACCCTGTGCTCCTGGACCCTAAGACAGGTCTCAGTCTTCCTGAAACCATAACAGATGGAAGAAGGAGGGTAATTTATATTTCAAAGTCCTGTCATGTCTAATTCTAAATATCTTCTTTTTCAAGTCACTTCACTGAGCTATGGTTTTCATAAATTTTCCCATTGGAAGGCTACCTCATTCGGTGATTTCAAGTACATGTACAGAGTTGTGCAACCATCACCACAACCCAGTTTTAGAACATCTTCATCAACCCAGAAGGTTCACTCATGTCCCTGTGAAGTCTGTTCCTACTTCCAGTCTGTTCCACCCTCAGCCTCATTAATCTTCTTTCTGTCTCTATAGATTTTTTTCTGGATCTTACATTTAGATGGAATCCTACAGTGCCTCGTTTCTTGTGTCTGGTTTCTTTCACTTAGCATAATGGTTTGGAGTCCATCCATGTTGTTGTGTAATTAGTATTCAGTTCCTTTTTTTGGTATGGATACACTCCTGTTTGTTTATGCACTCACACCTAAATTATTTCTAGCTCTGGCTATTATGAATAATGCTACTATGAACATTCATGTACAGATGTTGGTATAGACATATATGTTCATGTCTCTTGGGTAGATTCCTAGGGGCGGCCATTTAACTATTTCAAATGAACCTGCTATGAACATGTATATACACATTCTTGCATGGAAATAAGTCTTCATGTCTCTGGGATAAATGCCCAAGAATGCAATTGCTGGGGCATATGGTGAATCCATTCTTAGTTTTGAAAGGAACGGCCAAACTTTTCCAGAGTGACTGTACCATTTTATATTCCCAGCAGTGTGTGAGTGCCCCATATTCTCTGCATCCTTGTCAGCATTTGGTATTAACACCACTTTTTACTTTAGCTGTTCCGATAGGGGTGTACTGTCTTTTGAATCCATGCCTTTCTTTCCACCCCCCATGGTGGAACACATCTCACCTCTTGTCTGGATCATTCCAGTAGTCTTTTCCCCACTTTTACTTTTGACCCACTACTTCTGGTCTCCTAAGAGCAGCCTCTGTAATCTTTCTCAGAGCACAAGTAGACCATGCTTCTGTCCTATGTAGCAGTCCTCCAGAACCCCAGCACTTCCCGGCTGCCTCAAGGCTGTGCTCCCCACCTACCTCTCTGCCCTCATTTTGAACCATTCTCCTCCTAATTCCTTATGCTTGGGCTACACTGTTAGTAATCATTGTAAAATGACAAGCTCTGTCCTTTCTCAGGGGCCTTTGCAAGGGTCCAGGGTGCAGTCCCTCCCTTTGCCAGGCTCCAGGAGCCAATGTAGTTACCACCTCAGCAGAGGAGCCTGCATTCTCCTGGTCTCTCTCCAAGTTCTCCTTACATTTCACACTTGTGTTGTTAACTTGTTTAATGGGTCTCCCTAAGTGGGCTGTACCTTCCAAAGGCAACCTGCTCCATCATCCAGTGCTGTGTTGCCTAGGGTGAGAGCAGAGATTGGCTTCAGATGGTCAAGAGGGAACCTTCTGAGGGGTGATGGAGCTGTTCCGAATCTGAATTAAGATAATGGTTGCACAGCTGTAGAAATCTACTAAAATCAATGAATTGTACACCTGCAGTGAGTGGATTTTATGTAAATCATGTTCCTAAGCCATCAAACTGCCTGGCACACGGCAAGTACTCCCTGGGTGGCTGCCAGAGGAATGACTGAATGAATATTTAATTGTTCTGGAAGCTGGCGTCTCTTTGGACAAAAATTACTCTTTTGTCTTGGGAAGAATATTTTAATGGACCTTTTGGATCTGCAAAGCCAAAACAAAAACAAACCCAAACCCTATCTTAGAGTGGAAGAATACAGGCCCATCGAGGAGGTAACCACACTATATAATAAGGTCAGTGCAATAATGTAGGTGTGCCTTTTGTATATTTGCTCCCGTTTCCTTTTCCCTGAATGTCAGAATATGTGCATAGAGTGTTGATTCTGTTCTGTTTGCTAGTTTTTGTGATTGTCTTATTGTAGGCATTCTCAGGAGTTTAGGTTGGGACGTATGAAACCAGGTTGGGGGGCAGGGGGCTGCTCAGTGGCCTCCTCTGACAGGGGTCAGCATGGCACTGTTCTAATAAAACTTCATTTATGAAAACAAGCAGTGAGCTAGATTTGACCTCCTGGCTGTGGTTTGCAGACTCTTGTCCCTGAACTCTCTGCAGCTCACCTCAAGCATGTTCTGTTTCGGTTTTTGTTCTAAGACCAGGGCCTTGAGCCTCGGAGGAGGAAGCTGCTTGCTTGGGATTACACAGAGAATGACAGCCATGCAGAGCTCGGCCCCCAAGGGGCCTCTTCTGGCCAAGGGGTCATGCTTGGGTGCATGACCAGAGAGAAAGGCTGGGGTAGAGAAGGAACAAGGTTGCTCTAGAGACAGGAAGGAGTTGTTTGGTTTTGGATGGTTTGGGGGTGCTTCTCCAATCAGGGGTGAAGGATTGATGGGGCAAGAAGCTCAGCAGCTGGGCTCTATAGGACTGTCTTAGCTTCATTGGGTTCCAGGACCCTGCCTCTGCCTGTGTGCCATTACCTGGGCTAGACAGACGTCCTGGGAGGGAGGCCACGGGCTCCTCCTCGTCCTCCACTCTCTTCAAGACCAGTGCGAAGAAGGCAGCAAAGCCCAGCACCTGGAAAACACCTGCTATGAAACCCAGGCCTGGGATGGAAACTATCAACTGTGTCCTGGGCACAGAAGCCATGCTCTGGGGAAGTCAGGTGGGAACCAGCCCATCCTGTGCTGAGAAGGGATGTGGCTGTGAAAGGAGAGGGCCAGGGCACCTGGCCACCAAGCAGAGCCAGTGAATCCTGAGCTCCCCCTGCTTCTCACCCAACTTTCCCACCTGTGCCCCCGCTGCCGGTGGACCCTCTTATGTCTTATACTACCTCTAGTGCTGAGTTCCATCTCCCTTCTCCCTCCGTCCCTTCCCTTTCTTCTGTATTAAGTAATTCATTCCATCCATGCCTTCATCTCTGCACCTAAATGCATGAGCTTAGAAGGATTCTGTGCTTTGGCTGGGAGCAAAATGGCTCATGACTCTATTCTTACTATTCTCAGACTAGATTAGAGATGTCAGGAGTTGTTTAAATCTTCTGATAAAGGCTATTGGGGGCAGAATTGGGGAACTAATGGATGTGATGGGGGTGAGATTTGGAGAGTCTCATAGGCATCCAGATTCACTGTAAATATCCTCTCCTTTCTGCAGCCCCCACCCCCTACCCCAGTGCAATGATATATTCCTACCACCTGATTCCTTCCAGGGGGAGCTGTGTCTCAGTATTTCTCCAACTCTGACAGTAACTTTACATTTCAGAAATAGGAGTGCATCTTCCAAATGATGCACGTGTTTAATGACTTGGTGTTTTGTTTTGTTTGTTTTTTTCTAAAGATAAAGTTCCTACAAATTGCTGGCCTACCTCACAATTAAAAGGACTTCTAGAATTAAGGAAATATGGTATTATTCATATTTATACATGTGACCTAGCACAAGATGTTTGTGACCTTACCTTCCTAATCTCAGGTTATCATTTTTAGTACAGAGACGAGGACCCTCCTGAGGGTGACTGTGACTCTGACTTACCACATCTTGGTGAGCTTCTTGGCCTGGCCTAGTCTCTGTACACACCCCGCTCCCCAGCCCCAATCCCAGTGCTTGGATTATTATGGTGATTAACTTCATTATCATTTTCCCCCCAGCAAGGCACAGACAAGGTACTGTGTAGGTTTGTAATGAACAGATAAAGAATGGCTGAGCCTAAGGACAGCGCAGCTGGGAGAAAGGAGAGTGTGGGCACAGGTGTCAAGGGCAGCCTCACCTTCAGAGGCTGGGTGACGAACACGCTCTCCACGAAGGAGATGGCCACGGAGATGAGCCATTTGAGGGAGCCGGCCCGTCCGTAGTGCAGGCCGTAGAGCATGGTAAAGAAGGCTGCCACGCCACTTGTGGCCGCCACCAGGAACCAGCCCACTAGGACGCACCACCAGGGCAGGCCACGAGGAGGTTTGCTGGCCATCCGGAAGCTGTAAAGCAGGGTGGGTGTGATCAGAGTGGCACCCTCCGGGCTCAAGTTCAAATCCCACTTCACCCCCACCAGCTGTCTGGCTGGGGCCAAGCTCTTTGACCTCTTAGACTCTCAGTTTTCTCCTCTGTATCTCATACCCTACTCAAAGGGCTGTTCTATATTCTACCTGTCAGGTAGACTTTTGTTCTGTTGAGGTCACATTTATTCAGTGCTTCAGAGCCAGTCCCCACATGAAGTGCTTTGCACAGATTTGCTCTGTTATTCATGGGTTTAGAAGACCTATCGAGTACAGAAAAGCGCTAGATTATTCACGGGAAGCCTAGAAGGCTGGTACTCTATAATTTTTTCTAAAGTTTTTATTATGAAAATTTCTCATCATACAAAAATCAGTGAGCACTACATACCTCCAACAACTAGCTCAACAGCCATTCAACAGCCATCACTTCCCTGTTATGCTTATCCCATCTATCTTCAGCGTCTCTGTCCCTCCCTCTCTCCATTTTGGTTTTTGGGTTTATTTTTTTTTTTATTTTTTGCTGCGATATTTAAAAATAAATTCTAGACATAATGTGAAATCATCCCTAATTCAGAATATTTCTCAAAAATGATGATTTTCTTACTGAATTACAGTGCCATTGTCACACCAATCAAAATTAACAGTAATTCCTCAGTGTCATCTAATAGCCTGTGTACTCAGATTTCACTGATTTTGTTTAAAAATGTGTTTTGAGTTAGGAGGTAGGAATTATTCCCATTTTACAGATGAGGACACTGCAGCTCAGAGAGGTTGAGGGACTTGTCCAAGGGTGAACAATTAGGAAACAGCCCACATGAATATGGTTCTAAACTGTAAACTACAACTGCCTTTGGCAAATAGCCCTATTCAAACCCTTCCTCCCTGAATTTGTACAGGAATCCCGAATCACTTCTGCCTGGGGAGATTTGGGTGAACATCCTTCCGAGGTGGCCTCAGATACGCTCTCTCTGCAGGCTCCCCCACTGGGGGCAGGTGCCCACTCAGCACCCAGGGGAGTGGATTACCCAGTGTATGCTGGGGGTGGGGCGCCCAGCTGTCTTCGCAGGTGGCCCTTCAGCATCTGCAGTTGGCTGAGGGCCCGGGTGTGGCTCTGGCCCTGCGGGAAGCCATGGGGTCCCACCAGCTGAAGCTCTTGCTCCATGTATTCCAGCTGAAGGTAGAGACACTGTTTATAGGCATTGTCCTTCAGACAGTCACTTGGGACCACCTCTGGCATCAGGCATTGCATTCGTTCTGGAGGACAAGGGAGAGAGAGCATCAGCTGGTGCCGAATGACAGAGCAGACTGCCTGCCATAAAAACAGTGGTGTTAGTAACAGCTTCCTTATGTTGAGCACTTACTATGTGCTATGCCGTGAGAGATCTAGGCTGAGAAAGATGGGGAAAGGTACCAGGCTGCCATGGCCAGTTAGGATTTGTATGTTCCTCTTTAGCTTTTTATCAGGGGGCACTCTCAAAATTTCCTAATATATTGACAAAAGAAAACAGAATAAATACCTATTACCTGCTGCTACAACCTTTTGCCAATCTTGTTTTGTCTCTGCAACCCCCCCCCCACCACATACACACACAACTTTTTTCTCTTTTTGGAATACCTTAAAGCAAATCCTAGACATGGTGTTATCTCATCAGCAAATAATATATACAAGATTTGCCTGGTGACAAAGATAGTTTTAGTCTTAATCTTTTGTTTTCAACTTATTTTTATTATGAAAAATGTTAAACTTAAAAGTAGAATGAGATAAACCTGCACACACCCACCACTCAAATTATCAACTCTTAAAAAAAAAAATTATCAACTCTGGCCAGTCTTGCTTCCCTGGCACCCAGCCCACTCTCTCCACATGGGTGATTTTGTTTTTTTGTTTTTTCAAATATTTTATTTATTTATTCATGAGAGAGAGAGGCAGAGACATACGCAGAGGGAGAAGCAGTTTCCAAGCAGGGAGCCCGACATGGGACTTGATCCTGGGACTCCAGGATCATGCCCTGGGCTGAAGGCAGGCACCAAACCACTGAGCCACCCAGGGATCCCAACACATGGGTGATTTTGAAGCAAATTCCAAGGCCCAGGTTATGTCACTAAATATTGCAGTAGGCTTCCACAGAAGATAGGGACTCTTTAAAAATAAAACCATGATGTCATTTTCAACTTTTCAGTAACAATAATCCCTTAATCAGATGAAATACCCACGTGGTCACTTCTTTCCCCAATTATCTCATGAATATTTCCCTACAATTGTTTGGGTTTTTTTTTTTTTTTTTGAATTTTAGCTTCCTAAAAAGTTTTAAAACAAACAAAGATGTTTTTTGTTTTAAATTACTCATTGCAAGAAAAAAAAAAAAAAGAAACCTGAACATTTCCACTATTCCCCATACTTTGGCCTGGAGAGACCATGGGGGAGCTTGGCCTCTCCCAGCAGAACCAGGCCTAGGACTCTGGAGCCCAGGGGCACCTTCTCCCAGAGCAGTAAGGGCCCAGGTTGATCAGACCAGTGTTTATATTTGCAAGAGGTATGTGAAGCTAGATAGTGGAAGTGGCAGGAGAGATCACCTCTCCCACAACTCCTCAAGGTCACCAGTGAGAAGTGAATGAGTGGGAAGGTAACCAGCATTGTGAAGGGTACAGCTGGGCTTGGGCTAGATGACGGTGAAGGTCTGGGGCCTCCCTCTGACTCAGGCCTCCTCCCTCAGCCTCCTTGCAGAAGCCACAGCTGCAGGTTCTGACATCAGCAGCCTTTATGTTGCAAGCCCTCTGGCAATGTTTCTGGAAGATACCATCACTCAATTGTAACACCACCTACTGAATGCCTGCTTTGTATCAGGCTGAGTCTAAACTTTTCATGTGTCTTATGACCTCATTCAGTCCTCGGAATGAGCCAAGAGGCAAGGTGGATCAATACTCCCATTTTACAGGGGAATAAGCTAAGTCATAGGTTGAGCAACTTGTCCAAAGTTGCACAGCTGTTTTTGCAGCTGGGGGAGTCCCAGGGCCTGACTGACTCGAGAGTCCAGAGTCTAAGGCCTCTGCTATGAACACCAAAGCCCCCAAATTCAAGGCCAGGTGTCCAGTGCAGGTATGAACAGAGTTCCCGCAGAACTGCCTTCATAGCCCAAGCCCGGCTCTCTGGGACAAATCCTTCAGGGTAGCTGGAGCATGGGGTCAAGGTGGGGCTGACCACAGAGTCAGCATGGGCCCAGCCAGTAAGGACATATGATCTTGTCTTGAGGTCATTGACTCTCAACATTCAGTGTGCTTTTAAGTCACCTGAATGACTGGTTCAAACTGCAGATTCTGGCCTTAGCTACAAAAATGAAGTCCATTATATCAGAGGGGTGGATGAAGAGTTTATGAATTCAAATTCCCCATTCTGTAGACCCTATGTCTGTATTCTAAACAAGGTTTAGTGATTAGCCTGGTGTGCTAAAAATGGCAGCATTCTTAACCCTCACCAGCCAGTATGGCAGCCACTGGGCCCCTTAATTTATTGAAATTAAGATAAGAAATGTAGTTTTCCCATCACACCAGCCACATTTCAAGTGCTCAGTAGCTACATGGGGCCAGGATGGTTGCAGATTTTAAACAGCTCGTCACACAAGTCATGATTTGGCAGCAGGCTGTGTAAAAGCAATGCAAGAGACACCTAGGGGCTAAACAGTATGTGTCTGGAGATCTGTTGTGGCCTGGAGTGTGGGGTTGCTCCCCTGAGGAAGGAGTGCTTAAGACACTCCTTTAAAAACTAAAGTCTGATTAGGAATTAGCTGAGAGAGGAGAAGAGAGAATCTTCTCAATGAAAGGACAGGTACATGAGTAAAGGTCTTTAATGGCAAGGCAGCTTGGTATTGTAAAGAGAGCGGGTTCCCTGTGTGCACAGTGGGAGGTGATAGCAAGTGGTTGCAGTGGAGATCAGTGAGGGAGACCAAGTAGGACTTCACTCCCTAGTGATACAGACCTGTCTCCACCTGGCCCAGACATGTCCCCTTTCTCAGCTCAGACACATCAGGACTTACCTTTCACTTGTAGAGACCCAAGAGGCAGTATTAAAGGGTCCTCTCTCTGTTTGGCTTCCTCCCAGAACTCCTGCCCTTCCATGTTCTGTAGACAGATGACATCTTCCACCAAGACCAGCAGTTGATTGATGTCCATTAAGGTTGCTGAGTCCCAGCCAGAGGCAGGTGGTGGCACTTTCAGAGCTTTAAACAGGTTGCTGACAAATCTCCACATATCCTGCAAGTCAGCCCAGGTTGGGTAAGGGAAAGGTGAGCTAAAGGTGAGGGGGCAGCATAGTGGTTAAGAGCATTCACCCCGGCGCCTGGCAATTTGGGTTTGAATCCCAGCTTTGCCCACTGAGATATGATGTTGGATCATCCCAAGCTTCCATTTTGTCACCTATAAAATCCCTTTTCTAGGATTCAAACTGGCTCATTCCAGGCTCTTTTTCTCAAAGTATGTCATGTATTAGGTGCTCAGTAAATGTTTATTGAGTGAATGAATGTAAAGGGAGTCCCTTCTGTGGGGATCCAGGGATCCAGCTGGGATCTATGATAAAAGTGTAATATTTTGTATGCACTAGGAACACAAAAAGTGTGTGCGCGTATATATATGTAGGTGTTTGTGTGTATGTATGTGTGCATGTGTGTATGTGTATGGTGTGTGTGCATATGCATGTGTGTACATGTACTGGTATGCAACGGTATATATGTGTGTATGTCTTTGTATATATATGTGCACGTGTACATGTCTGTAGGTGTGTGCATATATACACATGCACCTGCACAATGTGTATGTGTGTGTACACATGTATATATGTGCACAACTGAACATGTATGCCTGTTGATGAACCTTGGTGACTGATGCTGTCAGACATCATGGGGTGGATTGCCGGGCCTCAAGCCCCAGGACTCACCCCACCATTTCTGCCCAGGCCCAAGCACCCTCACACCGCCAAGGTTGAAGACATGCCTTGGTCACCACTTCAAGTGTCAGAAGACCATCCTCCATGGGCTGCAGTGAGGAGGCCAGATTGGGGGCGCCCCTGTCCCATTTCCCAGTTTTCTGCTCCTTAGTGACCCGAGGATGGGTGTTTCGAAAGATCTGAACAATTAGGAGGTTGATGGGGAACATGAGGAGAGAGCTCTCCAGTCCAATCATTACTTCCTGCCAGGTGAATTCAATTTTACCTAGAACAGAGGAAGGAAAGGGTCCATGGGAAAGTCTCCTCCACTGCTTCCAGAAAGTGGCTGTGCAGTAAAGATTAATCTTGCCCAGAGAGAGGTCTCACCCTTGAGTGGCTCCTGGGAGGTGACCTCTAAGCTTTTGAGATGTTCTGTCTGGTAGGTTCACCTTTGTTTACCTGAGATCTTGGCCCACACTGTATAGTCTATGTTAAGAGTGATTTATGATGTAGGCCTTGGCCACACAGTATCACCTCAGCCTCTGGAGAGGTTGGATGCTAAGGTCAGCCATGTGGGGGTCAGATATGTCTATGTGAGCAAGCCCCAATAAAAATTCTGGACACTAGGGCTCAGGTGAGCATCCCTGGTTGGCAATACTCCATGTGTGTTGTCACACATCATTGTCAGAAAGAGTGAGCATTGTCACAGCTCCCCTGGGAGAAGACAACTGGAAGTCCTACCTGGTTCCTACCTGGACCCTGCCCCATGTGCCTCTTTCCTTTGCTGGTTTTAATCTCTATCTTATGTCTATAATGAACTTAATGGTGTTTCTGACTTCTGTGAATAGTTCTAGGGAATTACTGAACCTGAAGGTGGTGTTGGGACCTTGGGAGTTATGTGGCACCCACTGGCCACTAGCTCTGTCATGACATTGTGAGTTACCCAAGTCCATCTTTTGCTCAGCTGGGTCCTTGGGAACACCCCAGAACATGATACTGGTCAGCATGGTGCAGAGAAGCAGAGAGAAGCAGCAGGACACCCTCTGGACGCGGGTGAAGTTGCTCCTAGCAGAGCAGCTGAAGATGGAGTACCAGATGTGTCCATCCTGGAAGCCCGTGGAGGTCTTCATGAAAAACAGGTGGCTGTGAAAAGGCGGGATAGGGGGCAGGGATGGGAGAAGACTGGTCTCTTCAGAGCAATCTTAGGATAAGAGGGAGGGGTTTGTTTCTAAGATTTATCCTCTATGTTCTCTAATGTGGAAGACATATAGCATCTTAGGGTCACTTAGAGTTAATGGGGCTCCGAACGGAGTGTGTTGGAATCCTAGGCAGCCCTCCTACTCACAGTGTGTCCTCAGAAAGTTCCTTTCCTCTTTGCATGTCAGTTTACTCATCCGCAAAATGGGGATTATAACAGAACCTGCCTCATGGGATTGTTGAAAGGATTAAGCAATGATTTTTGTAAAGCATTTGACAAAGTAGCTGGCATATGTGGGAGTGTTCATCAGTGTTAGAAATGATTATTTTTGTTATAATTTCAAAATAATGATGTAACTATAATGTTGTTAGGTTTATTATAGTTAGTGAATTAGAGGATACTGGTTAAAAATCCTGGGCTCTAACTTCAGGCTCAGTTTGAGAGAATCAAAATTGCAAGATAGAGTTTCTGAAAATGGCACCATATTGTCCTTAGGCATCTGTGTTGGTCTAGAATTTAGACTAGAATTCAGTTAGTCTAGAATTTAGTCTAACCACAGGACTTGCACAGGAGCCCAGATTCTCCTGAGAGTGTGTGGAACTGACATCTCCAGCTGGCGCCTGTTCTGATGGCTAATGCCAGCACCCTTCAGGCTTGCACAGTACTTTGACCCATCACTCTGCTGTGCAGAGTAAAGGTACGTAGGAGAAAGGTCAGGTGCCAACACCAGTGACTTTCCACATGATTGTTCTACTTGTTGTACTACTGACAGTTCAACAAATATTTGGTGAGTCTGATGCTGTGTGCCACATGTTCTGCGGGCACCAGGATTCATGGGGGAATGACACAGCCCTGCCTTCAGACGGCTCTTTGTCTGGTTTCTAGGCATCACACATTTGATGCATTGAGAGGATAACATCTGTTCTTATAATGGAGCACTTACTCTGAGCCACTCACTGTGCTAAGTACGCTACCCACATCATTTCACAGGACCTGCACAGGTCCCCTTGGGGCAAGCACACTGAACAAGTCATTCTTTGGATGTAGAAACTGAGGCCTGGAGAGATGAGCTGACTTTTACAAGGACATGCAGCCAGTCAGAAGGAGGCCTGTGGAACTGTGCACTGTGTGCCCACATCGATGTTCTGCTTCTCCTGGGGCCCAAGTCTCTGTGACTCCGACTTCTTCCCTTTGCAGGCTGAACTGTTCACAGTGGCAGCAAGGAGGAAAAGTCACCTTTTAGTAAACTCACTGGAAACAGACTTTGCTCTTGAACCCAACTCAGAAGCCATTTAAAGTAGAGGTCACAAGGTCAAATGCCTAGAGGGACCTCTAAAGTCAAGTTAAATGAAGTGTGTTGGGAGTAAGGTATTAGGGAGTAGGTGAGAACTGTGGCAGCACAGAGAACACATGGCTCTTAGAAGAAGGCTGGTACTCTGCTGCAGCAGATTGGAGTCAGGCAGGAACACTGGCCCGGCATCTTCATACTTGTCAGAATTTTGTGGAGTCTCTTGATTTTTTTAATATTGGTTGGGAACAGACTAAATGTCCATTGATAGAAGAATGGTTGAATTAGTTGTGGGACATTTAGTCTGTGAAATATTACTCAGCCAGTGAGGAAAACTTTGACCTAAACATACTGTCTGGAAGGATGTTTATGGTCTATCATCAAAGAAAAAAGGTGACAGGGGCACCTGGGTGGCTCAGTCATTTGAGTGTCTGCCTTAGGCTCAGGTCATGATCTCAGGGTCCTGAGATAGAGCCCCACATTAGGTTTCCTGCTAAGCTTCTCCCTGCTTCTCCCTCTGCCTCTCTCCTCCACTTGTGCTCTCTCTTGCTCTCAAATAAATAAGTGAAATATTAAAAAAAGAAAAAAGGTGACATTTAGAGTAATGCCATTTTAAAAGATAGAAAATAAACAATAGTCTGTGGTGTTATGTGTGTGTACACATGAGTGCGTGTGTATATATTTGTACTTGCTTTTATGTGTTTAACCAGATGTGGCAGGAAGGAAAGCCAAAGGACACACATGCTGAAATACCCATCTAGGGTAAAATTGCATGAAGAAGGAGCCCCAGATGACCTGACATGGAATTACCATTCAAATCAGTCTGTTCACTAATATAAAATATATTTTTCTACAACATGTATAAGGAAATATGGTAACTGTTCAACAATTTCACCACCTCAAAGATCTATGTCCAAGGGTCCATGTCCCTCCAGGGCCCCTCAATCCCAACAAGAAAAAATAATTGGTCATTAATGTCACCCAGTCCCAATAGCCAAAATGTGCTTTTATCTTGCTTTGATTGGATTGCAGTGCAACTTCCCTAGAGATGAAACAACAAGGTAAACAGCATTTCCTTAAAAAGAAAAAAAAAGTACCTGAATTGCTTCCTGTCCTGCTCTGTGGCCACAGGAAATACTTTGTCAAGGACACAGTCTCCGACATCGATGGACAGCCATGAGTTGCAGAGGAAATGCCACTTCCGGTCCCTAGCCAGGTCATGCACCAGCACCCGGCTCACATACCTGGAGAAGAGACCCATACCTCTGAGGACAAGATTAGGGGTTGAGGCTTCTTTGGATACCATGAAGGTAACAGCTTTGTAAACCTGCATTAAAGAACAAAAACTCCTAAAAAGAGAGATTTCGTATTTTTCTGCACTGTTTTTATTTGGTGCCTTGACCAAAATGCCCTAATCAGTGGGTGAATTGGCCTCATGTGGGAGCTCAGCTAGTGTGGAGAGCCAGCTCTTGTAGGCTGCCATGTTTTCGCAGATATGCTGCAAGAAGGTACATTCTGAAACTATTAACTCTGGTGCAGGGCAGTGAGCCCACGGCCAGTAACCAGCTGCAAGTGAGGAAAGCCAAGTTGTGTAAACTGTATGCATTCAGGGAGGTGCAAACTTAGGCACACAACCTGATCTTCCTGCAGGCTTCCACCCAGAGAGTAAGCCATCTATTTTGGACTCAGGATTTCATGGGTATCATCCAACCTGATTTAGGTCTTTGAGACCCAGGGAAGAAATGAAATCATCTCTCCTCTGCTGGTATGTCAGCAGTATAAGTGCTCTGTTTGTTTTTTTTTTTCCTAAAATTTTATTTGTTTATTCATGAGAGATACAGAGAGAGAAGCAGAGACATAGGCAGAGAGAGAAGGTTCCTCACAGGAAGCCCGATGTGGGACTCAATCCCAGATCCTGAGATCCCGCCCTGAGCCAAAGGCAGATGCTCAACTGCTGACCACCCAGGCGTCCCATGCTCTGTTTTTTGTTTTTTGTTTTTAAGTTGCAAGCCACTGATGGGTGATCAGATTGGAAATGACTCCTTTGGTCACTAGTTTTGGCCTCACACAGAATCCTCAGGTGGATGCTTAGCTTGGAGTTTGCCAGGTGTGTCACCTTGGAAAAGTCACTTGTCTTCTCTGAGTTTAGATTTTTCCCACCTATAAAACAAGAATGAGAGTACTTGCCCTTGAGGAGCCAATGAGAAAAGACACAATTACAGGAAGGCTTAACTTAGTGCTCAGCTGTGACAGGTGTTCCTAGCTCTTCTACTAAAGAATCAGCCCAATGTCTCATTTAGTGTCCTCTTAGTAGGCAAGATTTGTCTTTACAATGGGGATCTATCCCCATTTTACAGATGGGAAACTGGGGGCTAAATGAAGGTTGATGCTGCACATGTGCCAAGGGTGGGGCTAGCACTGGACCCCAGGGTTGCCACCGCCAGTCCTTCTCCTAGCTATTGATCCAGTGTGTGTGGCTTGTAGGTGGGTAGGTCTCTCTGACCGTCAGTGTCTTTATCTATGAAGTGGGAATCCATTCTATGTATTTGCAGAGACACGTGAGGATCAGCCAGGCAGCAAATGCACAGTGCCCAGCTCTGGTGTGGTACTTAGTGGGTTCTCATGGTGTGCCCACCCCTGACTTACCAGGATGGCCGGTCCCCTGAGTTGTCATGCCATAGCCGCAGGCTCTTTAGTTCCCCCAGGGGGAACAGGGTGGAGAGTAAGAAGACATCCACTCCTCCTCGCTCAAAAACTGGGATGTCAGGGTCTGACAGGTGGTGGGGTTCACTCTCTCCATCCAGGCCATATAGGGTGACAGTCACCTGAAATCCAGAGACTAGGAGTGGCCAAATCCACGTGGTAACCAAGCCCTGGCGGATGTGTTTCATTGGAATTTCCCAAAAACCTATGAGAACCAACATAGCATGGCCCCTTCATTCTCTCCTCCTCCCATCTTGGACCTGCCTGAGTTATTTTTCAGTGTATGAAGATTTGGGGTGACACTATCTACATTTATATCTTCAGCACGAGTTATAAAACATTTCTTGGTAACCTTTTTAAACTTTTCATATATTTATTTGTAAGGGCTATAAGGTAGGAACTGTCCCCCTCCCCTGCCGCCAACAATTATATTCCCACAGTCTCCCAAAGCACCTGGCACGGAGATATAAATCCATGAGTGCCCATTATCTTGAAAGTACATATTCCTAGGCCCTCCTCCAGACCTACCAACTAAAAATGCTGGGGACAGAGCCCAGGAATCTGCTTTTCTGTAGCCATCCAGGTGATGCTGATTTCCTAGCCAAACAGCTGCAGTTCAACCACCTGTGCTCAGCCCACATCCCTCAGCCTCACTGCTATAGCAATCCCTGAACCTACATCCAACTGTCAGCAGCTGCATCACTTTCCGGGGGTGAGGGGGGGTGGGGTTCTTGGGCTGTGAGAGCAGAGACTGGAAGAGCCAGAGAATGAAGGGTACTGTGAGCTGTCCTCCACCAATGACTGGTGGGATTGGTGCATAAATAAGCCAGCTCCCTCAGCCATCAGCTGGGATGACTTTGAGGCCCATGTTGGTTACTGTTTTCCAAAGTCCCATCATGGGACTAGCTCCACCTGCCCAGTTTGGCAGCCTTTATTGTCTCCTTCTGTTCCCTGTAGGCTTCTTGTCCTCTACTGGGGTGTCCTAGGATCCGCCCCTCAAATCAACTCCTTACACTGGAATCCTAATTTCGAGTCTGCTTCCATAGCAGGGTTTCTTCACTATGGACATTCTGGACTCAATAATTTTTTGCTCTGGGGGCTTTCCTGTGCATTGCAGGGTGTTTAGCAGCATCCCTGGCCTGTGCCAGATACCCAAACTAAGACAATATCAAATTGAAATGTGACTACAACTCTCCAGAAAGAGAACTAGCCTATGGATAACAAGTTTTCACTCCTTTCCTGGTGGACTTTTGAGTATCAAATGGAAATGAGATGAATGTTTCATTAGATGGATGAAGTTAACTCCTATGTTTATTCCACAAGTAGTTACTGAGCACTTACTCCATGTTAGCTCGTTGAGGACCCAAGACACAGCAATAAATCAAAATAAAATAATTTTTAAAATAAAAATAAGATAAATACATAAATAAAAATAAAATTTAAAAAGTAAAACATAACTATGAGAGGCTCCTAACTCTGGGAAACAAACAAAGTGTTGCATAAGGGGAGGGAGGGATGGGGTGGATGGGGTGAGGAGATGGGGTAACTGGGTGATGGGAACTAAGGAGGGCCCTTGATGGGATAAGCACTGGGTATTATGCTATATGTTGGCAAATTGAATTTAAAAAAAAGTAAAAAGTAAACAAATGCTCTGCTCTAATGAAGCTTAATGTCATTTTTGAAAAAACAAACAAACAATAGAGCTTTCTCCAGGATAATATACACAGTGCCAGTGATTCTCAAACTGTGTTCCATGGAGCCCTCAGTTTTAGTAAAGGAAACCTGAAGGCTACCACAGAGGACAGTATATTCTGATGAGGGATGTGGCACAGGCTAGACTTAGCTAAGGACACTAAGACATTACAGAGACAACCTGCTGAATGCTCCACAGCTAAATGCTCAAGAAATTCAGAGAATTTATGAGTGAGATAGTTTTTTCACTACCTCTAGCCAGCCTGCTAAAGGCCAGATGGCTCAGCCTGACCTCTTAGCTAGATGCCAGCTCATCAGTTTATCCAAAAAAATGTAACTCAAGACTCATTGTTTTCAAATGATAGGCATTTTTTTCTTTCCTTCCATTTCCTCTTTTCTCTTAAAAAAAATCTGTGTTCTCTTTATTCACCAATAACAGTTTACTGACTCTTCATATGTGAGCAGATTTGTGAGCATGTTACCAATTAACCATCTGAGTTATTCTTTGGTAAGGATAAGGGAGATAACCAGAGGCACAGTGCTAGACCTCAACTCTCCCTTAACCTATTTTCCTCTATATTTTTAAATATTAGGGCTTGGGGGGGATATTTTGTTTGGCAAAAAGATTCTTTCCTTTAAAAAAAAAACAACACCTTACAACACTAAATCCACCATGCTAAAATGACTTGACAATGAGCCAGCAAGTGCTTTGTGGGGTGGGACATACTAATCAACGCAGGGCAGGGGAGGGGGGCTGTCTTGTATGATCAGGTACCTTCGAGGAAGTAGCTGCCCCTCTCCGGTGTCCAGTGTAGACTGTCACAAGGTAGTGGTACTGGGCAAAGGGATCATTGTCCTCCAGCACTGTGACCCTCACCTGGACAGAAGGATGACATTAGGAGGGCCCTGTCCAGTGGGTTCATCCACTACACAACAGCCAAGAGTGAGCTGGTCATTCATGACAAAGGGAGAGAGCAAAATTATGTATGTCATTTATTCATCCCACCAGGTGAGAATAAGTAAAATAAAAACCTTTTTTTAAAAAGTACAAAATGCATTTAATATTCAATACAGTTCAAAAGTAGACTGGAAATGAACTTGGTATGAAGCTGAGAATGTTCAATGCTTGATCTGGTGAATGATACAAACTCTGTTTATATAGAATTTCTAAAATTGACGACCAGATTGTAACTCCAAGGGAATTTAAAGGGAATGAACGTTAAAGTGGTTTAGCAGTAAAACAAAACAAAGCCAGACTCTCTAGGCTACAGTGGGCAGATGAGCTGCCCGGATTAGCCAATGGAGGGGTTGTTCCCCCCGTTGTCAGGGATACAAGATCCACCTCTCTTGAGGTCACGTGCCCACCTGGGGAGGCTGACACACAATGGCAGAGTGATGTGGTGTCTGGGCATGATCAAGACCTGGGCATCTTGACCCAACTTGGTCATCTCTGGAGCTCCTAGCTCAGTTTCTCTCTCTGCTCATCCTGCCTCCTTCTCTCCCTTCCCAGCGGTTGATCCTTAGCATCCCTTATGGAACACTGCTCAACTCCATTTCAGAGTGTGCTTCTTGAGAACTAACCTACAGGTGAGGCATTTAAAGTATTAATGTTTAATCCCTTGGGTGAATTGAAGACAGCAATATAAATGCTGCCACCGCTACTAAGTTTTATGCCACCTTAACATCCTAGGAGGTGTTGCTGTGTAGGGAGAGGACGGAAATGGAGGATATTTCAGAGCTTTGTGATACATCCTTGTAATCACTGATGTACTCACTCAAGACACAGAATTTTATCGAAGGCTTACTCACTAAATGTCATGGCACATATATTGGAAAAATAATCAGAACTTTGCTGTTGGCAATTTGTTGAGGTTTGGTCTCATTTCTATCCTCAGATCTGTCTTATGGTCAGGCAGATCCAGGTTTGAATTCTGGCTTCAGGGAGGTGGCTTTGGACCAGTTAGTTGCCCTCTCTGGTCTTTGGTCTCTTCCTCTGTAAGATGATAGAGGTACTGTGCAGTAAAGGGGGGCCTCAGAAGGCCTGGGCTGTCCAAACCCTACACATTTCAAAGAAAGGCCTGGCTCTTGGCCAGCTCCTAAAAGATAACCCCTATGTCCTCAGAATATCCAGCATGATAAGAGTGTCTTTGAATACCTTGGTCCATCCAGGTAGTCTGCTAACAATGTGGTTTATGGTAAGGGCTTCAGGCCATGCTGTAAGAGCCTGACCTCTGGGTGTAGGTGGTGATGGGAAAGTGTTTTGCTGGAACCTGAGTAAACTGAGTCATATGGCCACTCTGTATGTATGTGACTGACCCCCAGTTAAACCCTGGACACCAGGCCTCAGGTGGGCTTCCCCTATTGTCAATACTTCGTATGGACTGTCAAATGCCATTGCTAGGAAAATGAAGTCTGTCCATACAACTCCACTGGGGAGATAAAGTTCTTGCTGGATCTCTCCTGGACCCTTCCCTTTGCTGATTTTAATCTGCATCCTTCACTGTAATAAACCATAATCATGAGTATAATAGCTTTTCTGAATTCTGTGAGTCCTCCTAGTAAATCATTGAACTTAAGAATGGTCTTGGGGACTCTCAACACAGTATCTTCCCTTAGGGCTGTGGGGAGTATTAAATGGGATAATCCCTGGCATATAGTAAATCCTCAATAAATGGTCAGTAACACAATCCTCCTGACAATTTGATGACAAAAGCCATTTCACATATAATGAGGCTGAGGAGCTGGGTTTCCTGGGATGACCTGGATTTGCCACTAGTCCTTTGGCTTCCCACCTGGGCTCCATCCCCTAGAGATATTGCAAGGGAACACCCTACTCCTTCCTCCCATTCCTAAGGGCCATGCAACCTCACCTTGGCCTGATCCTGAGCATCCTTCCTCTTCGCCCAGATCACCACAAGTATGTAGGCCACACAGAGGCAGCCCACGGTGGTCACAACCACGGGGTTGTCCTCAAAGGTGGCAAAGAGTTCAGCGGTCTGGCGGACATCGATGGTGTTGGGCATGACCAGGAATGTGCTTCCAAAGAAGGTGAGGTGGTTGCAGAGGCAGTGTGTCTGGGAGAGGGTGGTCCGTGGCCCCACCTGCAACCCCAAAGAGGCCGTGCTACAATGGCAGTACATCTGCCCGGGCTTGCTTGAGCCCAAGGGAGATGGACACCGCCATGACAGTCTCCCCATAAAGCTGGCTGGGGAGACCAGCTTTAGGGTTCTCTTGAGCTTTAGCTTTTTTATTTAACTAAAAATTTTCAAATGCTGAGAATATTATCTATAACAACTATCTTTGTACCCATCATTCTCAGTGGGCAACTGTATATCTTGTCAGTCTTATTTATCCTTTTCAAGAGCTATTTTGGGTGAAGTCGAAGTCTCCTCTGCTCCCCACCCTCCATAACCAGTCATTATCACAACTTTGGTGTGTATCATTCCAGTATATTCTCCACCTGATGCTTACTCATTGGACAGATACATGTTGAGTGCTAATTCTAGGCCAGACAACAGGTTAGGTGCTGAGAGGACATCTGGGATAATTAGATCATCTCAGTTTCCCAGGGACTTTCCTTCTTCTGAAAATGAAAGTCCTGGTACGCCTGGGTGGCTCAGCAGTTAAGCTCCTGCCTTTGGCCCAGGGTGTGATCCTGGAGTCCCAGGATCAGGTCCCACATCAGGCTCCCTGTATGGAGCCTGCCTCTCTCTCTGCCTATGTCTCTGCCTCTCTCTCTGTGTCTCATAAATAAATTTTTAAAAATCTTTAAAAATAAATAAATAAAAATGAAAGTCCTGTGCCCTGGAGGCCAGGCCCCTAGTCCTGGCCACACTAGGATGATTAGTCATCTCACAGAAAAACAAAAAAAATGGAGACTAGGGGAATCATATAAAGAGATGGGAAGGAAAAATGTTTAAATCCTAAGCTGCTGTCTCAGCACCAGGAAAGCATTCCCTAAATTTTACCCCTTAGATTTATGTACCAGGGACCCCTATCCTGGGCCTATGCTTTGAGGAGTGTCACTCTAGCTGCCCTCAGGCTGTGCACATCTGCACAAGATGGGGAGTCAGGGGGCCCTGGGGACATGCCCATCACAGCATATGTCACCCAGCTGTGTCTAGGGTGAGGCCCTAGGTGACCCCAAGAATGAGGCCCTCCTTAAATTTTGCACTATAGATGCCTCACTTACCTTACCCTAGTCCTGGCTCTGGGACTCCCACTTCTAGACTATGGTTTAGGGACTTGGATCTGGAACTCCTTGCTTCTAGGGCCTGTATAAACCTGTTCCTCAGGATCACTCTTCCCTGGTGGACTGGCCATGGGTGTGCCCACCTCTAGGCACAAGGGTGGCAAGATGTGGCTATGGGGGGCAAGGTCTGTAGATGGAGCTTGGGTACAGAGTCCCCTGTATTATAGGATAATGAGGTTGGGATTGCAGGAACAGGAATGGGCCAAGACAGGGAACCCCTTCTGTGCTCTTAATTCACAACTGGCACTTAGGGCCTTCTCTGGATCTGTCGACTTCCAACCCTGCCACCCCAACAGGGCCATTTGGTAGGCTAAGGTTTCATTCAGCCTCACGACTCAGTACTATCTTTTTATCCCAGGATCTACCAGGAGGTGTTAAGGTGGGAGAGAGCAGAAAACACTGGCATGCAGAAAGTTCTTCTCTACTCAGCGCTTGAGAAGGAAGAAGCTGCTGCAGCCCAAACTGCCCCAACAGGTAAGTCTTGTCTCTTTTCCTTAACAAGCCACCCAGCAAAGGCTGACCCCTCCACATGGGCATGACCCCAAATGTTTATTGACAGATTTTACTTCCGCGTTTGCTCCATTGTTTTTCTGTTTCCCAATCGTGGTCAGAATTTGGTTTGCAGCTGTGGGGCTTATGGGAACACCTGGCACTCCTGGAGAGGGTGGAGCTGGTTTCAGAGAAGAAACCCAAGCAGGTGCTGGTAATGAGACCACCTCAGTACTAGGAGCCCAGGGACCAGACTTTTTATGTCTACATCTCTGCCTCCCTTGGCTTTCACAACCCTCTCAGCATGAGAGTCTCTTGAATACCGGGAATTAATCGGCTCATACCCTCGTGACAGCAATTGTACCTTTAGTAACCTTTGAGAAAATATATAAGCAAGAATCTAGGTTCTCAGACCGTTTGCAATAATTCTTCCTTTATCTGCTAAGAAAATCTACAGACCATAGATGGGGAGCTTTCTTCAGCCATGTAGAGAATTTGGTGCTGGTTTTCCACCCGAACTTGATCGTGTTTGCTTATTTATGGTTCTTCAGTGATTTCTATATACCTATATCTGTATTTACATCTGTATAATGAGCATCAAGTACACAATATTGGATTCATATAACTTTTGGTCTCTGACATACCACCTTTGTATGTCCCACATTCATGGATGCATGTATTAGTAGGTGTGTATTTTCAACAGCATAATAAGGACCTGAAAACCCCTACCTACTCAAAAGTTAGAAACGTTCCAATAACTTACATCTAGCTAAGTGGTCTTCCCCCCATCTTTCCTCAAACTTCCCCCACCCAGTGACCACCCAAATCCCATGTTCATTGTTTCCTTGATTTCCATTTCATGTGTAGTTTTGTCTTCTCTGTGTTCATTGTTCAACAAAGTAATCACTTTACTCTGTGGAGCACTCACTGTGTGCCAGGTACCTCGCTAACTACTTTCTCCCCTAATCTTGCCGAGGTCCCACCCCAGCAGTAAGTGGTATCCATCATTTATCCTCATTTTCAGATGAGAATGCTGAGAGAGGTACAGTGACTTGTCCAAGGTCACCTGGCTAGTATTGATGAAGTAGGATTGGACCCAGGTCTGTCTGATGGCAGAGCTGTGCCCCTAGCTGCTGCAGCATCCCCCTTTCTGAGGACAGCCTTGCAAGGCATCCCAGGCTAGCATCATGGGGGGCATCAGACAGCTGCTGGGAGTGAAGGCTCTGGAAGGTCGCAACACACCCAGCATCTTATTCATGAGGCACAAAGGCCTCTATTGCAAGCATGGGGAACACACTATCTCTTGGACATGTCAATGCACCCGTTTCTTCTTGGCATTTTGGGAACTCCCTCTGTGTGGTGGCCAGAAGTCAGGGCAGGAATTGACAAGGGGGCTGAAGTTGTGGCAGAAATAAACCCAGAAGGAACGTGGCTCTGAGCCCCCTTCTGTGGCTCTGCTGGGGCCTGGCCTCTTACACTACTTGTGACCATTGTCATTTGATCATGTGCGCTATTTGCTTCTTGGCTGTGCCCTCTGCTAGACTGAAAGCTCATTGATTTCTCTAACCATTATATCCCCACTGCCTTGCGCATGGTAATTATTTGTTAAATAAATGGAAGAAGGTATTTGTAGTCTAGTAGATGGAGGCAGATGTGTGATAAATCTCAGCTAGATGTGGAGGTTTGCTGTTCTTGGGGAGGGTGTTAATCGCTGTGGAAGTCCAGCAGAGAGAGGCTCCTGATGTCTGGAAGTTCCCAAGGAGATGGCATTAGAATGGGAAAATTGAAGGGTGAATAGGAGTTTTCTGGGCAGGGTAGGTTGTTTCCGGGGAGAGAACAGAGTATGAAGGGCATGGAAGAAGGAAGAGGAACACCGATGCCCCAGAGATGGCCTCTGGTGGCCTCAAAGCCAATGTCTGGATGTGTCATGCACAGAACTGAGCTGACCTGAGATAAGGATCTGATTGCAATTAATAGAGCCACGTGCCATCCAGGTGTTTGGCAAAACTGGATTGGGAGCTGGACACACAGCACTGCATATCCCTGAAGGCTCCTGCTCTGGAGACAGACTTGAGTTTGAGTCCCAACTCTGTTACCTACTAGGCAACGGATTTGAGCTAAATGTGTTTACTTTCCTGAGCCTTTGTTTTACCACCTGTGGAATGGGAGTACCTACTGTCTTAGAGGTTACTGTGGAGATCTGATGAAGTAATGCAGGTGAAGCATGGAACACAGCACCTGGCAGAGAATAAAGGGCTCAGCTCTGAGTTTGGACCCCTGAAGAGGACACCCTGGCCTGGCCGCCTAGCAGCCCAGAGTCAACAGGGCTTCCCAATTATATGTCCATTCCTTCAAGAGCCATTTGTTTTCAGTGGTGAGCGAAGCCCACTGTTCCTGACTCATGGGGCTCTCAGTGCACCATGGGAACAGACCTCATCTCAGGGACCTCCTGAGTAGATATGAAATGGCATAATGCTGTGTTTAGTGCTATGGAGGAGCAGATGTATGTACCAGGAAAGCCTACAGGGGGAATCTGATGTAGCCAGGGTGACAGTTTTCTCAAGGAAGTGACACTTGTGGCAGGATCTGAAGGAGGAGTTGACTAGACCAGGAAGAGGGGCATTCCAGGCACAGGGAACAGCATAGGCAGAGACGCTGTGGTGGGGTGCAAAATGGCCAGCAGAGACAATGGAAGGAAGCCCTAAGTGAGTTGGACACACCCAACCATGTTGCTCTGTCTTCTTCTTTGTATCCTCTCCTTACCTGGCACCCAGAGTTGTCCCAAGTCCCCTGGACCTCATCCCAGAACACACAATGGGACAGGAAGGTGGTGATGCCAACTGTGAGGTCCCTGCCAGGGATCAGTTCCAGGTCAGACTCGGGGACCACAGTCAGATAATAGACCCCTTCTCCAAAATGCAGGTCCTCTGGGTTCAGGATCCACGTGGACAGCCCATCTGCAAGAAATAGGGATCCAGGTCACCCGGAAGCCTCATGGAGCCTGGGGCTAACATCATGGAAGAGAGAGACCAAGGAGACTTGGCAGGGAAGCTCACTTTGGTGATCTCCCTAATGTCGTAGGAAAGCCCTCTCCTCCTGAGACCTGGAGCAGAGGAGAGAACACACTCCCAGGTCCGTGTGCAGAGCACAGCTGCCAAGTCAGATAGATGAGGGCCAAATTCTGACTCTGTCCCTTCTTGGCTGTGTGACTTTGTATCAGTTACTTAACCTCTCTGTTCTTATCTGGCAAGAGGAAATGCCCATAATGCCCATCCTGAGGGTTGTAATGAAGATTACAACAAGGTTAGTTCTATAAGTGTTTGTCAGTTTCTTCAGGGCATGTAGTAAGTGCTCACTTAATGTTGCCAAATGATAATAATAGTAGTAGTAATAATAACACAAAAAATCAGCTTTGAATGTGACATTATTTTTTTCTTTTTCTCTATGGCTTCTGATTCTCAAGTTTTAAGTTGGTCACCCTCTCCCCACCCCCAAGAAGCTCAAGAAACTAGTCCAGTTGATGGACTACCTGTAGCAGCCATTGGCGGGATGTGAGCTTTTGCATCATAGCTGGTCTCATTGGGGTGGTAGCCATAGCCCAGGCTGAGTATGAGTGGGATGGCAGGTCTCCAGTGCAGCTGGATCCCCAAAGCTGCTCTGTCTGAAGTCAGGTTCAACCATAAAGCTTCAGGACTAGTCAGGTTTAACACAGTTGGCTCATTGTGCCCTTCCAAAAGCCGAGGCAGCAGGATCTGTTACCAAAAACAGTCAAAACAAGGGTATGTGGGGTGGGAATGCCAATGAGCATCAGGGCTGCTAGACAGAGCAAGGCAAAGTGAGCACCCCAGGAATTGAGATCCACACTGTGCTGTGCTCATTCTGTCAGTTTCCTGGGGCTGCTTAACTAATGACCACAAACTTGGTGGCTTACAACACCCCAGATTTGCCGTCTTACAGTTCTGGAGGCCAGAAATCCAAAATCAACTTCATAGGGCTAAAGTTGGCAGGCTGATGCCTCCTGGAGATTCTAGGGAAGAATACCTTCCTTGCCTTTTCCAGCTTCTGGAGGCACCCATGTCCCTTGGCTCATGGCCTCTCCTCATATCACCCCAACTCCTTGCTTATGTCATCAGATCAGCCTTTTAAAGAAAATCTGACAGCTTAGAGCCTGGATGGTAAGGGTGGTTTATGTAATGAAGATGATTAAAATTCCAATCAACAGATATAAAGAAATGTTTTGATTGTGTAGCCAAAGATTGGCAATGATATACATTTGTAGTTTTTAGCTAAAATACGATGTGTAACATAAAGACCATTCTAGGGCAGCCCGGGTGGCTCAGCAGTTTGGTGCCACTTTCAGCCTAGGGTGCGATCCTGGAGACCCAAGATCGAGTCCCACGTCGGGCTCCCTGCATGGAGCCTGCTTCTCCCTCTGCCTGTGTCTATGCCTCTCTCTCTCTCTCTCTCTCTCTCTCTCTCTCTCTCGTGAATAAATAAATAAAATCTTAAAAAAAAAAAAAAGGGCAGTCCTGGTGGCTTAGCGGGTTAGCGCTGCCTTCAGCCCAGGGCGTGATCCTGGAGACCGGGGATTGAGTTCCACATCAGGCTCCCTGCATGGAGCCTGCTTCTCCCTCTGCCTGTGTCTATGCCTCTCTCTCTCTCTTTCTCTCTCTCTCTCTCTCTGTCTCAAATAAATAAATAAATAAATAAATAAATAAATAAATAATCTTAAAAAAAAAAGACCATTCTACTCTCCTCTTTAATCAACTTTTGGTCTCAACCAAGTTGAAGAAGATAACAGTAGTGATAATGGACTTCTGACAGCACCCCCAACTTCTACCTCGATATTCTCCGACAGATTCCTCATGGGTATGAGATGTCCACTAGGTCTGGTCAAACAGAAGCCACCAATAGTTCCACTGACATCAAAGTGACTTTGGGCTGGGAAGGGGCTCTTGGGGAAACTCATCACCTGAAACCAAGAACAAGAAGTGCTGGCTAAGGCCCCTGAAGGCTGGAAGGTGCCTGCAACCCTGCGTGAATGATAAGGCTTCCTAAGATTTTACAGACAAGTGGTCTTGTCCTATGGGGTGGGTGGGGAACCCGGCTGTTAGCTGTGTCTGGCCTTTCTGGGGTGTGTCTGTCCTCCAGGGCTGAGGACCCACTCAGGCCCATAAAGCTATACAACTACTAGACCATGAAACCCTCCAAGTCTTTCTTCTTGGCAAAGCCAACAAGCCCCCAAGAGAGATATACTTGTCTGCCTTCACTGAGGCTCAAAGAACTGAGAGTCGGATGTGTCCTCACTTGGGAGTGAAAAGAACTCTGGGTTCACCATTTCCTAGTTATGGAATGAAGTCCAAAGAGCTTTATTTCCAGTAACTAATTGAACCAATTGGCTGGAGAAATCCCACAACACAGTGGAAGAAGGATGGATTTGGGTGTTGGAAGGCCTGAGTCTGCATCCCAGCTCTGCCACTTTGCTTGTAGCATTGGGTGAATCACTGAACCTCATCTGCAAAATGGGTGTAGTAATACTGTGTAACTGACAGGGTTGTTATCAACATAAATGAGCAAACACACTTAAAAGTGACAAATAAGCTCTAAAGGGCTGCTCCCAAGGAGGTTATTATTGTTGTTACCCTGATGTCCACAGGCTCCCAGCTGTCCTCCATGGAGCCAAGGAAGGAGGCCGCAGGCAGGATAAAGGTTGCAGAGCTTGCAGCCTTAATATGCACAGAGGAGCCTCGCCAACTCCGGGGCTGTATTCTGGCCACAAGGTGAGAACATAGGTGTCAGGAGAGAGAGAAGAAAGCCAGTGTCAGAGGAACATCTCTTGCACTGCAAGGAACCCCAGCGTTGCCATCAGAGTACATGGCTCTATTTCAGTCCCCTTAGATGGTTCTGCATGTTCATGTCAGTAGGAGCAGCACAAGAGCAGCTGATGGCCCCAGCGCTGGGTTGGAGGCTCTATGAGGACAGGCATTAGCCAGCTCTGTTTGCTGCCGCACTCCCAATGCCTAGAAGAGCACCTGACATATGAAGGTGGTCAACACATACTTTGTTGAATGAATAAATGAGCTTTGATGTGGACACTTCTCCAGGCTTATCCCCTCTACCTACTTGATCTCAGATGTCATGGGCTTCTAGCCCCATCTTCTCTGGCCTTTGATGTCCCATCTGATTAGATTGGGGACCTGGTGTCAGACCCTAGTTCTGATCAGAATGCTGCTTCGGAAAACTGCCTCTGGCACCCAAGAGGGTAACCCTGGCATGAGGAATCAAAGAAGGGGGCTCACTACAAGAGTTGCAGCAGTGCCTGCAGGGTGGTGCAGCACCTGCTTGTCAGGTGGAGGCATGCAGGGTGGAGGGCATTCTCAGGTACCGTTAGAGTGCAGCAAGAGGCAGACCCTCCACAAAGAATTCCCAAGGCCAGTGTATCTTGAATCCCCATAGCTCTGTGGAGCAATGGGGTTGGCCAGGCACACCCAGAATGTGGTGTAAAGTGGGCAGGCCCCCTTCATTCAGCCTCCCTGCCTGCTCGACTCCAACATGATCCATCTCTCAGGACTCCTGGGTGGCTCCAACATGGGACTTGGCACTCAACAGCTCCTTTCCTATGCTGTGCAAATACCCAGACCTTATCTCAGTGAAAAGCCCTCCCACATCCAGCTCCCTTCAGGTCCCCCACTTCCAACGCTGGTCTTCTGGGCTCTACCTGGCACAGGGTCTTAGGATGTGGGTGTGGACCGAGCCAGGTCAGGGGACAAGCTCTCTTGGGACCTCAGTGCAGCTGGTTACCTGTTTGTATACACAGAGATGGAAGGGGTGGCCAGAGTGGCTGGGAGGCCCCCAGGCAGTGTCCCCAGAAGGAGGGCAGCCTGCACATGCTCCACAACTCTGAGCAGCTGGGGCACGGGGGCCATCTGGAAAAGAAAACAGGGTTAACTGCTGGAGACCCATCTCTGTATGCTGCCTTTGGTTACTGTCACCAGGCTAGCGTGGGACCCTCAGCAGGGACTGGGAGAAGGCAGAGGAGTGAGGAAGGGACAGCACTACTGTTTATTGAGTTCCCGGCTCTGTGGGGAGTGAAAAGTAAGCACTCGTGAAGATTCCAACCCCTTTTGGAATGTGAACCCCTTTTCATCCAACAAGTCTGGAAGGCAAGTGCTCTCACTATATCCATTTGGCAGATGGGAAAACTAAGGCATATAAAGGACAAGTGACTTGCAGAGGTCACATGTTGCTAAAGACTAGTGCCAGGACTCACAGTGAGGTGGCCAGGCATCTGACTCCTGAATCTGTGTGTTGAGCTGTCACACTGCATGCCTCTCTGGGCTGCGCTGTTTGACCCTGACATCCACCCATAATCCAGGTCTTATTTGTGGGCAAATAGAAAGCCACAGGCAGAGCCATTTCACTGGGTCACCTGGGCTTGGACTGCTCCTCACCACACCCAGACCCCCAGATGAGGATGCAGTGTCGCTGAAGCCAAAATGTGAGGATCTGAGACGGGCTAGATGTTTGCATGAATTGTGTGTGTGTGTGTGTGTGTGTGTGTGTGTGTGTGTGTGACTGAGTGGATGTGAATGTGAATACGTGTGTGTTTGAGGGTGACCTGTGAATATAAGGAATTAAGTGTGTGTATCTGAGTATCTGAGCATAAGGGTGTGATTGTGAGTCTGAATGTGAATGTGGGTTTGAGGATATGTGTGAGTATGTGCTGGAACATAAGTGAGTGTGTATGTGGTTTTGTGTGTGACTGTAACCACGTGTCTGTGTGTGTGTGTGCAATCATGTGGCCATGTATGAAGACAGAAGTGTAAACATGCATCTCTGTATGTGTAGGACTGTGTGCTTACATGTATGTGTGAGAGTGTGAGTGCTTATAAGTGTGTGTTAGTGTAGGAGTGTGTGTGAGTGAATATGTTAGTGTCTGTAGGTGTGTGTGAGCATATGGGTGTGTTTGAGTGTGACTGTGTGTGTGTATGTGTGTGTGTTCCCCACATGCTATAGGACTATGGAGCAGCAAGAAATGGGTTTTCCACTCCATCATGATACCATCCTAGGAGGCCCTTCCCCTTGTGCCCCCATCAAGGACGCTGGGGCTGCCTCTCTTCTAAAAATGTACTGTGTGGGGTAGACATGTGATCTTTTCTATTGGTGGCTTATCTGAGATGAGACGGAATGCCTTGATTTGCAGGTGACAGGTGAGACTGAGGGAAGTTATGTACCCTTCCCAAGTCTCAGGGTTTGAAAGCGACAGAGGCAGGATTGGAAGGCAGGCTGCCTTGATCCAGAGCCTGTGCTCTGCCTCCCAGAAGCTCTGGTCTCTGTAACTTTTCTTCTAGCTCCCTAGAAATGGTTTTAACCTCTTTGCCTCTTTTTCTTCATCTGCAAGATCTAGAAAGGCTGGTGTAAGCTGGGTGTGTGGTAGCTGGGAGGTCTGCAGCTGGGCTGAGACACCTACCTGACTGCCTTTGGCCTCTGCATGCTTTTCTGGTCCCTCCCTCAGGGAAGCTTCCAGCACGCTGCCCACAGCCTGAAACAGGTCCTTGGTGGCTGCCTGGCGCCTCTGGTCTTCAGGATGGGCCTTGGAACACAGTGCCAACAGGGCTTCACTGGCATGCTGCAGAGCCCAAGTGGCCTCCCACTGGATTTCCCAAAGGAGAAGGAGAAGCAACATGAGCCCTTGCTGATAGACTATCCCCTACACCATTCAAAGGACAAGAAGGGAGCAAGGTGAGAAACAAAGTAGGAGAAATCTAGGCCCATTGCACAGGCTGCCTGTGTCACTGACTTGAGGTAGGTTCTCTTTCCCTACAATGTGCTAAATTCCTTCAGGAGAGTAGCCTCGTCCATCTCTGAGTCTTCCCAGAGTGCCTTCCACAATGCCTAGCACATAGTAGTAAATGTTCACTGAGTGGGTGGAAGGATGGAAGGATGGTTGGGTGGCAGATGAGTAGATAGATGGATGGATAGATGGACAAGACACTTGTCCAGTTTTGTAATTATGTATGTATTTGTGAGATTATTTGTGTAAAGTGTTGCTCTCCCCATACTCTGAATGTACTGTGAGCAGAGACTATGTCGTGTGACTTGCTGAATTCTTGATGCACAGTTTTTGCACAGTACCTGATATATATTAGGCATTCAGGAAGCATTTGTTGAATGAATGAATAAATTAATGCATGGATGAGTGAATGGAAAGGTAGAGTGATGGATGTACATAGAGGGGCACTGAATAGATGTATGTACATGGAGTGGATGGATGAGCAAAGGGGCGTATAAATAGCAAATGTGATGTTAACAGCATCATGGCCCCAGAAATAAAGGTCAGCCTTGCTGGCTTCAGGCTGGAGAATGTGAGGGGCACAACCTCCTGAGAATAGGTGGAGCAGAGCCAGGATGGCTTTCCCCTCTTACTGACTTAGGGCTTCTTTTTTTAACCTTTTGTTACTATAATATGGGGAATATGGTGATTTAATTTGGGTTCTGCAAGAGGCAGAGCCTGAGGCAAGGGTTTAAGATGTAGGCAGGCAGAGTAGCTGGTGAGGTGGGGGGTGGGGGTCAAAGAAGAAAGAGACAGGAACTGGCAACTGGACATCAGTCTGATATGTACTAGTGAACTTGAGTATGTATGAAGTGAGGAACATGGGTAGGTTAGCAGCAGCATCTGGGGACACATTTAGTGTCACCCAGTGATTAGAGTCAGGTACTCCCTTGAGGTGCCACTGGCAGGTTGGGGAGTAAGGTATGTGAGCACACAGGCAATGACACCAAGAATGAGACACAGGACCTGCAGGAGGACATCTTCTCTCTCGGCATCACTCATGCAGGATCATTGGAAAGAAGATAGTGGAAACCTTGGTGACCCTGAGATTGAGGGACCTTTGACATGGGAGGAGTTGTCAATTACCTACGGCAGAGGTGTGTGTCCCATGGCTTGGCCTGGACAGCAGATAGGCCTCACTTACCTGGGCCTTGGGTGTGAGCTCCTCACTGTGGTGGGTCACCTCTCTCAGCACCTGGGCCAACCTTTGTACCTTCTGCATGTCCCCCAGGGTGGTAGTGACTGCAGATAGTGACCCCAGCACATGCTCTCTGACCTTGATGCAGAGGGAGGGAGATGGGGAGAGAAAATGTAATTTCAGTGGTTTGATGAAACGATTTCAGAAAGATTTGGGGTCAGAGCAAGTGACCAGGCTCATTTGGAGTTTTTCCAAACCTCATAGACCTCTCATAGGATATGTACTGGGCAGTGTAATGGGCTCCCAAAAATATCCACATCCTAATCCTTGAAACCTGTCAATATGTCACCTCACATGGCAAAAAGGACTTTGCCAAAATTTTTTTTTGAGTTTTATTTTATTTTATTTTTTTATGTGCTCAGTGTGGGGCTTGACTCACACCCCTGAGATCAAGAGTTGCATGCTCCTCTGACTGAGCCAGCTAGGTGCCCCTGTTTTGGAATTTTAATTAAGTTAAGGTTCTGGGATAGGAGAGGATCTGGATGAACCAAGTGGGACCTATGTAACCACAGGGGTCTTTGTAAGAGGGAGGTGGGATGGTCAGAGCCAGAGAAGATGTGTGGATGGAGGCCGAGGAGAAGAAGAGGCTGGGGAAGGAAGGGAAAGGAAGTGAGGAGGGGAAATTTGAGGAGGGGAGGGAGGAGAAGTGGAGGGAAGAGGAAGGAAAGGAGGAAGAATCTGAAGGTGCTGAGCTGCTGGCTTTGGAGATGGAGAGGACTGTGGAGGCTTCTGGGGACCCTAGGGACCGTGCTCTCTGAGCTATGGAGCCCTAACAAGGGCTCACTGGGGGCTGGTATTGGCAGCTGCAAAGAAAACCTAATAGAATTTCAGTACTGCCCAGGAGAACTTTCCACATTGATGAAACAGTCCTATCTCTGCACCGTCCACTCACCAAATGTGACTATTGAGCCCTTGAAATGTGGCCAGTGCAATCAGAAAACTGAATTTTTAAAACTTTATTTCATATTAATGCATTTAAGATAGGTGTAAGTACCTAGATATGGCGAATGGCAACCACCTGGCACAGCACAGATCCAAGGGAACAGTCCCCCTCTTGCAGCCTCTTCCTGACAGCTCACTCAGCCTACCTGTCTGACAGCCTGTCTTGGCAGCTGCAGAGTCTGGGCATGTCTGCTGTTAGCTCAGGGTGCATCTAGGCTCTGGCTAGGATGGAGGAGAGAATAGGCCAATGTATGAGGGGACTCTTGTCAGAATGTTCTGGAAGGAGAAATTGTGTTTGCTTTTACAAATCTTCCCTCCCTCCTTTGTCACTGTCCTGAAGGCAGCTTCCATGGAGATGCCACAATTCCTGACTCTCTGGCCAGTGGATTCATTCAGCAGGAAGTGAGAGGGCAGGAGGAGAGACAGCGAGAAGCTATTCTGGTGCTTCCCTCCCTCCACTGGTGGGTCAACTGCCTCATTCTTCAGAAGCTATTGCTTCCACCATGGAGCCCCTTCCATGCAGCTGCCCCCTCCAGATTCTGGTCACTTCAGGCTAAGCCCCAACTTGAATCAACAGAACTCTTCTTAAATTCTTCTCAGTTATCCTGTTAGAGTTTTACGCCTGCCTCCTGCCAGGACCCCAGTGTTTCACGAGGAGATCTTGGATCAGGCTGCCATAGTCTGTGTGCTCAGGGACCACAGGATATCCAAATGGAAGTCTGCCATAGCTAATGTTCAACCAAGACTGAGAACAAGGGGTGGGTGGGTGTATGGAGGGGCTAACATGAAACAGGGCAGGGCTGAGAGTCTTGGAGGGCAGGAGGTGGATGGGGGAAGAGCTCGTCTGGATTGGAACCTCATCTTCACCTCCACCTTAGAAATGTGGGCCTGGGCAAGCTGTTAAAATTCTCTAACCCTGTTTCCTCTTATGTGACCTAGACAGGGATCTCACCATTTATCTTGTAGGGTTTTAGTGAGAATTACATATCCATGAAGATCTTGGGGTTGGCAGCACAGAGTAGGTACTCAATAAATGTTAGCTATTTATCTATAAGTAGTTACTATGACAACCACCACGTTTTTGTATTAAGTACTTACCACATGTCCTATACCATGCTAAGTACTTTCATGCAAACCCTTCAGGGACCAGAGAAGTCCATCTTTTCTTCTCCATGCCCAGCAGGTGTATGTGATGCTGTGTGTGTGTGCATGTGAGTGTACCTGCACCCACACATGTTCATATAGCAGGTACCAGGAGTGGAAGTAGTCCTACGCTCTGTCATAGTTGTTTGTCACGTCAGGTTGTAACACATAAAACGGCCATTCTGTGGATTACAACTGGTTGGATGTTGGTGATTTCAAATGGCTTGACCTAACCTTATGAGGAAAATACTATTTATTATCCGATTTTCCAGATGGTGAAACAGGCTTAGAGAAGTTCATTCACCAGCCTGTGATGGTATAGATGGCAAACGACAGAGGTGCAATGACATCCAGGGTCTAACCCCAAACCATTAACTGTATGAGAGTGGCCAGGCCACTTTTCTCCTCTGTTGTCATCTTTGACAGGAAGGACCGGAGCGATACTCTTAAATTCCCTCCTGCCCTGGAAGCCTTTGACGCTGTGAGGCAGAGCAGGGAGAACAGGTTTCCGTCATTTTAGGTCACTCACCAAGAAAGGACCAGAGGGGGAGGTGATGTCAACAGCTAGGCAGATACTGAGGCTTCTCCACAGCTCCGTGAATTCCACTCCCCACCCTGAATGGCTGTACAGACCCTGGGGCCCCAGTAACAACCTAAAAAGGGGCCCGTTTGAGCACCTTCTGTCTGACATCCATGTTCAGCAGCTGCCCACAGCCCTGTCCCTGGCTCTCCAGGTCCAGGATGGATGACACAGCCGTGGCCAGCTGGAAGAGCCGTTCAGGGTCCCGCTCGCCTTGCAGAGTGGCGGTGACATTCTCCAGCACTGCGGCCTGGAATGCCACGTTCTCAACACAGATGTCTCCAAGTCCCACCTGACAGGGAAACCAGAAGCACGCTCAGTGCAGGGAAGACCTTGGCTCTCCAGTTCTTGTTCCAGAACCCGGAGCCCGAAGTCATGGTATCATGTGGCAAATCAGAGCAAGGCTGGAAGGCCTCACACTTAGTGTGGGGTCTCTCCTGAGGCTTGAGGGCAGCTGGGCCCACTTGTAGCAGGCAGCCAAGCACCACTGAAAGCAAGCCTTACGTGAGTCACTGCTTCTCCCTCACAGCCCTCCTCATCATGCCCCCAGTCCCTTTCTGCTCCACTTGGCCTCTCACCCTTGAAATTTACCCAGATTTTGTCCAACCCCTCTGCCTTGTAACCCTGATAGTTGATTTTGGTCCTCCTTCCTCTGGACTCTGATGACACTGGTCTGACTCATCCCTGGATCTTTGTGCTCCAAACCTCTAGGGCCCTACCCTTCTGCTGGCCACTGAGATATAGGATCTGCAAAGGTAGAGACCAGGTCTGTTTTGTTCACAGCTGTGTCCCCAGGGCCTGGCACATTGCAGATGCTCTGAAAATACTAGTTGAAGGAATGAAGGAATCAGTGACTCAATGTGATCATGCCCTTGCCTTCCTTCAACATAGCCACCCTCTTGGTGAGGTTCAGTTGGGTCAACAAGTTTTCTCAATAAAGAAAGAAAAGGCAGTCACCACCCACCTTCACCACTGCATGGGCCTGCTGTTTGTCCCCTGCGAGATTGGAAACAGAAATGACCACCACCAGCATGAAGTCATTGTTTACTTTCCCAAGTGGCAGATAAACTGATGAGAGAGCAGGTTCAGGGCCACAGTGTAGACAGGAACCTAGTAAATGGAAACTGAACAGTTAGGGGGGCATCTCCAGACACCAGGGAGACTGGAAACCCATTGAAGTAGAGCCTGATGACAAGGGCACAAAAGACCCAGCTCATGAAGGCATGGCAAGCACTCGGGGACTCCATGCTTTCAGAGAGAAGACAGCCGTCTATACTGATCCACCAGCCTCTCTAGGTAATTGCAGGCTGTTATGACTTGGGAATAATTTTACTAGAATCCATAAAAAATTTAAAAAACTTTTCCTCTTTGCAGGCTTAAAAGAAATTCAAGGTCATAAACCGAATTTAAAAAGGAAGAAGAGGAGATCTTTAAAATTAGCTCAAAACATATCCAAGCTCACTCAAAAGTCAGTTCCTGTACAAAGACCTTCCCAGGCTGTGGATCTAAACAGCCTCTCCCACCCCCACCCTCAGCCTCTCCCAGAAGTGGATGGCTGGGACACTGTGCCTGGGGCTAGGGGAGTCTTCATTCTGCAAACCTCTCACACATGGAGTACGCTTTTTGTAGCTCCCACAGGGAGACAGGCCCCTGTTTTGGGAGAGATGGCGCCTAGCAGTGGAAGGGAATGCATAGCCCTGGGCCGGTACCTGACTCCAGACAGAAGCAGTACTCCAGGGGACCCAGGGCCGAGGATGTGTTACAGAAGATGGTGAAGCTCGTCAGAATGGTACCCTCTTCTGGAGTGATGGTGCAGCTGGGCACCTCTGGGGGAGGCAGAGAGCTGATCACGTAGGTGTCCTCCCCATAGGCATGCCTGGTCACTGCTGAGGCGTGAAGACAGAGAGTGTTTGGGGGACCGTGTGAGTCACACAAACCACCATGCTTCAGGATCGCCTGGGAGCTTGTTAAGCATGCAGATTCCCAAGCCGATCTCCTGACCCCAACCTCTCTGGAGGTTCTGGGGTGGGGCTCAGTAATCTGAATATCTAACAACTCCCTCTGATGCAGGGTATCCTGGGGTCTCACTTTTTAAGAGTCAGTCCTTCTGTAGAACAGGGCTAATATTAGTTGCTTCCTCGCAGCTTTGGTGAGGAAGAAGTATATTGGGAAACAGAATGACTTGCTCAAGATGACTGAGCTTGGAAGGGCCATGGCCAGAATCTAGAAACAAGGTGATTTGCCCAAAAACAACCTGCCCAAAGCCTTGCTCTTTCCAGGCCTCCACCTGCACCAGCATCCCACACCACCTGGTGTTTCAAAAACAGTATATACCTGGGAGGGCTGGGCATAAAGAGAATTTAATCAGTTAAAAATGGATTCCTTAGCATAGACCTAATTCAGAAGGTTTAGGGCAAGCCTTGGGGTATTTATCTGATTTTATTTTTAAAGATTTTATTTGTTTATTTGAGAGAGAAAGAATGAATGAGAGAGAGAGGGAGAGAATCTGAAGCAGACTCTGCACTGAGCACAGAGTCCAATGAGGGGCTCGATCCCACAACCATGAGATCATGACCTGAGCTGAAACCAAGAGTCAGATGCTTAACTGAGCCACCAAGGCACCCCTGGAGTATTCATTTTAAACTGGAATCCCAGGTTGTCCCCATGTGGGTGGTCTCTGGGCCACTTTGAGAAAAACTGGATCAAATGAACCCATCTGGAAGAGAATAATCACTCATCATTTGTCATTTTGATAATCTACCTTTCCCACCACACAAGGCTTGTTTAAAGTGAGAATCTTCCTGGCAGGACATGCACCACCCCAGAATAATATGTCACATCCACCCTGCATAATGCCATTCAGAGTCAGGAAACTGAGGGACGGACAGTTTAAATGCCTTGCCTCCCAGGTAAAAAGTGATGGTGATGGGATTAACACCAGAGCCTGTGTATGGCCCCTGACCCTGCACTGAAGTCCCACATTTCAGGGCTTCATGTTTGTCTTGGTTCACTTTCTGGGCAAATGGGATCTGTGACAGGAGACTGAGGGGAGGCCTCCACACCTGTGGCTTTGATCCGGATGGCCTGGCCCCAGGTCTGCAAAAAGGAGCTGTTCAGCCGCACTGTAGAGGTGTTGCTCTCAATGAGGATTAAAGCACTTGGCCAAAATCCCTGGAATCTGCAGGCAGCTGGGAGAGGCTCAGCCTGAAAGAGAACACCATCCAGAGCTCCTAAGGCTTCCACCTTGATGCTGGACCCCAGCAGGGCGCTGGCTTCCGACCCCTAGGAGGCCTTCCTGATTTGTCTCTGCTACAAAGGCACCGAGTGCTTACCTGGGACACACCAAATACCCAGTTTCCAGCCTTGTTTAGGTGTTTGTCTGAGGTCAGCTTCCCTTGTTGGAAAGCCTGTGACTTTTGTGCACAGGCCATTTACTGAGAGAGGCCTCTCAGGAAAATCAGAGGGGAGAAGAAAGCACAGTAGGGCAGAGAATGAAACTAGGGATAGAAGTGGCTTCAGCCAGCCTCAACTGGATCCAGCAGGGAGTGTGAGGCCCACCACAGAAGCTGTCTCATTCAGAGGCGGGGTGGCTGGGCCATTAGACCCAACCTCCATTGATTACTGGCTGGCAGTCACTGCCCAGCAGCTGAGGACAGGTGCATTAGCCTGGGAAGAGGAGCTGGGCTGGGGACTAGCAGCATCTGCTGTGAGGTTTCTCCATTGCTTCTGCTCCCTTGCATCTGTTCTCCCTTATGACCAGTACCCTCCTTTTCCTCTGGGGAACACCACCATCCCACCTCCCCAACTCTGTGGGCTCTGACCCACCCCCAGCTCAGTACTGGCCATGTGACACAGGGTCTGGGCAGTCAAAGCAAGAGTGATCGCCAGTGTCCTCACCTTCTCCAGAGAAGTGTCCTCTAAATACCAGTTGAACATGGCCACTGAGGAGTCATCCCCCAAGGTGACTCTGAGAACAATGTCTTCACTGGTATTTGCTGGCCTGCAGTTCTTCTCACAGCTGAGAGGGAGACAAAATGGAGTGCTGAAGCTCACTCAAGCCTCGTGGCTTGCTCTTTTGTCTGGTTCTTCGCAGGTCCTTTGCAAAGGTGGCAGAGGGCCTTTTTTTTTCAAGTGAAAAATAGAATAAAAGCAACCCAATGCCCCAACCAAAACCAGAACATAGTGTTGGTCATGGAGATGGAGTGATCTGTGCCTGCCCCAACTCCCAATCATTCCCTATGAAAGACAATGGTATGGAAAGTGCATGAAGCCCAGCGTCCTCAGATCCTGTCTCATATGAAAGGTCACCTTGCACGAGTCACTTAAATTCTCTGAGTCTCAGTTTCCTTACCTGCAAAGTGAAGGGATAAGAGCAGATGATATTTCCGTGATTCCTTCTAGCTCTAACAGTAATAAAGGAATGCTATGGTTTTATCGCATGTATACCACAGGTTATAAATTATTTGCTTCATTATTCACTTATCCAGTGCTTACCACCACCCTGTGAGTGATATATCAGAATCCCCTATCATAGACAAGCAAATCAGGCTCAGGGTGCCAATGTGATTTGTCCCAGGTGACATGACTCTTGAGTGGGGGAAGGGAACATGAACCAGACTGTCTACATTCAGATCCTGGGCCTTCTCTATAGCATCCCTGCCCACATCTGTCAATATACCCTTCGTCCACCTCTCATCAACTCCCAGTTGGAGGGAGACATCTCCTTGTTGGGACCTAGTTGATAGACCAAGCTACCTTGAGCTTTCACCTTGACTACTGCAAGAACTCCAGCAATCTCTGGGAACCCTCTCTTGCCCGCCTCCACTCTGCTATCACAGCATTTTGAAGTAAGACGTGGTCATGTCCCCAGCCTGCTTGCAACTAACTCTTGGATGGCTTTCTAGAACTCTTCAAAATCATGTCTGTGGCATAACCCACAAGTTTCCACCAGAGCCAGGCCCTGTCTTTTCCCCTAGTTTCTTCTTGCCCCTCTGTCTCTCCCTCCATACTTGAGCCACACCAATCTCTTTCACTTCCAGCTTATTCTATGCTCCCTCCCTCTGCCGCTCAGTTCCCTCTGCAGCCCCCTTACCCTGCCAAGTTAATTCCTCTTCCCTGTTCACATCTCATCTGGGGAATGACCTTCCCTGGCCCTGAGTCAGGGAAGTTGTCATAGAGGTGAACCATCTCCCTCCATTTGTTGGGGTGGATCATTGCTGACCACCAGGGAGTGCTCTCTGTGAGAACTGTGACCCAGTCTACTGGGCCACCACTGTTAAGACCTAACCCCTACACCAGTGCCAGCTGGCTCTTCAGTAAATGGAGGATGAAAGGGTGGCAGCACTGCAGAAGTTTGCTCTCTTGCCCCCACCTGACTCGAGGCCTGAGTTCCAGGGGGGCAGACACATAGAGGCACTGCTCCTCCTGGTTCTCCAGCTGTCTGCGTCTCCAGGTGGCCAGGCGCAGGGTGATGGCAGAATTGGGTGGTGGCAGGCAGGATGGAAGAAGCACCAGCTCCCTCTGGTCTGTGCAGAGCAGCTGCCTCTCAACACAGTAGCTCCACTGGGCCCAGCAACGTCCTGAGAGAGAAGAGCAAATGCTGTTATCCATCCAAGGACCTCTATGATTTGGAGTTTTTGGAAGAAAAGTCATAGATTAGAAAAGCAGCTCCAAAGAGGGAGTTTGATTTTTAAAAACACTCTCACTTGCAGGGTGCAGGAATGCTACTGGGTAAGGATGCTTCTGGGGAGATGAGTGGCACTTCACTCTGAATCTGAGCACACCTGCAGCGTATGTCAGCTGCTTTTGCCCCAGCAATTTGTATTAATGAATGAATGGGCGGGCATATATAGCAGGAGAGAGGCCAAGAGATTATACAGCTGTGCCTGGGAGAGCATCCGGGGCAGTTTCTTGTCCCTTGTGTAACTCTTACTCCACGTGGAAGCAGTTGTCCTCAGCTGTGTGTCTTTGTGGGTACCTTGGGGACCTGGGGGCTATATCTCCATCTGGGAGGCTGCATGTCATCTCCTGCTTTATGATACCAGCTCAGTAAATCCCTGTATCCTTTGCCCTTCATCTCTGTTGATTGATGTTTATCCATCAATCACTTTGCTTCCTCTTCCACCCAGTAGAGCATGGAACATGATCTAGGGTCAGGCCATCAGCTCAACCACCATAACTGTATATTTGTATCCTCTATGAATTCTGATAATGAGAATTAATTCTGATAATGAGAATTAATATTCAAAAGGATGTCCTGAGCACTTACCAATGGATTATTGAAAGGCTTCAAATTTTACATGATTTTTGACCTGGCTATTCCCTTTTTCGAAATTTTTTTATTTTCTCAAAACTTATGAAAGTTCACTACAGAGGCAAATAAAGATAGAACTACAAGGATGCTCATTACAATGTTGTTTATAAAGGCAAATAATGCAAAACAACCTAAGTGTCTAAAAATAGGGCACTAGTAAATAAATGATCGGATACCAACTAGTCTATTATGCAGTTATTGTGAAATCAAGATGGAAAGGATGGCATTAAAATATGCAGGATATATTGTTCAAAGAAAGAAAACTAAAATAATATGTACAGTAGGCATGGCATTCATTTCCAAAAGAACTTGTGCCTCGCTAGGATATAACCCTATAGAAAGGAGGACAACCATTTCTACATAATGGGTACTGGTGCTACCCTTTTGGTTTGTCTGAAAATACCTCCTCACTTCTAGACTCTCTTCCCAGTGACATACCAAGGGGAAGGAAATGAAAGGAGGGATCCACCCAGAGAGGAGGAGTTGTTTTTATTTCATCACTGATGTTGTTTGTGGTGAAAATAAAGCAGATTGACTTTTAGGATTAATTACTGTTCTTTGATTCTCTGTAAGTCATGCACTTCCTTGTTGCCTGCCTTCAGGGCTACCTCTGCCTCAGTTTGCCACTGCTTCCCCCCACCTCCCATTTCCATGGAATTCTCAATCTCTGGCACATGCAAGGTACACAAAATGTCAGGCATAAGTAATGCCTGTCTGAAGGTTAAAAAAAAACAGCAAAGCTGACCCTATCCATTACTTTGTGTTGAGTTAGGACAGTTCTAGAGCTCTACAGCCACCTACCACATGACCACTGGAAGCGTAAATCCTTGCCACTGTCTGGCCAGCCCAGAGTCACAGTCGTGAAAGGATCCACATACTGACCAGGTTCCACATACACCTGCACATCCCCTTTCTCTCTCTGCAGAAAAAGCAGCTGGCTGGTGAGACGCCCCTCCACAGTTGGTACCCCGCCTCCCACCCCACAGCAATCTGTGCCAAGGGTAGTCACAGCATAGGGCATGGAATGGGAACAGACCCTGTATGATGCACCTGGCTCACCTCTGGAGATGAATCACAGGGTAACTAACCTTATTATTATTTTTTTTAATAAATTTATTTTTTATTGGTGTTCACTTTGCCAACATATAGAATAACACCCAGTGCTCATCCCGTCAAGTGGCCTCCTCAGTGCCCGTCACCCATTCACCCCCACCCCCCGCCCTCCTCCCCTTCCACCACCCCTAGTTCATTTCCCAGAGTTAGGAGTCTTTATGTTCTGTCCCCCTTTCTGATATTTCCCACACATTTCTTCTCTTCCCTTATATTCCCTTTCACTATTATTCATATTCCCTAAATGAATGAGGACATACACTGTTTGTCTTTCTCCGATTGACTTACTTCACTCAGCATAATACCCTCCAGTTCCATCCACGTTGAAGCAAATGGTGGGTATTTGTCGTTTCTAATGGCTGAGGAATATTCCATTGTATACATAAACCACATCTTCTTTATCCCTTCATCTTTCGATGGACACTGAGGCTCCTTCCACAGTTTGGCTATTGTGGACATGGCTGCTAGAAACATCAGGGTGCAGGTGTCCCGGCGTTTCCTTGCATTTGAATCTTTGGAGTAAATCCCTAACAGTGCAATTGCTGGGTCGTAGGGCAGGTCTATTTTTAACTCTTTGAGGACCCTCCACACAGTCTTCCAGAGTGGCTGCACCAGTTCACATTCCCACCAACAGTGTAAGAGGGTTCCCTTTTCTCCGCATCCTCTCCCACATTTGTTGTTTCCTGCCTTGTTAATTTTCCCCATTCTCACTGGTGTGAGGTGGGATCTCATTGTGGTTTTGATTTGTATTTCCCTGATGGCAAGTGATGCGGAGCATTTTCTCATGTGCATGTTGGCCATGTCTATGTCTTCCTCTGTGAGATTTCTCTTCATGTCCTTTGCCCATTTCATGATTGGATTGTTTGTTTCTTTGCTGTTGAGTTTAATAAGTTCTTTATAGATCTTGGAAACTAGCCCTTTATCTGATACGTCATTTGCAAATATCTTCTCCCATTCTGTAGGTTGTCTTTGAGTTTTGTTGACTGTTTCTTTTGCTGTTCAAAAGCTTCTTATCTTGATGAAGTCCTAATAGTTCATTTTTGCTTTTGTTTCTCTTGCCTTCATGGATGTATCTTGCAAGAAGTTACTGTGGCTGAGTTCAAAAAGGGTGTTGCCTGTGTTCTCCTCTAGGATTTTGATGGACTCTTGTCTCACATTTAGATCTTTCATCCATTTTGAGTTTATCTTTGTGTATGGTGCAAGAGAGTGCTCTAGTTTCATAGGGTAACTAACTTTAATCTGAATTCAGACTCAGTGCTAAGGGTCCGCCATACATCCAACTATTAACAGAGCCTGCTCTGGGCCAAGCTCCATGCTTGATGCCTAGAGATACAGGAATAGAGACCTAGGTCTTGTCCTTAAGTTTGGGAGGGAAGACAGACAAGGCAACAGACCATTAAAACCCAGACTGCTAACTGCTACGGGGGGTGGGGGGGCCAAGGATTATGAGAATGTGTAAGAGGGAGGCAGTAAGCTGAGAACATCTGCTCCTCTGAAGGTTTGATAGCATTCGATTCCTGGGTTGCTGTATAAAGTGTACTCCTGGTAGGACCTATTAAATGGCCAGGCCTAGAGGGCTTAGTTTGGTGTAACAGGAGGCTGCATGGAACAACTCAACCCCTAGTGGTCTCCCATGTCCTGAGAATAAAACCCAAACCCACCTAAGACCTCATGTGATCTGGCCTAGGTCCATCTCACTGTAATCTCCTACATGCTCCCTCTCCCCTATAAATCTCAGGCCAATTTCTAGCCCCAGGGCCTTCATATCTGTGCACCCAGAAAGCTCTTGTTCTGCTTTCTGGCATAACTGACTGTCTTATCTTCAGGTCTACACTGGAACATCACCTTCTGAGAGGCATCATCTGATCACATTTGCTAGGCCACCCTGTATTGGTTGCTGTCACTGTACCCTGTTGCTTCTAGTTAGACACTTATCACAACTCTTAATGAGATGCTAATTTGGTGATTTCACCGACTAGGATCCAAGAAGGCAAGGACATGACTGTTTATGCGCCTTTGTAGCCCTCGTCCCAAACATCAAGCTTGGGACATTGTAGATGCGCAGTCTTCACTATTGAACAAGTGCGTGCACACTCTATGTCAACAGCAGAGTTGAAGACTCAGTCTTATTGTAAAAACTGTGGAACCTGGGCCTGTTTTCTAAGTTAAGCATTAATAGCTATAAATTTCCCTCTGAACATTGCTTTAGTTGCATCCCACAAATTTGGATAGGTTGCACTGTCATCACTCAGAAATATTCTTAAATCTTCCTTGTGAATTTTTTCTTTGATCTGTTAATTTTTTTTCAAGTGTCCTGTTTAATTTCCAAGATGTCTAAAAGGTATGTACATATTCCAGATATCTTATTACTGATTTGTAATATAACACTGTTCTGGTTGGAGAACATGCTGGTTTGATTTCATTCCTTCTGGATCTCCTTTCAAATGGAAGAAACCTCTGTGCTTCCTAGTACTCTGGCTATTAGCACCAGAAAACCCAAACTCAAAACTAAAGCAAAGTATTTAGACATCTTCTTTCTCGTGAGGTTAAGTATTTAAAAAACAAATACTCACATTCTTTTCCTTGGCCTTTGTTCTAAATGATCCTTGGAGACTAGAAGGAGCTGTAAACACAGTGGGAACAGGTATCAGACTTTGGTAGTGTTTATAAGGTTGCTAAAGGGCAGGGTCAAAGGGTATGTGCAAGATGCCCCAGGGGACCCACCAGTCTTGGAAGTGAGATAGGGAAATTTAGCAAACATTCAGTCCATAGAAATGGGTAAAAACCCAAACCATCATGTCCACCACTGGACTAAAGACACCTCTTTGGTTAAGAAAGAGGTAGGCAGTTGCCAATGCAGATAAAATACACATGTAGAGACAGACATGTGACTGTATGCTATTAATGGTTAACTATCAATTGAGGCGGGGAGTGGGGAACTCTAATTTGTTGTGTTTGCTACTTTCTGTGGCATTGGTATTCCTACTAAGGTAAATTTCAAGCTACCAAGCTGACCTCAGTGAACGTAGAGCAAGAGATGGACAGAACCAGCTCTGACAAGTGGCTAGGAGCCAGCCTCAGCACATCATGGTGTATTTCTGAGTCCTTCTACTGGCCTCTTCCTAGCTATGTGAACCCGGGAGGGTTAGTTATTCTTTCTGAGTCTTAGGTTCCTCACCCATTACAGAAAAGCAATCCCTATTTCTCAAGGCTCCAGGAGACCTGAATGTTGTGCTTATATACCATTGCTTTGTAATCTGTACGCATATGTAAAGAGTATTAGTGTATCAAGTTAAAAAATGGAAAATGTGCATGCAATTGATATGCTCTGAAAAATACCATAATGTGAATATCATTAGTGTCTAATTAAAGTGTAGTAATTGAAATAGAAATATGTTTTATCTGCACTGGCAGATCTACATGAGTCTCTAGGCCTCAGTAACCTGGTTATTTTAAGATCTGGGTACCACTGATTTTAAAAAAATTTCTTTCCAATGCATTCTCATTCGGAGAACTCTAACTTCGAAGGTCTGAAAACTATATACAAAGTAAAGCTAAGATGCCAGACACAGAGGCCTTTATTAATCTTAAGAAGGAAGATGGTCCAGTAACCCTGAATGAAGAAATCAAGAGAAATAATTGCTGCCTCTGATCTTGCCATGAATTAGCTGAGTGGCTTTTGGAAAGTCAGTTAACCTCTCTGGTCCTGAAATTCCCTGTGTGGAAAAGGAGCCCTGTGGACAGTAGCAAGGACATTTGATGGTTTTTCCCCCATCCAGGCATCTGTGCCCCCTTCTTTTGGTAACAGCACTTTTGATAACAGGTGACATTTTCACTGGGGAACCATCCCTCCCCCATTCCCAGTCCTTGGTTTGAGTGAAGCCGAGCCTGCATCGTGTTCCAGGTCGGCATGTGATTCTGGTCTGTCCAAACTGAATACCACTTTCCCCTGGCCTCAGCACGTTCCTGGAGGGCACGTCAACTGAGCTTGGACTGGTAAGAGGCAACCTCAGGACTTCTGGAAATATCCACAAAGAGGGATTCCTTATCTGGGGTTAAAGACTGAAGCCTGGGGTCCTCCAGCTGCTTGGGAAGAGGGAATCAGAATGAAGCTAACATAGAACCAAGAGATGGGAAGAGACAGATTTCTGATGACATTGAGTGACTGGATCCGGCTGTGCCTAAAGCCTGAAGTTTTCCTTTTCTGAGTTGAAAAAATTTCTCTTTGACTTGAGCCAGTTTGAACTGCTTTTCTGTCCCATGCTACTCAGAGTCCTAGCAAACAAAACTGCAGTGAACTTTAAACTCTGTGACTGCTACTGTTGGCTGCCTACCCAGCAGCTAATACCCCACCCTTATACTTGTTCCCAGAATCCACCTTGTCCCACAGAGCTGGAGGTGCTGAATACCTGCTTCTCAGCATCCCTTATAGCTGAGGTGCATGACCCCGCTGAGGTATCTGAGGGGAAGGTTGCTGGGGACTAATGGGGAAAACATCCCACCCCACCACCCCATAATAAGAGGTATAGAGAGAGGAATGGGCTTGTGCAGCTGCTAGATAGTGCTGGGCTGACATGTGATGTCTGGAGCTGCAGCAGCCATGTTGATGAGGCACAAGCCTAAGGACAAAACAGCAGCTCTGAGGATGGCAGGACGGACAACAGAGTGAGCCTGGGTCCTTGCTGGTGTCACTGAGCCACTGAACTACCGGAACTACTGGAACTACTTACCCCCTAATTTCGTAGTATGTGGGGTAATGGAGACTTGAACCTAAAGCCATCTTGGTTAGGCTTCCTGTTGCTTGGAGCCTAAAGCAGCATAAATAATGCAGACTTGGATGTTTTAGAATTCTGTAACAATGGTTGAATGTTTTACTGTATGTATCACTTCCCCTTAACATCTATAGAGCAAGGTAAGTGTTCAGAGCTCTGTTCTGAAGAGTCCCTCACTGGATCCCAAGCAAGTGCAGTGCCCAGACTCCTGGTCATGAGTTTTATACTCCCATGCAGAAATTCCTTGCCTGTGACAGTGATGCTTCCGACTTCCAAACTCAAGTTTGAAAAGGCATTCCTCACCATCACAGTGACCAGAAAGGTGCCTGCAATGCAAAGGATGGAAAATTATGGGGATTGCAATAAATTGTGTAACTTCTGCTGAGACAGCTCTCTCAGCATATGCTTCTCAGGCCCACTGATGGCAGAATTTGAATCTTCTATCTTTCAAACATTTGATGAACTCCTGTTGTATACCAGGCATGGTGCAAGGCTTTGGGGACACAGAGATAAATGAAATGTGGTCTTTGTCTTCAGGGTCCTTATAGTCTACTAGACATGCAGGAGACCAAGTGCCAAACCACAGGAGGAATTGCCATAGGGGCATTGTGGACACAGGGCAGGGGTCACTTCATGGATCATGGTTCACAGCAGGGCTAAAGCTAAAGTTCAAAGGACAAGTAGTGCTCATTAGTCAGGTTAGAGAAGAGATTCCAGCAGAAGGAAAGACATGACAGGATTTCTTTAAAGATTGAAGGGTAGGGACGCCGGGGTGGCTCAGCAGTTGAGCATTTGCCTTTGGCTCAGGGCATAATCCCAGAGTCCCAGGATCGAGTCCCATGTCGGGGTCCCTGCATGGAGCCTGCTTCTCCCTCTGCCTGTGTCTCTGCCTCTCTCTCTCTCTCTCTCTCTCTCTCTCTCTCCCTCTCTGTGAGTGTGTGTGTGTCTCTCTCATGAATAAATAAAATCTAATCAATAAATACGATTGAAGGGTAGATAAGGGAGAGAAGTATTTGTAAGATTTATTTGGGGTATGTGTGTATCCCACCTCTTTTCCCTTAGGGTGGAAGGTGATGGATGCTATTTTCTCTTCTCAAATCTAGAGGGAAACATTAGAAGGGACCCTTGGGAAGGTGGATGTGTGTTCTTTGAGGTTGAGGACTCCCATGGAAGGGTTCCTTACTCATGTCCTTTAAGGATGGTTTCTGACAGGGGTAGGTGGAATGAGGAGAGAGGGAGGGAGGAAAGGTCTACATTCCTGCAATTGTTTGGAAATAACTACAGTCGCTGGTAGCAGACCAAAGAAAAGGTAAGAATTTTCTATAAACCAGATGTTTGTCTCAGGGAGAGGGTATGCTGGAAAGGGTAGCGAGAATGAGAACAGAGGGTGACCCTGTTGGTGATCCAAAAGAGGCAGCAGCTGGGCACATGTGGCCAGCTGAGGAAGAGTCATCACCCTTCATCCTGGGAGCTGAGGAACATTGCAGGGACCTCAAAAGCCCATAGAAGCTCTCACAAGAGGCAGCTACAAACATCTGCTGGGCCTTGAGAGCAAGGCCAGCCAGGACTGGGCCAATACCACCAAGTGAGGGCCTTCCTGTCCTACCTGGTTCCCTCTCTTTCCTCCTTACCTCCTTCATCCCTGGAGTCCTCCAAATCTGTATTTCTTGTGGAGAGAAGACTACCTCTCATCTAAGAGTGAGCCAAAAACTCACAGGGCCTGAAGAGATGTTATCTATTATCCCCTGCCAAGCAACTTTTATAGAAGACAAAAAAATAATAATTTGTGTTTGAATTATAGCCTATATATTGTGTGTATTTTCCATTGTCATTTCATTTTATTTCATTCTGGATTCTCCCTGTTTCAACCTGGACCTCTGATACCTGGCGAAGTTCCAATGTTTTTCTTCTCAAGTCTGTCATTTAACCTGCTATTTCTTTTGCCAGATCTGCTCCAGAGGAGGGCTTGGTAGCCCCACACCTGCACAATGTTGCCCCATTTCCTGAATACCTGCGGGGGACCGGGTGCCAGGTGGGCTGGAGACTCTGCGACCCTCATCACATTCCTGCCTCCTGACTTCACCACACTACCCTGAAGGACTCTCTGTTCTCTCCAGATTAAATGCAGATGTCTGCTATGGTCTCCTCCCCTAGTGGTGCCAGCCAGTCTGTCACCCTGTCTCTGTTCCAGCCAGCATCGTGACACTTCCTCTCTTGTCCCTCCCCCTCCTATCCTTGTTTTTACCTCTGTCTCCCCCAAGGGCATGGACTAGTTTCCTGAACCACACTCTCCTCTAAAAATGATGGAATAGTTGGAATACTCCAGCTCCCTTTTAGTGGTTCTCAGGGGGAAGATTTTGCTGTCCAAGGGACAGTTGGCAATGTCTGGAGGTATTTCTGGTTGTCATGACTAAGGGGTCAGGGGCTCCTGGCATCTAGTGGATAGAAGTCAGGGGTGCCACTAAACATCCTACTTTGTGCAGGACAGCCCCCACAACAAAGAACGATCCAGTCCCAAATGTCAGAAGTGCCAGAATTGAGAACCCCTGTGACTCTAAGCTCTATGGGGGCAGATATGTATCTTCCTTATTTTGTAGCCCAGGCTGAATGCTGTGAACCAGGTTTGTGACAAGAACACATCAAAATTGGCTGGCAGGATCAAGGACACCCAAGTCAAGGGAAGAGGAAGGACGTTTAGAAGGGGGCCCACCAACCCCAAGTACCTTCAAAAGGAACTGCTACGTGGTAAATCCCAAGTGGTCCCTCGAGGCTTGCTTCTTCATGGGAGAAGGTTGCATTGAGTCCTGCCACTTCAAAGGTCAGCCCCTCCGGGATGCCATGAGCCACTGAGACGTTGACCAGTAGGTCTTGTCCAAGCTCCAAGTGGTCAGAACCCAAGGAGGCCTGTAGCCCTGACAGAGGCTCCACGAAGTAGACTGTGATGTTTCTGGAAGGTGCAGCGGTGGTGGTGTTGCTGGTGGCTCGGATCTCCAGGTGGTGTATCCCTGGGCCCATCCGTTGTTGGGCTGCTCTGTCCAGGGTCAGATTGTAGGGTAGCAAGCCCCTTGGCGTGGTGAACTCAGCCAGGGTTGTGTTACCCAACAGCGCAGTGTAAGTTACCCCTGTTCCTATGTGTGGCAAGAAATATTTGAGAATGTTGGCAACAACCATGCCATAGATTGTACCGAGATAGTCAAGACTCAAGCTCTGAGGTCAGATTTTTGGATGTAGATAGGGACATGGTATTGCCATAAAGACATATGTAAGGATAAGATCCAACCCCAAGTATTAACAGTGATTATCTCTGAGTATTGTGTATGTGAATGATTTTTCTTTTTGGCTCCTCTCTGCTCATCTGCACATTCTAATTTATACTATGCATGTGTTAACCATAAACTTAAAGGTTTGTAATAGAGATATGAGAACATTTTGTTGACAGGTTTGTCCTTGGAGAGAGGAAGGCTAAAAAGGGAGCATCTCCTGAGGCATGGCTGATTTTTATGCATAAGAATTAGCCTCCAGTCTTGTTCGAAGTAGGAGGAATAGGTGAAGTTTCCTTCCACCTCCATGGCAGACTGCCTGCAACCCTGCTCAACAGGAGCACTCAGCCTGTCCACAGTAAGATGGGGCTCCCTTATAGGTCGGGACTGACTGTCCTAACTGGATGCTAAATATTGTGGTTGACTCCTAAATCTGATTTAAACTACCAAATTAGGATTCTTTCCAATAGAAACCAAGCAATGTATTTCTTGTTTGAGTGATGATGATGATGATGTAGCTGATGCTGCCAAGAGTGATGTTAGCCCTCTGACTCTCATGTTTACTGCTCCCTCTCCCCACACTTGGTGAAGAGCAGGCACTCAATTATATTTGTGGAATGAAAAAATAAATGAAGGATTATCTTAGGCTTCCCAGGGGTACATAGCAGCCATCTTCAGTCAACAAGCACACCAGAACAGAGAGGAGCCCATGTTTAAGGAGTGCCATGTTTAAGGACCCGCGATGGCTCTATCAAGTCACTGCTGACTGCGGCTCCAGGAGCTGTGAGGTCAGACTGAGTCATGTCCTCACCTCTGCAGCTCTCTGCCACGTGGTTTACCTCGACAGGCTTCTGTCCAGATCTCAAATTAGACCTTTGCCTGCAGGAAAGATGCTGCATTGGTGAGGATAGGGTTGGTAGGGTCTCCATTGAGAAAAGGGGTGATATTCAGAATATTCAACAACTGAAACTGCATGGGTCCCAACCAAATAGGATGGATGTTCTGATAAATCAGAATGGACACTGTGACCAATCAGAATAGATGCTCTGACTGATCGGAAGGGACACCTTGCCTAATCAAAATGGATGCGATGACCAATCAGAATGGCCTCTGTGACCAATCAGAAAAGAAACTGACCAATCAGAGCAGACACCAGCCATAACAGCAGCAGTGGCTATAGCAGAATGTGTCACCAAATAGCAGTCCTGATCAGGGGAGCATCATTGTGCCAAGCTGGTCAATGCTGGCCTCACTGAGATGGGCTCAGGCCCAGCTGGTAGCTCTCCCGGTCTTCTCCAAGTTCCCCCAACAAGGAGTGACTTGAAAATTCAGTTCTTCCAATGGGACTGTGGGCATGCAAAGAAGGACATTTGGAAGAATGAGAGCTTCACTAGCTTACTAGTCTTATGACTTTGAACAAATTTCTGAACCTTTCCTCCATTTCTTCATCTGTAAACTGGAGATAACAGTAGTACATACTGGGTGGGCTAGTAATAAAGCATTTAGACCAGTTCTGGGCACACACTAGGTGCTAATAAATGGATAGCTAAAAAACCGACTCAATACATGAAGGCTGTTAGTATTTACTAAAGTCTGGGAATTGGATGGATAGATTTGGAGAAAATCAAGGTGGCCCTGACCTTGACCATTTCTGTAGACTCACCTCCATCAAGTACCACTTGAACCCACAATGGGTCCCCAAAGACAGTGCGGCAGAGAGGGCTGGCTCCTGACATGGACAGGCTGGAGCACCCTGTCACAGTGAGCCTCTCCATCTTGTCTCGGATTGTCACATGCTTCTGGGCCATCACATGCCACTCAGTGGTTGTGCACTCAGCAAACACAGTGAATTCCCCAGGGGCTGTGAACTGGTGGATCACACTGCTGGATGAACTGCCGGCAAAACTCAGTGTTACAAGTGTTGAGGACACAAACACATGCATTCACATATGTGTGCACACATGCACTCACCCATCTCACATTCTCCTGCTCTGCAAAGACAAATAGACAATAGATGAAGAAAGAGATACTACACAACCAAGCTCTTGGTTTTCATGAAGGTCTTGGTGTTCATGAATGTCTGGAACAGGTGGGAGTGAAAGAAATAGCACTGCCCACCAGGAAGTTGAATATTTGGTTACAAGTCCCTTTTCTGCTATTTATTCCTTCTGTAGCTCACCTAAATCCCCTCTCTGGGTCTTCTTGCACACTATGCCTCAGCCTATCACATTTTCCCCATGTGTAAAGTGGGATCCTATTCCAAATGTATCAGAATTATGGGTATGTTTTGCTTCTCACTTTCCCAAGGGGACTAATTAAAAATCTCTAACATGGCCTATAAAGACCCACATGATCTGCCTTCCTGACTTCACCCCTATCTCCTGCCATGCCCCTCTAATTGTATGTCAACTATAACCTTTTCAGTTCCTGGGATGTGCCACTTCCTGTCTGCTGTTCTTTGCTGGGAAAGCTCTTACCCATCTCTGCTCATACTCAAGCTGCCCTTTCTGTTCTCAGCTTAAACATCACTTCCTCAGGGAAACCTTCCTTAGGTTCCCTAAAAAAGGAAATGCCATAGCTTCACTGCTTCTCCTGGGGGACACTCATCCCTTGTGTGGTTGCTCAGTCATTCTCATTCTTCCCCCACTAGGTTGTCAGCGCAGACAGTATCTGTCTAATTTTTTATTATAAACCTGACATCTAGCTCAGCACCTGGCACATAGTAGATGCTGAGAAAAATTTGACAAATGAATGCATTTTTGAAAAAGCTTAGAAAACAGTAACCTGACTTTTGGTGCTGACCATGGAGTAAGCCCACCATAGTCTATTGCTTCCATTGATTACAACTAAAAACCTGGGTAGAATTAAAAAAGAAACTTTCTGAGGATTCTGAAAAGTAAACAATAGCATACAGGTGGGGGAGAAAAATCAAAACTTTAAGAATTACCCATAAAGATGAGATCTTCTTGTTTCATGTATTTTCTTTCTTTCTTTTTTTTTAACCTCCTTTATCTCTTGGCTTTGTCCCTAGGGTAGCCTGAGTCATGAAACTGCACAATGAATGAGGTAAACAAAAACCTCAAGAGAAATCCCCTCTGGTTAGCCAGAGAACCAAGAAAAAGAGACCTAGTGAGCCCAAGAGCACAGGGGAAAATACTTGTTTTTGTTTTGGGTTGTTTCTCTTTTTTCTCTCGTGGCCCTAACCCAGGCTGTCCTCTCTCTTGGAGCTGCACTGACTGCATAAGGTGATGCAGACACCACATCCCCAAGAGAAAACCCATATTCCTATCCAGAGGAGCAATGAAAAGAGACCTGTGGGAGCTGGAGATTGTGGGGGAAACTCTAAAAAGGAGAATTTTGGAGATGAGGATCCCCAACTTCTATGAACAACCCAGCACAAACTATGAGCTCACCCATAAATTATGCACGTGCGAAACAGACTCAAAGACACACAGCCAAGGCTTTGTTTGAATCAAACTACAATATAAATACCACTCTGAGTGGCACATGAGTGGAGCAGACCCAAACGGCTTTGGAAACTGAATCGACATGAGAACCACTGCTCACAGAAGGCAAGTCATAAAGATGGTCTGAATTTAACTGGGTAGTTTGCCTGCTAAAACAAAATAAAAATCCATTTTACAGAGGATTTTAACAAGATCCAGAGTCTCAGAACCTAATATCAAAATGTCCAGAATACAATCCAAAAATTGCTTGATATACAAAGAATGAGGTAAATGTGATCCAATCTCAAGGGAAAACATAATAAATGTCAGCCTTTAGACTACTCAGAGGTTGGAATTATCAGATAAACTTGAAATCCTCCATTATAGCCATGCTCCGTGACAAAAAAGTAGACCCTATTTAAATGAATCAAAAGCTAGACATCCTGAGCAGAGAAACAAACTATTTTTTTTTAAATGGAAGTTTTAGAAGTAAAAAACAATATCTGAGATGAATTCATTGGATGCCTGCAACAGCAGAAGAGTCACAACAGAGGGAAGTCAGTGAACTTGAACATAGAGCAAGAGAAAACCTCCAAGTTGAAAAACAGATATTAAATAACTGGAAACATTAACAAAATATTAAATTTTTAAAAATGAGCAGAGCATCAGCAATCTGTGTGACAATATCAAAAGATAAAATATTTGTATCATTGGAGTACCAGTGAGAAGAGAGATTGGTGTAGAAAAATATACTGAAGAAATAATGGGTGAAAACTTCTCTAGTTTGGCAAAACATATATTTAAAGATTCTTGAAGCTCCATGGACCCCCCCCCCCCAAAAAAAAGGAAAAAAGTTAAAACCATGCCTACACATATAGTAATCAAACTCCTGAAAATCAAAGATTAATGAGCCTGGAAAAAATGGCACATTACACGTAGAGATGTGAGTGACTGTTGTCCCTCAGAAACCATGGCAGTCAGAAACTAGTGGCAACATCTTTAAGAAAAGACCTGTCGACACCTAATCCTATATCTAGCAGAAATGACCTCCAGGAAGTGAAGCAAAATAAAGACGTCAAGACATTCTCAGGAATAAAGAAATCCTCTAAGAGAATTTGTTGCTAGAAAATCTGCCATAAAAGAAATGGTTAAGGCAGTTTTTCCAGCTGAAGGGAAATGATACCAGAGGTGAACTTGGAATTTCAGGGATAAAGGGAGAGCCCAAGTAATGGTTAAATATTTTGGTAAATACGTAGCTTTCTTTTCTCCTCTGAAGTTCTTTAAATGTGTATGGCTTTTGGAAGGGGTTATCAATGTATGTTAATGTCCTACCTAGGAAAATTATTATATAAAAGAGGATGGGCAAAGGGACCTATATGTCAGCAAGACTTCAACATTTTACTGAAGTCAAATATTAACTCCATGTAGATACTGAGAGGTTGGATATGTGTATTGTAATCCCTGAAGCAACTACTAAAAAAGTGGTAAAGAGAGGTATAACCCAAAAAGTTAATAGATATGTTGAAATAGAATACTAAAAATATTCAAATACTCCAATAAGACAAGAAAGGAGAGGAACAGAAGGGCAAAGAGAAAACAAATACAAAATAGTAGACCTAAATCTAACTATATCAGTAATTACATTACTTGTAAATGGTTGAAACACTCTAATTATTATGCCAGATGGGATTTAGAAAAAAAAAGTCTCAACCAAAGACTTTCTACAAGAAGTCCACTTTAAATATGATATAGATATGTTAAAAGTACAAGTATAGAAGCCACGTCAGCAGACACTAATCAAAAGGATGCTGGATTAGGCTTTATTAATATCAGATTATATAGTTTTCAGAAGAAAACACTAACTCTTTAGAGAAAGTGAAGGATGGTTTTGAATAGCAAAATCTGGGCTGTTTTTCAGGGATCTGTCTGGAAGAAGCAACTCATTCCATTCCCTGAACTCTGCTGCCAACTGAAATTGCCCAGAACTAAAAGGCAGAGAAGCAGATTTTTCCTGATTTGTCTCCCAATGAGCTCACCCAAGGGAGGAGACAACAAAGTGGCTTTTAGAAATTGCTGCCAACAAAGGGAAGATATTCTCAGAGTACAAAGCAACGGAGGCAAACATTTTGTTATGATGCCGTGAGCCAGCAATTCCACTCCTGGGTGCAAACCCAACAGAAATATGTACATATGCACACCAAAAGACATGCATTCATATGTTCACAGCTGCACGATTTGTAATTACCCAAATGGAAAAGCATTCGAAAGGACTACCAACACTAGAATAGATAAGTAAACTGAGGAATGTCCATACAATGGAATCATACACAGGAACGAGAAAAAGAAATCACAGTTATACACAACAATATGAATAAATCTGAAAAAAGTACTATTGAGAGGATGTCAGATACAAAAGAGAGTACACTTTATGATTCCATTTCTAGAAGTTTCTAACAGGTCACACTGATCAATAGTGGTAGGAATCAGTACCTTTGGGAGCCTGTGGGAGATTCCTGGGAGACTGGTCATGTTTTGTTTCTTGGTCTGAGTGCTGGTTACATAGGTGTGTTCACCATATAGAAGTTAACTGAGCTCTGGTTTGTGTGTGTGTGTGTGTGTGTGTGTGTGTGTGTAGTTTTTTGCATGTATCTTATGCTTCAATAGAAAGTGTAAAAATTAGTTTAAGACACTGTGACTCACTGATCTGTACATGCTGCTCTGTAGTTGATATTAATGGGATGCAGCTGTTCTTTAAAAACAAATAAAATGGAGAAGAAGCTCCCCTCCCCCCCCCTTTTTAATCTTTGCTCATAATGTCCAATTGTTAGGAATACCAAGGTCTGGGTCATTTTGTTAATGTCACTCACAAGTTGCTAGCCATCTTGGTAGATGAAGCCCCCGACCAGATCAGGCAGTGTGGTGGAATGGAAAGACTAAGGAAGCTTCCTCCATCACCTGCATGACCTAATGTCTCAGCGCCCTTGTCCATGCAGTGAGGCGACAGCCATTCCTGGCTGGGTCATCGTAGGGTTTACATGAGACTATGGCTGAGTAAGTACCTGGCATGTAATAGATTCAAATATTTAGGTGGTTTTTTTTTTTTTTTGTATAATAGGATAACATTTATCCTACTTAGCCTCTTAAAAATACTATTTACTTCTATGTAATATGAAAATAATGGCAACAGTTACCCATTTTTAAGAATCAACTCTGTGCCAATTCTTTTCTTCTTTGTAGTCCCATTTAGCCCTTAAAATTACCCAGTGACTATTAGCCACACTTGGAATAATATTAACAATCACATATCATGTGCTGGAATGGCCTGAAGATTCTTATATATCCCCTGTCATGGATGCATGTCACCCAGAGTCTGCCCTTCAAGACTGAGGGCTGCATCCCCCAGCACTCTGGCATGTTAGTGGCGGAGGGCTCACAGCTGAATCTATCTCCCCCTTAGCTAAAGGGAGCTGCCTCCCCTAAAATGTCATCCTGCATCCAATGGCAGCCCAATGCCAGAGTACAAAGGTTCTGCTCTCCTTTCTCAATAGAGACAGGTCCCCCAGCTCTAGAGTTCTCTGTAGGGATTGGAGGGGCCTGGATTGCTAGTGCATCCCAGTCTACCTTCTGCCCCTGCTCCCTCCTGGTATCCCGCAGGAAACCTGCTGCACCCCAAAACAATTTTCTGGTACCCAAACTCTATATTCTCTTAAAAACAATTTCTCTACACTGGCTGGCATCAAGGCTCGTCATCAGTAGACCCCTTCTGAGTTTTCTAGCATCATTTTTCATACTCTCCACACACCCCTGAACTCCCGTTGTAGTAAGCTGCTCTGTGTTATGGGAGGAAGTTACACCCTTTCACATCCTTGACTTCATTTTCTCTACTTCCACTGCTCCTGCCTGATTCCCCTGAAAGACTTCAGTCTTTTGTGACTATCACCTTCCACATAATTCCTTTGATCCTCCCAACATCCTATGTATATTCTAGGCCACTCTAATTTTTGTGTTGTCTTGAGAATTATCAATTTCCAGTGAAGTCCCCTCCTGCAGACTCAGCTATGTGCAGAGGCAGCTCTGAACAGACCCAAGAACGACGACAATTCCCAGATCTGTCGGTAGGTGGTGCTGCGTTACCCAACGCTGGACAAGGACGAAGTTCACCTTAGCAAATCGTCCCGTAAGGCACATGATTAATTTCAGAAACCTAGAAAGTTTTTCCCATAACAAACAGTAAAGCAGAACAGCCTGACGTTCAAATGAACACAAGACATGGGGAGGGCAAGGCAAGAAGGAGCTTCTAAAGGAGAAATCCTTTGACTTTTATTATACTGTTTCTATTTGAGATTGGATTCCCCCCATCAGCTCGTGTGATTTGTCTACAACAGAGCAGAAGTGTCTGATTTAGGTCTTAGCTTAACAAGGAGTTAAGCAAAAAGGGGTTCTGTACAAACACATAAAAGCACGGGGACGTTCACACAAGGTATGTTACTTCTCTGTACTTAAAATTCATGCCATTTTTAATATTCTCATATTCTACCTGAGGTTGCTAGTGCTGATAAGTATCAGAAATTTCTCTCCCAAAGCTAACAAAAATGATAGAAGAAGGTGGGCAGGTAGTTTTAAGGTCCAACAAGTTTTTAAAAAAATAGATGAAATCGGATGATTTGAGAGGAGTGATGGCAGAGGGTATCACCATCTATTTCTTTTGGAAAGAAAAAAAAAAAAAAACATATCCCAGCAGCTTTGGCTTCAAGTTAATGCCCAGAGGGATTGCAAGTGTAAAACACTGATTATTGTTTCTCTTTGATTATCAAAAAAAAATTAATCACAAAGAATCCAGAGAGCAAGATGACAAACACCCTTCACCTCACCATCCAGAGTTGACAAATACTGACATTTTGTCCCACATGCTCCCATTTTTAGCTACTGTTTGTTTATTACTGGAATGTCCTTGTGTAGCTAAAGGTCTTAGCAGGGTTACTGACAGTCAATTTTGATTAAGGCCAAATGCAAGCTGTCTATAATTTGGGGGCTGGAAGATTGTGTAGCTGAGCATTTATTGTTTATTCAATGAAATGAGAGCAAGCAAGAAGAAACCTGCAGAGCAAGGCCGTGGCTATTTGTGTCAAACATTTTCTCCCCCAAATCATCTTCACATGTAATTTCTCATTTTACTCCATGAAACAATCAAGGCCATCCATATAAATGTGACAGGGAAGGAAATGGAAACCCAAGACCAGGGATTGTCTTGCACATGTTAGCAGCAGCTAAGACTAGAAGAACCTCAGCTTCTGGACATGCCGTTTTATTTGGCAGCATGGCAGGATGCGTGAGACTTCAGAGTACCATTGGGTTTGAAACTAGCATACACTGGGGCAGATTTGGGCCATACACAAGGCTGGCCCTCTCTTGGCCTCTCCCCACTCAGGGCTTCTAGCAATGCCGAGACTGCACAGGGCTAGATTTGGACCCCCTGGCTCCCACAAGGTAGAGCTACACATATTTTGGAGTTAGGAGAGGGGCTTATGGGCCTCTATGATTTCCCTGGGAATTCATGTTGAACTGAGGACCCATGTAAGAAGCCCCCAAACCCAATGAGGATCTGGAAATTCTGAAACATTTGGGGGCACCCTGCAGAGCAGAATGGAGCTTACCCCAGACCCAGGTAGGACTTTGAAATGTTATGAATTGGGTTCGGCTACTATCAGGTTGGGGAAGCTCTGGTCCCCTAGAGGATGCTCAGGCCCTGAGGCTGCATGCTGTGTAATCCACCAGGGGCTTCAGAGCCTCAGCTTTGATGCCAGACAATCCTGGCTTGCATCACCATGCTGCCACTCAGGACCTGCATAGCTTGGGCAATGCTGCTATATCCCTCTGAGCCTCATTTGTTTTGTCTGTAAAAACAAGATGATAATTACCTAGCTCAACACCATCTAATAGAATTACAATGTGAGACATACAGAAATACAGTGTATGTTCTGATAGCCATATTGAAAAAGTAAGAATAAGTCAAATTAACTTTAATACTTTATTTTCTTTAACCCAATATATCCAAAATACTTTTATTTCAACATATAATCAATATAAAAACGTTAGTGATATACTTTACATTTTTTATGGGAAGTTGGAGGGGAAAACTAAATCTTCAAAATCCTGTGTGTATTTTATATTTACATCATATCTTAAGACCTGCCACACTCACTTCAAGTGTTCAGTAGCTCATGTGGTGGGTGGCTGTTCTATTGGAAAGCATAGCTCCAGCTGATAGGGTTGTAGTGAGGGTTGAATGAGATTTTATGTGAAAGCTCCTTGGCTGGACTGTTTTTAATATCGCTACTATTATTTTTTATTATTCTTGCCAACAGAAAACATTCCCACACTCAGGTGAGCATCTTCTTCACCTCATCTGCTAAATCTGCTAAAACTGACTCCTTGGACAGTGGCCCAGGAGAGATTCTACACAGAGCCAAGACGTATGGACCCAGCTCTTCATGACTGTTCATGTAGCCTCTATAATAAGAAAACCTGTGAGTGCCACTTACTCCCATTCCTATACATTTGCCTCTTTGTACAGTGGCTCTGCCATTCCTTTCATCAACAGGTGGAGTCCATTCTTCACCTGTTGAACCTGGTCTTGGCCATGGAACCTGTTTTGGCCAATGAGACATTAGAAAATGTGACACAAATAGAGATTTGAAAAATGCTTGCACATTAGGCCTTGTTCTCGCTTGCTGCTAGAAACCCTCAGACACCATGCCAGTGAGGCTAGGCCAGCCTGTTGGGTGATAAGCATCACATGTCCCTGGCCAATATTCAGCTAACCACCAGACATGCAGGTGAGGACTTCTGAGGACATCCAGCCCCAGTTGAGCTGGATGTCCCCACATAAGCAAAGCCACCTAGCTTATCAAAAGAAGCATGAGAAATAATATTATTGTAAGCTACTAAGTTTTGGGATGTTTTGTTATGCAGTAGAAACTGACTGATATATCCTGAAACAAGACTCAGAGATTCCTCTTACCTGGGGGGGTAGTAGGGATCGAAAGTGTGGCCATCTCCTGTACTAATTATACATGACAGATTTCCAATGTAGGGAGAAAGGAGCCATGTCAGGGAGATGGTGACATTGTCAAAGATGAAACTCTCATTGGACACCATCAGCTGCAGGCCTGCAGACCAAAAAAGGGAAATACTGTGTGCTATCAGAAAGCAAAATTACATGTTTTTGTTTAAAACTTAGTCTCCTCTATCCACCTGTCCATCCTTAGGTGGGGCTTTTAAAGATTTTTTTTAAGTTCTTTTGAATTTTATTTTTCATTCATAGGTAATAGGTGACCAAGGTACAGAATTTGAAATTTTTATAAAGGATGTAGAGTGAAAAGAAATCTTCCCTCCCTTCCTTCCTTCAGCTCCCTCCCCCGGCCAGAGGCAATCATTGTTACCAGTATCCAGAGTCACCTTCTAGGGATATCTTCACATTCACAAGCACATACATAATTTCCTATTTATACAAGTGGTACATGATATATACAGTTACTTTGACACTTTCCTTTTTTTTTATGTTGTTCTATATGAATTTAGTTAGAGCTGCCTTGTTCTTTGTAATAGCTGTACAACGTACCCTATTTAACCAGGATTCTATTGATTATCTAAATATATTTTTATTGTGTTTAAAAATACAAAATGCAAAGCTCCTTTAGGAAAATCTGCTTGGCTAAGGTGGCTAATGATTCATTGTAAGCCATTTAGCAGACATTAAATTTTACAAAACCTGACCTTTCAAAGTTGGCATGGAGGATGAGGAGGGGAATAGAATTTGTTGGGGCTTCACACAGCCCTGGGCTAATTTGTGCGGCATGATCTTTCTGTTTCCAAGCACAGACAAGGAAGGCAATTAAAAGGACTTTCCTGAGTTGTTGCCATCCTGATTCACAGCTACCTGAGGAAACCTGGACCATGGCTAGTGCCCTTTTGGGCACTGTGGCGGCGGGCACGGGGTGGGGGGATGCTGGATAAGTCTCTCCATTTACAAATCAGAAACATTGCGTCCAGAACACACCAATTCACAAGGGAGCAGGATTTTTGAAATCAAAGTTGGGGCAAAAATTTAGTTCAGGGTCTCCAGACCCAATATACCCCCTGACCTAAGCAATGCGTCTGTCCAGTGACAGCCACACTGTGACTGGCAGATCTCCAGAGGGCACCCTTTGTTCATTAGCAAAACCACCAGATGGAAAGTGCTGCCAAATCACATGGTCTCTTCTTCCCAGAAAACAAATGAAGACATCCCAGTCACTCTCATTTCACCCAAGCGTGTCTAGTAAACTAATGCTGCTGGTGAAAGCTGTCCTCTCCTCTTCTCTGTGTGGTCCTCCCTTCTCCATCCATAGACCCTGCTCTCCCAGATGGCCCCTGGAGGCCCCAACACTCCCTGACTCACTCTTTCCCTTCAGAGCTCCCTGCCCATCACTCATGCTCTCAATAGAAGGTGCTGTTGTGACTAATTGTCTGGACGATGACATAGGGGAAGTGGCACTCACAGATACTCTTAGTGGGAATATAAATCAATGCAGCTGTTTTTTGGAGTGTAGTATCTATTAACATATAAAAAGCGTACACCCTGTGACCCAGCATTCCTTCTACTAGGGATCAGTCCTCTAAAAATAATCAGGCACATGTCAAGATATATGCACAAGAATGAGTGCTGCAGAGTGGTATTTAACAACAAAAAATCAGAAGCAACCAGAGGACTGGTCCAATACATTTGACATAATCTTATGATGGGATCCTATTCAGCCATTAAAAGAATAAGGTAGTGACTTGGATAGATGTCCAGGATATGTTATTAAGTTAAAGAAATTGAGCTATAAACTAATGCATTTAACATTATATTTTACGCATATACATTCGTACACAGTCATGTGTAAAAACAGTTTAAAAAGCAGAGAAGAACTTATTCTGAACATTGAACAGTGGTTTCCTTAAGGAGAGTAGGACTGTAGAACTGAAGGGAGGGGCTCTGTCTTCTTGATTTGGACAAACTTTTATAAAGTGTAGTAATACGGGTTATGTTTATAGCTTTCAAAATTTGTCATTTTAAGAAGTCCCCGTGTGTTCTAAAATGTAACTTCTTGGCAGGGTGATGTTTAGTGGGTGTAGGGTATGTAAGTGCGACATCTTTTGATTTTTTTGAGTCAAGCAATGTTGGTCTTGTCTGGATATTTATTGGGTCACTCCATGAAATTTAATCTGAAGCTGGGAGTTAAAAAAATATATATTTCTTAATATATATTAATACATTTAATATTTATGTTAAATCATATATTTAATATTATATAATATTTTATATTTACAATATTAAATATATTAATATATTATAGTATTAATTAATTTTAATATCTATATTAATATATTAAATATATATTTTTTTAAAATATATTTTTAATATATATTTTTAGCCAGGTGGGGAGGTCAGGCTGCAGGGAATCAATAGTGAGGAAGTCTCTTAGTTTACAGATCGGCCCCCGAGGGTAGTTGCTCCCTCTGTTCCAAGTGGGGCTGGACTTGGTGTGGAAATAAGGGAACTTGCACGTACTGGCAAGATGGGGACTCACCTTCCTGGCACTGGTACTGCACCCATAGGTAGCTGCCCTGGGTAGGGCACAGGTCTCCAAAGTAGGTCCCATCTGCTGCCACCTGGCATACCTGCAGCCCCTGGCACTGGCCTGGGAAATGCCCAAATCCCAGCAGGAGCAGGAACAGTGTGAAGGACAAAAAAGGGACAGGTTCAGACAGAGATGAATGACCTCTCATTCATTTATTCACCCACCATCCCCCCACCACCAGTGGATATCTGCTGGTATCTACTGAAGACCAGACACTGTGCTAGGTACTGGGGGGAAGAAAAGTAGGGTTTTTGCCCTCAAGCAGCTCAGGGTCCAGCACAGGGGTTCTCAAGTCTTAGAATATACCAGAATCTCCTGGAGGGCTCTGGAAGACACAGATTTCTAGACCCCACCCCCAGTGCTTCTGATTCAGTTGATATGGGGGACAGTGTAAAAATTTACTTTACTTTTCTTTTTTTTTTAATTTTTTTATTTTTTTTAAGTTGTATTTTTTTTTTAAGAATTTACTTTTCTAACAAGCTCCCAGGTGATGCTGATACTGCTGGCCTAGGCACCCCACTTTGGGAACCACTGGTCCAGTAGCATCCAGTCAGATGGCCTAAGTGGGAACCTAGATTTTGAGAACTGGCAAAGAGGGAAAAAAAAAATCAGGAATCTTATCTAGGTGCCCACAGGAGAGAGACATGTGGAGAGCCCAGGGCAGAAACTTCAGGTCATCCCAACACCTCTCCCTCGTACCCATGCAGATGAGTGGCATGCCTACAAAGAAGCCTAGGTGGAGGACAGGCAGGTGCTGCACACCTGGTTATAGGCCTGAGCTCCCATTTCCTTGCTGGATGTCATCTGGAACCCACCCTTAGCTCCTACAGCCATTCTCTGGTCCTTGTGCATGGCTCAAAGCCAGCAATGGGGTGTCGGATCTGTCTCACACTTGAACTCTGATCTCTCCATCAGCCTCATCTCTGGCTTCTAGCCAGAGAAATTTCTTTGCTTTTAAGGGGTCATGTGGTTAAATTGTGCCCATTTGGATAATCCAGACTAGGAACCCATAATTAGGTCTGCAAAGTCCCTTTGCTGTGTCAAGTAACAAATTCACAGGTATGGTATCTCATCATACTAAGTTCCAGGGATTAGGGTGGCAAATCTTGGGGGCCATACTTCTGCCCATCCCTAACAGGAAGCCATAAGAGGGCAGAGTGCTTTTCATCCTCTCTCTGACTGCAGCTCCCTCTGGATAAGCGCTCTCTCATGGTCCTCACTTACACAGGGCAGCCTCGACCATGATCCTAGCACCTCCTGGATGGTCCTGACTTCTGATTTTGATAAGATCATCCCCTCTAAGTCATCCCTCCAGCCCTTAGGAGTGGTAGTGGCTTTCCATTGCTGCTAATCTCAGAGTTATATCTTTATCCCCTTCTTTGACTTCTCAGCACTTCTCAGCACTTGATTGATAATCAATTCCCTGCATTAAATTTCCTCTGCTGAAAGACCTAGCATGATTTCTGTTTTCCTAAAGGGACCTAGCCTGATACACTCCTCAATCAGAGTTCTGTACCCCTAAAATCTGCATTCACAGCCCTAGACTACACTTTCCAAGAGAGAGGAAGTATTTTGTTTTGTTTTTGTTCACTGCTCTATTTCCACTCCAGTTCACAGAACAGTACCCAGCACATGGCAGGTACAAAGTAAGTCTTGCATAAGTAAACACATAACACCTCCGGAGGCTCCTTTCTGTTGTGGCATTGAGCATAGTGCTAGGTGATTGCTTGTGTTCATATCTCTCTCCCCATTAGACTGCGAGCTCTTTGAAAAACAGACTATTTGATTGATTCCTTTATCCACAAAGCCCAGGATAGAGCCTGGCACGATGTTGGGCTCAAAGAATGTGTACTGGCCAACTGACAGTGAATGAGTGAGTGTGGCACTTAGATACAAACAGATTTCCCTGGGATCCTGCCCAGCTCTTTTCCTCTGACTCCTCCCAGAAGGATGCAGGGTTCCTCTCCAATGTGCTTTCTGGGGGGAGGGGGGGGTGGCTGCAAGGTTTGGAAACTTGCATCTGGGCCTTTGCAGAAATAGCCCACTAGGTCCCCTCAATGCCTCCATGAGGGAGGCACATCCATCAGCCCACCTAACCCAGACCTTCCCCCCTCAGAGGGGCCACAGCCTCAGGAATGCCAGTGCAACAAGAAGAGTACATGGGAACCAAGGAGCTGATTGCAGCATTTCCTTCCTTCACACCTGCTCTAAGGAGACCAGGGACAATGTGGGCCAGACGTGGAATGGAGAAGAACAAATCACTGTCCCAGGGAGACGTGGTACACTTTCCCAAACTGGGGTCGAGGCTGCTTGGCAGGTCCTGGGAGTACAGGGCACTCCTCCCTGAATCTCCATGGGCCCTTTGGGCAGAGGCAGAGCCATTCAGTGAATTGCCGAGAGGCTCTACATGGTGTGGTACTGACACTCCCTTGTCCAAGGGGGGCACAGAGAAGCTAAGTCATTAGCAGAGGGTCACAGAGGAGATTCAACCTGAGGCCCCAGAGCTTCTAGCTTGGGCACAGACTGCTGTGTCCTCACTTGGCCAAGAAGCAACAAACCACCTGCCTTCCTGGGACCTTATGGGCCTGATTCTACTAACCACAGCAAAGAGGAAGGAGGCCCCCTGTGTCCTGGACAATAGAAGTTTCTGAGAACTTTGCACCCCCCAGGAGGGTGCCAGGAGTCCCCATAACCCCTGAAACTGAACCCTTGTCATGAGGCAAATGCAGCTCAGAGGCAAATTTAACTGATTTAGAAAAGCAAGGCCATGGAGAAGCTCTCCCACATGAACAACAGATGCTACTAGGAATGTGTATTTCAGCATTATTCATAATAGCAAGGATTGGGACATGACCCATTCCACTCTCAACAGAGAAGGAGACACATTATGGTATAGTTATAAACTGGACTAAGCGAATAAACTAATACATGTATCAAAATGGATAATAGGAGATTTAAAGCTATACTCACTGCTATAATGAGGGGATGTTAAGCAAACATGACATAATGTTAGGACTTAAGAACAATGGGCAGTGAGTCTATGGGAGGTCAATAAAATATTTTTATTGTCTACATGCTTGGAGTATTTAGAAATTTTTAAAAATTTAAAAAAGAAAATGTTTCTTGCACCCAAGTGGAGTGGGGAGCAGAATGCCTCCCTGGCCCACTGAGGTGGGTTTGCTAGCAGGTAAGGAGGCGAGCCATGGCCTCCTTGCTTCCCTACATGGTTCTGTGGGCAGAGACTGGCCTGTTTTCCTAATGTGGGAGGCCCAGATATGAAGATTGTTCAAGTCTTCCAGACCCCTTTGCTGGGTACGGGACACCAGGAACTGCCCTGCCCCCACAGCCAGAGCAGTCCTTGGGTTCCTACCTGCCACTTCGTCCTTGACGCTGGTCCAGCTGCATTCCTCCTCCAAGGGGTGTGCAGCACCCTGGGTGCAATAATGAGGGGTCTGGCGTCCGTAGATGGCGTCCTGGATCTGGATGACTTCCCCTGAGCCACAGTGCATGGTGGCATTGAGGCCGTCACAGGCCAGACTCTGGCCAAGCCCTGTGACAAAGGGAAGGGGACACCTTAGGAGGGACCAGCTGTGGTCATGGCTGGACAAGTGCCTGGTTGATGGGAAGTGGAAGGTGTCAGGGGTCGGGACTGAGATGAAGGGCCACAGCAGGAGCCAGCTCCACATCGATGAGAAATAGAACGTGGTGGGCATGAGCATGGCTCTGGAGCCAGACTGCCTGGGCTCAGATGCCACCAGCCACGCCCTGGCTCTGTGACCCGCTGCTAATTACCTAGCTTCTCTGTGCCCCCCTTGGCACGAGAGAGGGTCGGTACCATACCATGTAGGGGCTTTAGGAGGATTAAATGAGTTTTACGTGCAGAGTAAGGGCTATACCAGTAGCCACTATATTCTCCTATTTTGAGTACCTTCCTTGAGCCTTATCTGAAAACAATGCCTGGCGTATGATAGATTCTAAACAAGCATTTGTAGAATGGATGAGTGACTTAGTCTTTGTATCAGTCCTAGAAGCTGGGTTACTAACCTCCCCACTAGGAACATCAGGCTCATGGGGGTCACTATACTGAGACTTCAGGCCAGCTCCTGGCATGGGGTCCACGTTCAGTAACCATTTGTTGGAAAAGAACAATCTGGCTCAGATGAATATAGCCAGAAAGTAGGAAACTGGGTCCAAACTCAGGCCTGTCTGCCTGGTAGGAGTGCCACAGTGTAGGGAATGAGACCAAAATCTGTGTTCGTTTCCTATGGCTGCTATACAAATTGCTAGCACATTAATGTCTGAAGCCAGTACAAATCTATCATCCTCCAGTTATGAAGGTCAGAAATCCAGAATGGGTCTTAAATAGGCTAGCATCAAGGTGTGGGTAGGCCTGGTTCCTTCTGGAGCCTCTAGGGGGGGAGAATGCTCCCTAGCCATTTTCAGCTTCCAGAGACACTGACATTTGTTGGATTGTGACTCCTTGATCTCCAAAGCCAGCAGCACTGCATCTGCCCATCTCCCTCTGACCATGGACAAACCCGGGTTCAGGTCTTGTCATTGTCACTTCCCAGCTACGTGGCCTTGGGCAAGGAGCTTACCCTTTCTGAGCCTCACTATTCTTAGCTCTATAATGGGCCTACAATAGAATAGCAGAGGTGCTTCTACTGTGATGAATACACACAGAGTGTACAGCTCTGTGCCTAGAGGACCGGCTTGATACATATTAGCTGTTCATGGTGTGACTTCATACCAGTGGCTCCAAGGCCCTGGAAGCTGACAGATTCTCAGACAGGCTTCAGGTTGGGGCACAGAAGGGGGTGGCACTTTGGGAGGACTGTGACAAGAAGGTCCCTGAAGCTGCAAGTTTTCATAATTAGCCAGGCTGGGGGCCTACATGGCATCTATTTAAACCCAGATGGGGGAAATGGGGTAGGAGGCCCTGTAGGTGCCCAAACCCAGAATGATCCCTAGGAGCTAGGATTCTTCACTGAGGGGCTTGGAGACAGGGAGGGGGCTGAGCCCAAGAAGCCTGGAAACTTCTGTCAAGCCTGGCTTGAAATTCAGAGGGTCATGGGGCAGCTTGGGTGCAAGACCAGGGCACTATGCCAGGACCCTGCATGTCAGGCAGTACCCAGCATGGGGCCACGGGCTGCTCGTGCTGAAGCTCTTACACAGAGGCCCCAGGGAAGGGTGTCCAGGGTGTAAAGAGGGTCAGTCATGGACAGCAGCTAGGAAGGACACAGAGCAGAGTGTGGGGGAATTTAGGAATCAGGGATGATGGGTGGTGAGACTCAGACCCAGTCTGGTCAGGGCAGCAGGAATCAAGGGTGAGTGAGAACAGCCTCCTGGGTCATGTCTCCTTCATTGGAAGATTGGAAAAAGAGAGTAAATAGGGCTGGGCATTTGCTCCTAGATGCAGATATCTGAGAGGAAAAGAGGGTAGGAATGAGAGTAGTAGTCAGGTTAGTAGGTAAGTGGATGGGGAGAGGCAGGTTGTGAGCTAGGGAGACAAAATGAGACAGGCACAGAATGCCACACAGATAAAGATGGGTGGACATTTAGGGAGACACAGAATTAGAGACACAGAGAGACACACACACAGAGACCCCACAGAGACAGAGACACAGAGAAAGACAGAGATGCAGAGACAGACACACACAGAGGGACAAGGAGGGAGGCCCCATAACAGAGGCCAGCTCACCAAACTCGCAGATGAAGGCAAACAGCTGTGTGCAGTTGTCTGAAGCCGCCCACCCAAAGGAAGCGTCTCTCCTGATGTAACCACAGGTGTTGAGAACAGGAGAGGCCTGTTTTCCATGCCAGTGGCTATAGCTCACATTGGAGGTGTCCAGCCAGATCCCTGGCCCTGGGATGGAAACACAACCACCAGGACTTGGAAACGTACTTCTGACCCCTTTTTATGAACAGGGCTTGCCTCAACTCAGCTCCCTGGTATGCAGGAGGTACTCAGTCAAGGCCAAGAGACTGAGGGCCTTTCTTTCCCATGCCAACGACGAAGGGACATTGCTGGCTGTTATTGTCCAACACCCGGAAGGAAGAACTCAGCCTAAAAACCAGGGTGCCAAGTCAGGGAGCCCAAACAAAGTAGCTTGATTGAGTACATGATGTTTCCAGCTCTGCGTTACCATAATCTAAAGAAAAGCACAAAAGTGTGTCTTGGGATGTTCAAAGAGAGGCAGGAGCCCTTGTCAGATATATATGGGCTATGCTGAGTTAAAATGGAAGCATGTGTGTGTGTTACAAAGGCATTTCAAGGACAGAAACAGAAAACACTAAATATAAAATATTTACTGAAGACTTAAAAGTGTATATATTCATTTTTAAAAATAAAACAACTCCATACAAGTGGTTAAGAAATTTTTGGAGTGAAATGTAAAATGTGTAAAAGTAAAATGAAAACATCTCCCCTCTCCCAACCAACGGGATACTCGCATTATTGTTATGTTTCTTGTGAATTGATCCAGACTGAATTGTACCATTCATCATCTGTGAGTGCCTGAAATCTATTTACACAAATGCCATCATTTTGCACATGGCACTCTGTCCCTTGTTTCGTAAATAACATTAAGTACTGGAGGTGATTACATGTCAGCCTACACATATCTACCTCATGTTCTGTAACAGCCATGTGATTTTTTAAACAGACACAACTCCTTTAGCTGCATATGAATGGACATTCAATATACAGAAATCCGCAATTGCTATATCTACAAATCAAGAAACCATTCACTAGATATTACCTGAAGATGCACTTTTAGAATTCAAATCCTAAGGCTATGCATTTCCTAAAAGGCGCTTGCCCAACTGCTCCCTAATTAAGCCTTTCCATCGACTCTCGTATATAAGTGCTTAGCCCAGACTGAGTTGCTTATTTCTAAACCCAGTAGCTCTGACAGGGCAATGTGAGGTGAAGGGACGTTGGCCCAAGAGAGTCTTCACTGCCTTTCACCAGTAGCGTCCTCTTGAGCGAACCATTTCGTCCCCCTAGACTTCATGTTCCTCATCCATAAAATAAGAGTAGCAATGTGTACCTCATGGGGCATGTGCAAGGATTACATATGAATCTTCATTTTTCCATTCTCTGCTATGTACAGGCACCAGAAAAAATGGCCAGAATCTGTTTCCTGCCCTCGAGGATCTCATTGTCTAGGAAGGAAGACAGATGCCTAAAAACTTAAAGTCATGCCGAAAGTACCCTCCCAGAGGTGTAGACAAGACCTACAGGTGCAGAGAGAAGGACTTACCTGACTGTCCTGGGGTTGGAGAAAGAAGCCCTCACAGAGTAAAAAGTAAGGAAAAGTTTCTAGGAAGACCATTAGAATGAGACCATTTAATGTGGAGGGAGTGGTGCTATGCTTTTAACTTGCTTTAATCCCGTAAGAAACGGGGAAAGGCATGTTGAAGTGCTTGCTTGCTTGCTTGCTTGCTTCTTTTTTAAAAGATTTATTTATTTGAGAGAGAGAGGGTGGAGGGAGGGGCACGGGGAGAGAGAAAGAGAAAGTTATGCAGACTGTACTCAGCACAGAGCCTGATGTGGGGCTTGATCTCTCATAACCTTGAGATCAGAACCTGAGCCAAAACCAAAAGTTGGATACTTAACTGACTACACCACCCAAGCACCCCTAGAAGTGCCTTGAAAATAGCTTAGTAAGTATTTCCTGAGACTCTGTTTTCTCATCTGTAAAATAGAAGCAGCAATATTACCTCACTGGTTGTCATAGGGATTCAAGCTGATAATGGACTAGAAGTATGTAGGGATAGTGCCTTAGAAGAAGTCATAGCTCGTATTATTAGTATTGGGCACATTCAAACAAATGAATTTTTCAGAGCATCAACTATGTGCTGGATTCTGTGCTAGGTATTGTACACGAGTGATTTCATTTGATCCACACAGCAACCAAAGAGGAGGATATCCTTACCATGAAAATTAGGATATCTTAATTTTGTTCCATGAGGCTCAGGGTAAGAAACATTGGTGAGAAACACAGCCACAAGCTTCCCATTAAATACAGCTTTCACAGCACCTACCTCCTATGGTTCCAGTCTGAGCCGAGTTCCCTATGAGTCCAATCCACCATTCCCTGTCCTGGGAGATGTGCTTCTGCAGGAATTGCTGTGTGTCTTCATCATGAATAAAGACCAAATGGCCCCCTTGCTCCTCGCACCAGCTCTGGGCACCATAGAAGGTTTGAGCGAAAGGCACAAATTCATAGCAAGAGTCTCTGAAGGCCACTTGGCTTTTGGAGCAAAAGCTTCCCTCCTCTGGCTTAGAGATTGTGGCCCTAAACCTCAGAGCAAGCCCCAAGAGTACCAAACTTGCTGCGCTCATCCTTGAACCACTCCTGGAGCATCTGGATGGAGCCAGCACTCAGGTCCTTCTTATACTGGTGCCTCACAATCATCTGCCATTCATCTTTCCTTCTCTCTTTGCATCAAATAATAGGAACTACCTCTTTTTAAGAAACAAAAGGCTCAGGATGAATGTTGTCTGCATTTTTGCTCTGCCCAGCTCTTTTTTCAATGTCTGTTCCAAATCCAATTAATTTGCAAAATGGCCTTCGAGAGAAACATATAGCTGCTATCGCACCTGTCTGCTTCTCATTCGATCAACTGTTAGTTCTTGATAAAAATTCCTTGCTATTGGTTTCATGTTGTTATCCTGGAGGACCACATGTTTCACAAGAAGTCATCAGCATGTGGAAAATATGTGATAAAAGAAAAATGGCAGGAAAGTGAGAGTGATGGGGTAGTAAAGAACCCAAGTTACACTCATCTCCAATCCTATTGTCTAGAGTGGTGGCTGTGCCCAAATGATAATCACATTCTCCCCAGCATGGCTTAAATCCTAATGGATATGTCTCCCTCTCTCTGATTCATCACATTATTACTCATGCCTGTTGGAGAAAACACATTTTCTACAAAATTGTTTTGATATCATTATGAAAACAAGCTTTTAAAACTTCAAACCTGCTCATCCTCACCCACTGCCTAAACCCTCCTTTTGGGTGTCCATGGTCTATGGATCAAGTTCAAGCTTCTCAGCTTTGTATACAATGCTCTGTATGAACTGGCCACTGACAGTATTTTCAAACACATACTCCAAATGTGAAGAAATAGACTCACTCATTGCTGAGGGGAGTGTAAATTGGTACAACCTCCGTTGTGGGCAGTTTGATAATATCTATCAAAAATTTAAAAGCATGAGCTCTGTAATATAGTAGTTCAACTTCTAGAAATTTTACTTAAAATAAATTCATACATGTGCAAAATGTCATGTGTATAAGGTTATTTATTACAGAACTTTTTAAGAAGAAAGGATTGGAAACAATCTAAATGTCCATTGATTGGAAAGTGATCAATAAAACATGGTACATTCTCCATATGCACAAAAAATGAGCAAATTCTTTATATAAATATTTGGAGGGATATCTAAGATTTATGCTAATATTGAAAGCAACGTATGAGAGACATTGTTGATGGTCCAATCCCATTTACACAAAAACATCTATGAATATTTATTTGTATGTGTGGAATAGATCTCATAAAGGACTTAAAGAGACTGGCAATAGAGATTGCCTGGGTCAGGAGTGGAGGGAGTTAGGTGAGTGGGAGAGAAGAGAGGGCAAGACTTTTACTTCACTTTTGAAACTTTTCCATCTTGTACCTTGTGAATATCTTACCTGTTCAAAAGGGTAAATTCTTTTTTAAAAAACATCTCATGGGTCCATCATCCCCCTACCAGCTCAAAGTTACAGCTCTTTGTAACTACCATAGTTCACTGCTAGCAACGTTTTTTTCATGCCTCTCTATGCCTGTGCTATTCCCTCTGCCAGGAACGGTTTTCTCTCTGGTCCTGCCCTGTCGACTTTCCCGATTCAGCTCAAACATAGACCTTGCCTCATATAATATGCCACTCCCTTCTGACTTTCCTTTTTCTTTCTTTCAATAAAAAACTTAAGATAGAGTTCACATACCATACAATCACCTATTTAAAATATGCAGATCAGTGGTTTTTAGTATATTCACAAAGTTGTGCAGCCTTCACCATGATTGATTTTAGAACTTTTGCATGACCCCAAAAAGAAACCCCTTTACCCGTTGGCATTCACTGCCAAACCTCTATCCCGCAGCTTCTGACAACCCCTGATCTCTTTTCTGGCTCTGTGGGTTTGCATCCTCTGCACATTTCATATACACAGAATCCCCAAACGTGTGGTTTTTGTGACCAGCTCCTTTCATGTCAGCATAGTGTGTTCAAGCTTCCTCCATCTTATAGTGTGGACCATTACTTCACTACTTTACTCCTTTTGTTTGTTTGTTTTCTTTTGACATCCAATAAAAGTTTATAGAATAAAACTGAATGAAGAGGGACACCTGGGTGGCTCAGCAGTTGAGCATCTGCCTTCGGCTCAGGGCGTGATCCTGGAGTCTGGGATCGAGTTCTACCTTGGGCTCCCCACAGGGAGCCTGCTTCTCCCTCTGTCTGTGTCTCTGCCTCTCTCTGTGTGTCTCTTGTGAATAAATAAATAAAATCTTAAACAACAACAACAAAAACTGAATGAAGAGTTTTCCAGAACTCATATATTCCCCCACCTTAGCTTCTTGTTTGCGGAGCAATGTTTGTTGTTCATGAGAACTTTCCAAATTAACTGAGTTTGACACAATTACAAAGTTGCTTCAGTGGTGGGAAAAATTGTAATTACTAACACCAGAGTTCCTCTTGGGCACTTTTCCTAGATAGGCCACTTGGGTTGGGCCAGGGGAGACAGCAAGGGTATGGTTTGTACTATTACAACAAAGCACAGCGCTGGATGACTGGCCTGCATAAGAAGTCAGTGATTCAAAGTTGGAGAAAAGACTACATAACATAGGGTAGGACTCTAGAACATTCAAATAAGATATTAGGCAAGGTGCCTGAGTGGCTCAATTTGTTGGGCATCTGCTTTTGACTCAGGTCATACGCAGGTCATGATCCCAGGGTGCCTGCTCAGCAAGGAGCCTGCTTCTCCCTCTCCCTGTGTCCCCTGCTTGTACTCTCTCATGCGTTCTCTCTCTCAAATAAATAAACAAAATCTTTAAAGAAAAAGGTATTAGGGAAATAGTTTCTTACAGCAGGGTGGCCAAAGACTTTCAGAACACAGTGGTCTAATACGTGCCTTTAAATTACTCACTTGTGGGACACCTGGGTGGCTCAGCGGTTGAGCATCTGCCTTCGGCTCAGGGCGTCATCCCAGGGTCTGGGATCGAGTCCTACATTGGGCTCCTTGCAGGGAGCCTACTTCTCCCTATATGTCTCTGCCTCTCTCTCTCTATCTCTCTCTCTCTCCTCATAAATATGTAAATAAATAAAAATCTTTAAAAAATAAAATACTCACTTGCTCTGATATAATTCAACTCCCCCCCCCATTCCCTCCTCTGGTCCCTGGCAACCATTACTCTCTGTCTCTATGGATTTACAGATTTGGGACATTTCATATAAATGGAATTGTACAATATGTGATCTTTTGTGTCTAGCTTTTTTCACTCAGCATAATTTTTTTCCAGCGTCATCCATGTTGGAGGGTGTTATTAGTACTTCATACCTTTCATATAGCTAAATAATGTCCTGTATATGGATATATTACATTTTGCTTATCCATTCATCCATTGATGGACATTTTGGTTATTTTATTCTTGCAAGAAAGGGATAGTCTCTTAATCTCTGCTTGTACCATGACTGGCACACAGTAGGACTCAATGAACATTTCCCAGCCTGGCGCCATCTCTCAGGTCCTTGGGTGTTGGGAGAGGTTGAGAGGATGTGATTGCTAATCCACCCATGAGTGGGACCCAGGCAATTAGAAGCTCCTCATGCCCTCCCGGTCCTTAGAATGTGCATTCTGGTTGCCTTCCTCACTCCCAGAAACTGTCTCAAGGACACAGCCTTGAGATAGTGATATGGTGTGGAAATCATTTGGACAGTATACATGACTCAACCCAGTTAAAGCCTCTATATAAACTTTTAAGATTTGGCTGGCAAGTATGGAGATCTACCTAGGACAAGCCTTGTATGTTAAGTTCCCTTGCTTGTTAAACCTGCCTCCTACTAGTCTGGAGTGATCTGCTTCTTCCTTAGGTCTCTTCCTGCCCTAGTTGTACAGCGGCCAGTTTTCGAACCAACACCAGGGCTGACCCTTGACCCCCATCCCTTTCCCAGAAGCCCTTCCAAGCCCTCTGGAGTAGCCCTGCCAGTAGCCCAGAGCAGGACTCGATGTCATTGCTGAGTCATAGGCTGGAACACAGAGAACACTGGTCTCTTATCTCCGGGGGCCAAGCGCCTAATGACTTCTATTAGAAAACTATGTGGAAGGCCGCATACAGTGATAATGTATCTCCTGAGTGAAAGTTTAATTTACGTCCTCCATGGAACATGCTTGGAGACATTTGATAACAAATGCAAATCTGCAGGCTAAATTCCACTTCTGCTTTCTTTACATTCTGATTAATTGCAGACTCCTGGGCACAGAATTCATCTTGGTGAAGTCAGCATGCAATGTGCCTTAGCATCTGTGTACATGAAGAAAGGAAGTAGGGCAAGCTGACCTGTGTGAGCCTGTCCCCAGCGATCTGACCCAGCTGCTTGAGCCTCTAAACCCTGCTTTTCAGGACCATCAAATGAAAACAGAAAGAGAGCAAATTTGGAGTAAATGGGGTCTCAAGTTAATGAACATCTTCATAAAAATGTTCATGCCCTGTGGCACAGCCATCCCAATTCTGGGAATGGACCCATTTTAGTTTGAGTTCCCCCAGAAGTTAATGAGACAAGAATTCAAGAGCAAGCAGTTTATTTGGGAGGGCATGCAGGAAACAGTAGCAGGGGAGAAGGGAGTACATTGCTTTATATGAATTGATGTTTTTATTGGCCATAAATGAATTGAATCTTTGCCCTCCATTCAACTGAAAACACAACATAACAAGAGAATCCTTATGGTCCCCTTACCCTAAGAGAGTTTCATTTCTTTGTGGTTCCTTCAAGTGCTTCTTGCCTTGGAGATGGGTGTTTGCTCAGGCACGACTGTGGTGTGCACATAATTAGTTCATAGGATGCTTCCCACTTAGCTTTCAATGGTAGGACTTTTCCATGTTGCTAAAGGGCTTTGGAATTGGCATGGTGGGGGCTGTGCTCCCTTTCCCTGAATGGACATTTACTACACCATTCCCACAGTGATTGATAGATACTTTGTGTGGTTTTCGTCACTTGTTACATATTCAATTTTGCAATTCTAGTCAACACTGCTGTGAACATCTTTTTGCACTTGCCATTTAGCCTAAGCTATCTCCTGAGGGTTG